TGTGACAAAACAATAATTTAGTCGGTTACAAAACGCTCTGGCAAATTGATCGCGGTGCCCCAGGACAACGTAAACACCGGTGAGTTATGGACCATGACCCAACTGGCTGGGACCGGGCGAGGATATTATCCAACCTAACGACGTTAGCTTACGGATTGAGATTTAAGAAGCTTTTTCCTTTTATCACTTCGCTACCGCGGAGAAATACCTATTTTTGTTTATTATCCTATTAGTTTTTATCCGGTTATGGCAGAAATTGCGTTACAAAATCGATTAGATTCAGTGATTATAATTTTACCCGGCGCCTCCACCATTTTTTAAAAATATTGTTTGTCGCTTAAAATTAGCGTTAAATTGAAATTAAATTTATCCGGTACATTTTTCGAATTAAAACGAGATAAATCGTTATCGACTTTCGATTATCGTTAATTTTGTTCATCTAAAAACTAGATATTAGCAGGAATCAATTCGTTTTCGGTTGGGCAACAATTCAAAACAACCATTAATAATTTCAAACAGTTATTAAACGTTAGTTATCCAAATATAGCCGTTATTGTGTTATTTATAATTTACATATTCGTTGTATTGTTTGGAACAAACACAATTAAAAGCAATCGCGTTAATTTAGCGGTGAAGTGAAGGTTTCAAAATAAATAGTACGGCTCTGCACATTACCGGGTTGAAACGTGGCAGTTTCGTTTTAATTTCCTATTCCGCCCTCTCCATCCCCGTGTTTCGTTACGTGTACACCGTTAAATATCCGGTCCACTGCGTCGTCAACTATGCTTCCATGTACTACTCTCTCCCTCTCGAATAGTGTCATAACTCAACGGATGTATTCTGTGCAGAACCGGCTTCAGCCGACTGTGAAAAATGCCTTATTCGTACGCAGCAAGAAAAAGGCTTTTTATAACAGATTCAAAAATAAAGGAATTTGTCGACCTTTAAAAGATAGATTGTATTTGAAAGTAAATTAATTAATAAATTGTTTAATAATACACTATATTCACACGGTAGTAAAACTTTAAAAGCAATTAATTCGAATCCCAACAAAGAAACGCAATATCGAACTTAAATCTTTAATCGCTTTAAAGCAGTGATTCCCAAACTTGAAGTTATAACAAAACATTTTTAATAATTAATATAATTTAATCAATATCATTGTGCTAACAGAGCTGAATCGAAATCTAACTCAAACATAATTACTAAGATTAAACACAAGACAGACTTGGAATGGAAATGGTTTTGAAGCGATTGGAATCTCACACACAAGTTAACTCCGTAAAGGGATGGAGAACAATTAGATTTCTGTAATAATAATTAATCGTTTTGTTCGAAGGGAATAATTAATATTATTGTTATTATTCCATCAAGTGTCAAAACAGTGCGGTAGTACACTCGATCATAAGCTCGTTTCGCTTTTGTACCATTAATCCCTGAAGGCACAATACCAAAACCGGTCATTCGTTATTTCATAAGCCATTAAGTAGAGATGTTTATGGTAACGTTTCTTCTTCGGCAAAGAAGAAGAAGTGGTGAAGGAGAGATTTCTTTTGGTTCGTTTTTCCGCCGTCGATCCTCCATCGTGGCGTAGACTACTTACGAGGCGCTATCCACACCTACTTATCGTGGTCCATTCTTATAAATTACCACCTGCGATACGCGCTCACCTTGGGAAAGGACCAAAGAAGTCCCGCATTGTGTGTGAGTGTGTTGCCGAAGGAAATAAAAAAAATAAATGAAACGTAGTAGAGGCGCTAACTTATAGATCTCGTTACGTTGATTGCACGATTAGACCGTTCTCTCGCGAAAACGCCCTCGCCTTCACCAGCTACCGTTCGTCTCTACTTCTCACACCGTTCATTTCGTTTTGTGTACTACTTCGTTCATCTTACTTTTACTTTTCAAGAGAAAATAAAAAGTACATCCGACCAATAAACTTGGTATTTATACCATTTTAAACCGGAACGATAAATTACAATCTGTGCTATGATTGTTCGCGTATCATTTCTTTGGGGATACAAAATTAAAAATAGCCAATTTCAATCTTGATGTAATTGTAGCTCGTAATTGTTTTGTGTTATTGCGTCAATATCGAATTACTAATAGTATTTGGTTTGAACTTGAAACTGAATAAATCATGATTTCTAATGTTGGTTTAACTAATAAATATTACGTAATATATTTTCGAGTTGAAAATGTAATTTCCAGTACAGCCGTGAAATTTGTTGATTCGTTGTTTTCCAGTCTGATAAAGGATTTGAATCCGTGGAAAACTCGTTGGAAGATAAAACAACGCGGAAAATGCGAGAGGCAAGTGCAGATAGATTAATTTTGGCTCCGCCGACGCCGCGTCGAGATGGTTAAATTTATTTTACGGGGTATTTGCGCCCTTACGGATCTGATAAATTCGCCTCAGCGCCACTTTACAACCTATGTAAGACCAAATAAGATTGAATTATTTCGCGATTTTAATGTTTATCATTCTTTTAGATTCAAAATTTTTTTTTAAAAATTTTTATTATCAAGTCTATTTGTTTTCTATGAAATAAAGTGTTTCAGCTTTAATTTGAGACATAACTTATTTCTTAACTCCCGAAATCGCAACTCCAAAATTAAATTTATTGTTTTATATTTATCGTTGACATCAAAATTTTATTTTTTTGTAAATAGTTATATTTACCTTGACATTCCGTCTGCTCTCGTTTTCTACTTTTTAGCAGACAGCTGTGTGTATTAAAGAGAAAACATGGCGTAACTTTCACTTTCTGCTTCACGTGCCATAACGTAACATTGTGAAACGAACTCATTCCAACCGTAACCGAGTTATTTTTTATTTATTTACATCTATATTAATTTAGTAAATTTCGTGTTAATTTACCGCAAGAATTAAATACGATTTAAGGTAGACAATGATAGAATTTTCGTTTTGTTTGGTAACTTATAATCTCGTTGCGACCATGAAATTAAATTAGAGTTGGTTGAGTAAAGTATCAAAAAGTTTATGGGATTTCCCGACATTTGGACTTTTTAATTAAACGACTAAAAAGTGTTATTCATTGGAAAAGTTTGAAAATTTTTACTCTACACTCAATTTCAATTAGTATATACTTTTTTAATAGTTAAAAACGGACGTTGATAAAGGATCTCAACGTGGAACGTATGCCGAGTATTAATTACCCGATGATGGAAATTGCGAGCTTACGCTTGTCTCTACAATCTTCGTAATATAGAACGTTTATAGGTTTATGCAAATTGCTACTGATATGGTACTGACAGGTGTGAATAATTTCGATTAAGTCTTTCGTGAATGATTTCGCGGATTATTGGTGATTGAATATTTAATAAAAAATGATTGTATTAAAATCATGGTGAATTTAACTAGAAACGCCCACCACCCGAAAACGAGATCATCACAAAGGGTTTCGTTCGATTTTTTGCGCCCATTTGTATTCACGCTTCGCTTGGTACACTTCTATCTGAATTTTTTTTTTGGAAACCTTTTGCACTCTCATCATCGGGGGTAACACACAAAAAAATATTAAAGTTGATGAAGTCGATCTATTATTCAATGTAACTTCAAATTTTGGAAATTAATTATTAACTTTTTTACACAGATAATTTATACAAGTTGTGAAGTGCATGTTTGTTGGTATTTCAACTCTCATGAATATGCAAATCAATTTGTTCTGTACAACGTGGACTAAAAAGGCAACAAAAAGTGAGCTTTCGAGCAATTTTGAAGCTTTTTCTGCTAGTTTTCTTTTTAAATTTTCTTTTTTTTACTTTCAACGCCGAGTACATTTTTCGGCTGAGTAAAAAAACAACTTGTTATTTTTCGTCGCTATAAACTTATACGGTAGCCACTCTTCGCCGATATTTTTCTACCGAGTTAAGCTTTAATTAAAGTACACGCTATTCGCGACGCGGTAGTAGTTCGTTCCTAGTCGTAATTAAATTTTCCGGCGCTTTGTTACGTCTAGAGAACTTGCCAGAACCGTATTTCAACTTTACTTTAGCTTATTATTGATTTAGAGTGGGGCGATTTTAACCATATCGTTTGCTATAACGAAAATAAATATTATTAAACGAGGGAGATTTTGCGTAACATTTAACGTCAATACAGCACGGTATAAATAACACGCGGTTATCGAATAAAATATTGCCAATGGAACTCTATTAAAATCTGTTGAAATTGCTGATACCTATATTTTACACGATGGAAACACAAAACGGATGATCGAACGACCAATTTGGATAATAACCAAATTTATATAACCCATTAATAACATATTATTTTATAGTATTAATTATTTTAATACAATCTGATCAAAAAATAAATTAATCAAGAATTAATACTATAAATTAATAAAAATAAAATAATTATTAAAAACTCCACTTACCATTAATATCTTAAAAATGCAACAAATTCATCAAAGTTTCATATTTTGGTATTTTTCTTGATATTTATGTATCTGAGAGCAAAAGTGGAAGAGAGCAATACTGTTAAGAAGAAAATTAGCTACAACTTTCATTCAAAAAGTTTTTTTATAGTATGCTCCAATTCCCGAGTATTATTCCATTTAAAAACCCAAAGACATTTGGCCGGCTTAGGTTGGCAACGATGTATAAGAGTATCCTATTCCTATATCAAGATTGAAACGCCAATTTCATCTACTTCCACAAGTTCTTCTTAGTGAACCTTGATAAGTTCAGCCTGTTTTGCTGTGTTCCTCAAGTGTCAAGTATAGATCAACCACTTTAGTATGGTACAAAAATGCCTCGTCATGAAGCAGTATACTACATTATCAATATTTGCTTGAAGATGGAGTCTCAAAGCACACCGCTCTTCTATAACTTGAGCTGAATCCTCTTAACTTAATTGATTAATAAGTATAGATTCGAACTTTACTGTACAGTATTGTGCAGAAGCGGGAAACTTAACTTTTACTTTAACTTTTATTTTCCATTCTTGTATTAATTACATATTTTGTTGACAGATTCAAACTACTTCTTCACCGATCAACAACCGCGCTTCCTACAGAATTTTCCCACCCAGGACGATTTCGGGAATCAAGACGTCACGCACTTTCGCCCGTCGGAAACCTTTCGGCCTTTCGACTCGTTCCTCCAACAACCTGACCTGCAAACTTCCGATTTGCCGCCACATTTACAACAAACATTACCCCAATATCGATTTTCTGGATTACCTTTAACCACAAAAGAACCATCCGGATTTAAACTCACCACCAGCAACAATAACTATCAAGAAAGTTCAAAAAACATCCCACCTTCAACACATCGACCGAACTATTCCCACATTTTTAAGAATCGCGATCCAAAAACGGAAACTTTTTTGGGGCAAATAACTGTGGATAGCCCGGCGGAGTTGCCGCCGGAATTTAATCGATTCAAATCGGTTCTTGGATTTCAAAGAACCCCGCCGCCTCCAGCTGAGTGGTCGCCGAAACCAAAGTATATAAATAGCCAAGAAAATAACGTTAATCAAAATTTGGATTTTGGGGCTAGATCGAATTCGGTGAGTTTTGGAAAACCCACGCGAAGCACATTTTTAAATCATCGCACAAGAATATTTGCCCCATCTAACGAAGAAATTAAAAAACCCATAGCTAAAGATTATTTTATTACTGATGGCGGGGATGTTGTTAATGCCAAAAATGAACATGATAAAGCAACAACAACTGAAGGAGCTTTTGAATTTGTTAAAATTACAAATGGGGATCGCACCACGACGGAATCAAATTTAGAATCTTTACTTGAAGAACCAATTAATAGTAAAGAATCCTCGAAGCATGGAAAACAAGATGTCCAAGTTATCCAATCGGTTACCGTACCTCCAGATCAATTGTATACGTTGCCACAAGAAGATTACGAAGAGGAGTTATCTAGCGAGGATTACGAGGAGTATGAAACGAACACTAACGAACCAATTTCGAATAAAACTTCGACCGTAAATATAAATGAAGTGAATAAGCAGCATGAGATAACAGAAAACGAAGAAAAAAATAATAACAGTATTAACATAACAAAGAAAGATCAATCAAATGAGACTAATCATGATGATTTAGCCCCAACTAAGAAATTGGAGGAGGATTATGAATACGAAGATTATCAAGAAACGGAAGATTCAACCGAAGAAATCAAAAAGGATTACGACAATGAAACGAAAACAAATCCCCAAGAAACTACAACGATGATGATTCAAGAAACCACCGTGAAAAATGATGATCAAAATAATTCTTCTTTGGAAGCTCAAGAAGAAATCACGACAAATTCTCCAACAGAATCACCGCTAAATAAATCTTTAAAAGAAACTGAAGAAATTACATCGGATGCCCAAGAGGAAATAAGCGCGGAAAATAATTTAAACGACCATGTTGAAGATGAAGAGGAATACGAGGATGATGGTGGTAAAGAAGATTTAAATGAAATTCCCGATCCAAATATCAATAAAACCTTCGAAGTCATTACGATGAAACCCCCCATAAAAAATGAAACCGAAAAGAATGAGTTTAAAGATTTCACGGATTCAGACAGCATCGATACAACCGATCCATCTCATTTGAGCACAAATTCAAATGAAGAAACTCAAATAAGCGAGACAAAACCGGGCTTGAATAATGAAAGTGTTGTTTCAGTCTCTGTTGTAACAACAAAAAGTGTTATAAATAACACGATAATTGGAACGGTAACTCCGCTTCCGATGACTACGCAACAAATGATGGTGCAAAGCGAAAATAGTACGGATTCTTGGATCGTAATTGCTTCCGTGCAAACGAGTCGGAGTGTTTCGGGAGCTAGATATATTCCATCTGGAATTGTTGAACAACAAGAAAGAAAAACTTTAATTAATGGGAAGGATCGAGGGCTTCTCGAACCTGATAACGATGACATAACAACGGTGAAATCATCAACGGAGAGCTTAATCGATAAATTAGATCGGGTTCAATCAGATTTATCGAGTAAATATTTACCGAGCCAATTCAAAAATGATGATAATAATTATATTATTAGTAACGGAAAAGATGATGACATGTTGGTTGTTGAAACCACATCAATTCCCTCAACAACTTCAACAACCTCAACAACAATAAGAACTACGAGTCTTCCTCCAGTTAAAATAAGAAAATTCTCCCCAGCGGCGAGACCAACAACTGTTAAACCAAAGCGGATTTACCCAAAACCAACTCCAAGAACCACAGAATCACCGAAAATTGAGTTTGAGCTGCCGCAAGGTGATCAACCTTTCCAACAAAATGGCACAACCGGGAGGTCATCTGGTTCGCAAGGTAAAATTACCGTTCAAGATATTTCCTCGTTGCTACCGGAAGGATATAAACCGCCTCCATCCAAAGAAACCCAACAAACTGGTTCAAAATTACTCGAAGAATTATTAAGCAAGGTTAAAATTCAAGATCCAAGTGCTTTATTACCGCCCGGTTATAAAGAAAATGCCACCTCATTATTACCACCGGGATACAAAATTGAATCAATTAAAACAACTAAAACTGAGGTTACAACCGAAAAATTAAAAACAACAACTAAAAAATCAAAAGTTGATGAGTTATTTAAAAACACCGTTTCAACCGATGTTAGTCACTTCTTACCGAAAGGATATAAACCGGATGAAAATAAAGAAACGGAAACTAATAGTAAAGGTAAAACCCAAATTTTCGAAGAAGATATTTCGAAATTCCTCCCACCTGGATATTCGAGTAAAACTACATCAAAACCGCGCGTAATGAACACCCCGGAAGCAAGCCAAAATAAAACTCAACCCAAATCGAAAGATATCTCGACACTTTTTGATGACGCTAAAAGTGATGATTTATCGAAATTCCTTCCACCTGACTTTAAATTTAAATTTAATCGAAAATTTTCAACCACATCCACAACTGAATCTCCATCAACTTCGCTTATTACATCTACATCATCATCGCCTACTTCTTCTTCACCATCTACTTCGCCTTCTTCGAACAATTTCAAAGTGGTGTTTCCAAGTAGACCAGGTCAAAATCGTAAAACAACTCGATCGACAACGCCAAAATCGCCTGAAAAGAATGAGTCTGTGCCGCCGACGGTTCCGTCGATACAAAAAGGGTGGCCATCGAGGGCGACGACGGAATTTACCGGGTGGCCTACACCATCGACTACTCCTATTTCTATCGAGAAATTGTTGGCTGCCGCTAAAGATTTGGCGTCGTCTTCTACGACGGAAACAGAAACGAGTTCGACGTCCACAACGACTACGACAACGACAACCACAACCACTACTATTAAACCGACCACCCCCGGAATTTGCAATGATGATTGCGAACTTGGTGGAACCATTAAGCTGGTTGGTGGGGCTCAATGGGTTCCGGAATTATTGGATAGGAATACGAAGGAGTGGCAAATTTTAGCTAATGAAGTTGAATCGCAGGTAAAAAAATTTGTTTATCTGTTTCGGTAAATTTAACATCTTTTTTCCTGGAATAAAACTAATCTTACTCAACATTCCTTCACGGTATAATTGACATTACAAAAGAAAACTAACTAGAAGAGCAGTGTTGCCGTTTCGGTACAATTGTACTGAATTCAGTACGATTTCAGGGATAAAGTACGTGAAAATAGCAATTCAGTACAAAATTCTTAATCGGTACAATTGTACTGAAATCGGTACATAGTGTATAAGTGATAAAGTAATACACTTTACAAGTTTTGTTTAAGCCTCTCAGAATTCAGTACAGGGTGGTTCAAATTCGATGTCCGAATAGGCTAACTCGAAAACTATAAGAGTTAGAAGAAAAGTAGCTGACATGTCATGATCTCGTTTTTCGAGAAACTGCTAATGCCGAAAACCTCATAGCGCTATCGTCTTTTGTTTTTCCGCTAGAGGCCAAAATTGAAAATATCGTAAAACCCGCAAATGTAATTATCTTGGTTATTATTATAGGTGGAGTATTATAACTAAGACATTATATGGACACTTTTTTACAGAGAATTTGATGACGTAGTCAAAAAAATTTTGTCGGTTTTAGATTTTGAGATATTATCACAATTTTCGTTTTTTTAAATGGAAACAACCACTGATTATTCGCTTAATAAATTCGTTATTTTTTTCTGATTACAAAAATATAGGGTTTGACAGGTCTATTTCTTATTGTTTTAGAATAAAACTAAAAATAAACTTTTCTTTTAGTGTCGTCGAAGAAATTAAATTTACAGTTTCCTGTAAATTACGGTTCTATAACTAAAAATTAAAAAAACATATTTCTGATATTTGAAACAAATATATTTGTTGAACTGTTTAATTTATATATGTTTTACACAAAAGTTGGAATAGATTGCATTATTTCACATTTTTTATTACGATTTAATATTATTTTTAAATGACTTAATAAATTATCGATAGATGGCGCTCATATGTTTTTTTTTTAATTCAAATAAACATAGCAACATTTGTTTGTATTCAAAAATTTTCTGAAGTGTCACTTTAAAAATCCTGTTTTTAAGATCAATTACGAAAATTTTGAAAAGTTTGACATGTTAGAATGTTACATATTAAAAAATTATTTGTTTTTAAATACCAGAAGTTATCTTCGTATTTAATTGTTAACTTTTTAGATTTTACCTACCGCCCCGTAACTTACAGGAAACTGTAAATTTAATTTCCTCGACGACACTAGATGGAAATTTTATAAAAAAAGTTTATTTTTAGCTTTATTCTAAAACAATAAGAAATAGACCTGTCGAACCCTATATTTTTGTAATCAGAAAAAAATAACGAATTTAATAAGCTAATAATCAGTGGTTGTTTCCATTTAAAAAAACGAAAATTCTCATTATATCTCAAAATCTAAAACCGAAAATTTTTTTTTGATTATGTCATGAAATTCTCTGTAAAAAAGTGTCCATATAATGTCGTAGTTATAATACTCCACCTATAATAATAACCAAGATAATTGCACTTATTGGTTTTACGATATTTTCAATTTTGCCCTCTAGGGGAAAAACAAAAGACGATAGCGCTATGAGGTTTTCGGCATTAGCAGCTTCTCGAAAAACGAGATCATGACATGTCAGCTACTTTTTTTCTAACTCTTATAGTTTTCGAGTTAGCCTATTCGGACATCGAATTTGAACCATCCTGTACATTTTGTTCATTTTCAGTACGATTTTTGGTACATTTATTTTCTTCGGTGCGGTAACACTGTAGAAGAGTAGTACTAAGAACTAAAAACATTCAAAACTTTCTAGTTCTAGATCTAGTGCTAGTTCTACTTTTAATTCAATAAAAATATACAACACAGTGATATGTAATGCTAACTAGCGCTATCTAGCACTGTTACTGGAACTAACATTAGATCTAGAACTAGAAACATTCAAGTTTAACCGTCTTAAGAGACGCATAGCTAAACCCGAATTAATATATTTTTGTATATTGTATTTTAAGTGAAATTCACTGTATATTGAACTTTACTTTTTTTCGATATTTTTTTAGTTGGATCGAGTTTATAGTAAATCCAACGTACTAAATAAATGGTATACGAAAATTCGTATCGATGGTTTCAGCGAAGGAAGCGTTTTAGTCGATTACGTCGTCGTTTTGAACGATATAGGGAGAGAGATAAATACCCAGGAGTTAAAGAAAATCTTCCACGACTCATTGGATGATGGATTAAGAACCTCCAATAGAGAACCGAAATCGACCGATTTGAACGATTCCGATAAAGACGATCGATTAACTTTAGGAGACTTTATTGTTGATCCAAAATACACCGATTTTATCGGTAAAGTTGCAAATTAATTAATTAAAAGATTTTAATTGTTTATCTTTTAGTATTACCACCTATCGTTGTACCAACTGTTGGATACGCCGAAGACGATGTTTTGCTTCCTCAATGGGCTATTGCAGTGATTGTAATTGGATTAGCTTCTTTATTGTTTGTAATCATCTTTGGAGTCACTGTTGTAAGTATTTCAATAATAATTAATAAAATTTGTTGATGATTTATTTTTTTTTAGCTGGTTAATCGACAAAAAAATAACAAGAAGAAACAACCAATTCCGCTAACTGAAGATATGATTAACGAACTAAATAAAAATCACATGGGTGGAATAGATAATTATGGAGCTGATGATTTATATAACATGGAAGACGTTTGGAATGACAGACCCTACGACACAAAGCCCAAGAAGGTAAGTTTAAATTTTCAACCAAATTGGGTAATTTCACATGATAACGTCCCCTAAGTTAAACTTTTGGTTACACCATGTGTGTTCCAAGTAATTACTTGTTAAATTAATGTGTTCAGGTAACTACGTTAGAGAGACTGTCTTTGAATACTGATTCAACATTACTTTAAAATTAATTTATTACTTTCAGAGATCATCAGGGTCGATTCACGATAATAGCATGTCGAATCTATACGATAGCTGGCGTTCGGAATGGAATGGATATTATTACAACGCTTATTACGCGAATAATCCAGGAAGTAGTCGTAGAAGATCCGATTACGATACGAATTTTTAAAATTAAAAAATAACGAGACAAATCTATAAATGTAATTAAAAAAATAAAAAAAAAATAGAAGCTCTTTTTCCCGAACAGTTATTGGCTATAGGCGCTGTACTTTCTAGTCAAACAGCCGACTGTAAAACGATGAAATGTCGTTGTTAACCGGCTGTGAATGAAGATGAGTAAAAGGAAAGAATCTCAGAAATGGATTATTAAAGCATGATTTTTTGATGGATGAGTTTTTTATGTATATGTATCTCTCAAATTTACTGTTTATACCGCTTTTTTGTTGTATTAAATTAAAAATTATGAGTAGTGCAAGAAACAACAAATACTCGTAATTAACCGTACGCAATTCTTCCATTCCTCTCCTCAAATGCTCAAATTGTCAATTAGATGCGACTTAAGATATATTTAAAAGAAAGTGTAACTCTCGGGATTAATAAATAAGTTTCGAGGTGTTACGTATTCTAGACAATTAAATAAACTTGAAACAACAAGAATATTTACCGAGATCGTTTTCCCCCCGGTGGATATTTTCTCTCGTATGTAATATTTTACAATCCCGCCAAACTATATTTAAATGTAAGAGTGACATAGGTTTAAAAATAAAAAAATCTTGTATATAAATTTGTAAATATACATAATTGTAGTATGTAATGATTTTCGACGCATTTACTTTTAAAAAAGACTTTCCGCGTTTAAATTATTTCCGATCTTAACAAAAGATGTTAAATTATACAATAAATATATTATGTTAAATTGGGTTTTAATTTATTTTAGAAAAAAATTATCCTTTTTGTTAAATAGGCAACCAAATTAACTTGACAGCTAAATATTTTCATTTATTTTAAAATATTTAATTTTATATGTACATTTATTGTACATCCCCACACTTTACGGTTCATTCAGGGGTCAGAGAACCAGCCCGAGGTTTTAATGAATGTTAATATAGAACAGAATTCTTTATTGGTTGGGACAATCATAAACAATGTGATTTACCGTCTCGTACAAACCGTATGACGTCTTCGCCCTCCATCAAATCTTGGAGTTAAAAATTCATTCTTCTCCGTATTTCATCTGCTTCTATCACTGGTGCAATATAGACTCCTTCGAATCGAGTGAAATTAATTTGTTAATAATAAATTAACACAAGAAACCAGTTGATTTTAAATTTGATTGATTCTTGCTCCCATCTAGTTGTAATGTACCAAGTTTAATACATGACTAAAAAAGATTTCTGCATTACCAACTCTAATTTAACCTATAATCTGCGATTATAGAATCTTATTTAGATCATTTATATAGTTATTTCTTAAGTATTTAAAAATATATAAATTCAAAAAATGAAATCCTTTTTTTAACATTAACGATTTAATTATTATAACGTTGGCTAACCTTAAATCAAAAATCAATTAGGTAATAATTTTTTAAAGAAAGTATTTGTACCAACTTAAGAATTACCAACTTAATACTTCGTTAAAATAAAAAAAACTTTGTATTGCACAAATTTGATTAATTTTTGGTAAAAAAAAGCAATTAATGATAAGATCTATTAATAAACCGATTATTTCAAGGTTCATTGTCCTCAAAAAAAAACACAATGAACGTTTTAGACTCGCTTCGAAAGGAAATGATTCGCACACAAAAGAAGCCGTCAGTGTATGAAAGTGTTGTAACGATGATGCCCACTTTAGCCTTTCACTGGAGTTTCTTTAACGCAACACTTTTTGCTGGAAAATAAAATCTAACGGTATCAGTGAAATAAGTTGCATTCTCCATAATAAAAATTTGTTTTTATCTATTTATTACGATAAATAATCAATATTATCGGATTGAACTGATTTTTTACCTTAAAGAGGAACCACTTAATGAACATTTAAAAGTTTTTCAAGCGCGAATGCGGCAGTCGGCTACAGTTCTCGGTTTGCACAACTTGTGCGAATCCTACAAGTTGAATAGCCTCGCCTAGTCTCGCTGTGATTAATATAACTGAAGAACCACACTGAACGTAGCAGAGTCTATCTTTAAATCAATATATTAAAAGAGAAATTCTAAATAATTCTTTTTTTTTGTGGTGATGCATTTAATATAATTTTAATCTACTGTGATAAAAAAGTTATTTAAAAATGAATGATAAAGGTAAATTAATGAAAGTGATCCGAAAACCACCGGTTGAAATCGAATTCAACAACATATCCTTTGCAACCGGTAAGTTGACGATTTTAACTGAAATTTCTTATAATTTTTGTTATTATTATTCTTATACATTATATATCATTTTTTATAAATTTTGAAAGGAAATAAAGAAATTTTGCACTCTGTGAGTGGAAAATTCTCTCCCGGTCAATTAGTGGCGATTTTGGGGGCTAGTGGAGCGGGGAAAACAACTTTATTAAACGTGCTTACCGGCCAATTGTAAGTTCCATGTTTATTTTATTATCTGTTAATACCATCAAATCGAGTTATTTATACACCATTAATTTGATGCCAATCAATTCAACTTCTAACCTATTTTAAAACAAAATAAACAAAATTATATGTAAATAAAATTTGAAATAAATGCAAATTTGAAAACCTCCAGACGTTTAAGTTGAAAAAAGAAATCAGAGTTGGATTTAAATTTATTTAGTCGACAACGTATAATTTAATAAAACGCGAAATGTTTATTATTTAAAAATTTATTTGGAATTTACGTAGAAAGATAAGATAAATAAAAAGTCCACGATTCGCGACAAAATAAAGACTCTAATTTGGACGTAAACAATTTCTTTTAAATTATCCAGGAAATTTGAACATAATTACTGACACTTTTCGTTTTATGATAATCATGTTCAAATTCGCGATTAAAATTTAATCAATGTCTACCCACACAATACGTCCCTGCTTTATTTCGAGTGAAGGTCATTTTTATCGCAGCTGTTTCTAGGAAACTAACAACAAAGAGATGAATATATAGAAAAAATAAATCTGACTCAATATGTTATGTATCTACAGTTATTAGAAATAACATTAAAAATTGTTATCAGCTAAATTAGATTTTGAAAATTGCGATTTTGTTTGACATGACTCACTTTTTTTTCTAATTCTGATAATAACTAAATACTGCAAATGAAAAACTAGACTACATACTGTTGGCAGAAGTCTAGGTATTGCTGGCGAAAGACTAAATACTCCTAAATGAATACTAGACACTGCTAATAGGAGAGTAGATACTGCTTGTAAAAGTATAAATATTGGCAGATGATCAAATACTGTTCACAGAAAGCAAAATATTACCAATGGAAGACTAGACTGTATATTACTTGTAAAAACTAGAAAAGCTAGACTTAGTAATAAAAGATAAAGTATTATCAAGGAAGTATTGGGATTTTGTAATTTATGTTGCTGGCCATAAATTAAGATTTGAATTTAAATTAAGAATAGGAAATGTTATTTGGTTCCAGAGTATGCGAGTGTTTACACGTTTCTGGCAAAACATCCTTTAAACGTGCAGTCGCATTCTGACACTGTCAAATACCCTTCAGTAAATGCCACTTTATCTAGGTAGGAAAGCTATCTTGAGATATTCTTAATTTAATCTAAAACAATGAAAAATTTTAAAATTTGTGCACAAAAACAAAATCTTCTCAATATAAATTGAATATATTTATAGATTATCAGGCGTTTCCGGTGAAGTATTAGTAAACCAAGAACCTCGAAACATGCGAAAGTTTCGTAAAATCTCCGCTTATTTGATGCAAGAAGATCTTCTTCAACCGCTTTTGTCCGTAAAGGAATCGATGACGATCGCCGCTCATTTAAAACTAGGCAATAATTATTCGCGAGAAGAGAAAGCGGCCGTAATTCAGGACGTTTTAGGAGTTATGGGTTTGGAAAAGTGTTTACACACCAAAGTGGAAAATTTATCGGGTGGGGAACGAAAAAGATTAACTATAGCTTTAGAGTTAATTAATAATCCACCGATTATTTTTTTGGACGAACCAACAACGTAAATAAATGCAATTTAATCGATAAATTTTGGGAATACATTAAAAATTTTCTTTTGTAGTGGGTTAGATAATGTCGCAATGAAAAACTGTGTAGAAATGTTAAAATCATTGACAAATCAAGGAAGAACTATAATTTGTACGATTCATCAACCATCAGATTCGGTTTTTAAGTTGTTCGATATCGTTTATTTCTTATCTGAAGGTTATTGTATTTATAATGGGACCGTAGATGGAATCGTGCCCTATTTATCTAATTTAGGATTTGATTGTCCTTTAACCTACAGTCCTTCAGATTACAGTAAATTAAATCTTTAAAAAATCAAAATTGTTAAATAAAATTAATTATTTTTTAGTTCTTGAAATACTCTATTTTAATCCAACAAGCACCGGCATATTAAGTAAAGAAATGCAAAATGGAAAAACTTTAGTAATAACGGGTGAAAAAATCCAAAAATTTTGCAAACCAGCTTTATCTCAAGACGACGCAGACATCGACAACTCAAACGAATATCCAGTCAGTTTCTTCGATCAATTTCGAATTTTACTTTACAGGAAATTTATTCAATTAAAACGGAATAAAGTTATGTTGTTCTTGGAAATGTTACATCATTTAATGTGTGGTTTATTCCTCGGAATGCTTTTTTATGATGTTGGCAATTCTGGAGTTAATTCTTATGCAAATGTTAAACTTTATTTTGGAACAATCGTTTATTTAATGTATACTCATATGCTTAGCCCAATTTTAGTTTGTAAGTATTTAAATTGTATACTTAATTTTTGAGTTTGATTGGTTGCCTAACTCACAGTATAAAATTACCTTGATATTTTTTTAGTTCCTGAAGAAGTGAAACTTCTCCACCGAGAATACTTTAATAGATGGTATAGTTTAAAAGCATACTTCTTGGCATTATCTGTTTCAATTTTGCCAACGATGATCTTAACATCATTTTGTTACTTAATAATCGTTTACCCGATGACAGGACAACCAATGGAATCCGATCGTTTCTTTTGGTTCCTGTTAATTAACATAATCATGTCATTAACTGCTGATGGATTCGGTTACGCAATCGGTTCAATTTTAAGCCCTTGGGTACTTAATTACTACTTATTTACTTCTTTAATTAATTTACTGTTAATCTTTTTAGCACGGTGCGACTTTAGGCTCGGCGATTTCAGTTCCAATAGTTTTAATCGCCGTTTACAACATCGGCCATGCGGATCAAGCTTCGGAAGCTGCAAAAACAATGATGTCAATCAGTTTTCCATACAACGCTTGGGTTGCTTTAACCACTTCCATGTTAAACGGACGACAACCGTTCGAATGCGAAGACATTTTTTGTTACTTTGGAGATCCAAAGTTTTTATTGAAAAAAATGGGTATGGATGAGAGAGATCAATATATCCCCACTTTGGTTTTGGTGGGATTTTTGGTCGCTTTCAAATTGGCTAGTTATGTTTCGTTAAGGTTTCGATTATCGCAAAAGTATTCTCTTATCGAAATGAAATTGAGACCGTTGATTAAACTTTTTAATTTAGATCAATGATGAGTTTTTAAAAAAATTGTTTTATATATTTTTTTAACGTTTAATAAAAATATTAATATAAAACTTATTCTTTTTATTCACTATACAGATTTCTAAATGCATATGATTTCATAAGGTATAGTTTCATGGAAAAAGTGTCATCAGCTACGACAACAAAGGGAACTGGCTTAGTTCGCTCTGGTAGTGATCTAGGTTTTGGAAAACCTAAACTATCATTAGCATGTTTCTTTGCCAAGAAGCATCCATTAAAAATACCCCCAATGGAAATTCGTCCAAGAGTTCCAACATTAATGTATAACTACACTATGCGTGCCTTTGTAATTACAGTACAGACAATTTTGTCGGAATCGGAATCTTTTCGGCTTTTTTTATTAGTTTGTAGAAAAATTCAATATATTCACATATTATATATTCATATATTAATTGGTCTTTAATTTGTTCCACATTCTTCATCAGTTAACAAAAGTTAATATGTTTAACTTTTGATTTTTCGTGAAAACTAAATTTAGATTCGATTTTCCGCAGGGCGCATGTTCTAAAGCTATACATTCGCACAACGAATATTTCAACGTCATGGGAATGCAGAGACGATATTGGCGAAATAATTTAACAACGAAAAAACGAGAGATAGTGACCTTTTAAAAGTGCAAAACGGAACAAAAGTTGATCATTTCTAAATCGGAATTTGTGGGCTTTAAACAGAGAAGCTTTGTGGTTTGTTATTGCGACAGTGACCTATTTTTTATAAATGAACGTGCAGGAAAAGGGCATCAAATTAACCAAGGTCACTAAAAGACCTCCGGTTGATATAGAATTTAAAAATTTAACTTATAAAATAGGTAAGTTTAAATTGAATCTGTTTTATGATAATAATAAGGGTATTGTTGATTGTTATTATTGAAAAGGTTGTTATCAAGAACATAAAAAAATCTTATCGTTAAGTATACAAAAACACTTTCAGATAAGGAACTAATAATTTTTATTATGAACCATATTTCGTTTCAAATTTTCATTAAGCAATTGAAATAATTAACCTTTAATTAACAAATTAACATTTCAAATTAATTTTTAAAGCAACTCATTTATAAGTCACTTTAGGTTCAATTAATTCACAGGGAATCTTGAAATAATTCACTCAGTGAATGGAAAACTTCCATCGGGAAAATTAATTGGTATTTTAGGAGCAAGTGGAGCCGGAAAAACTTCTCTATTGAACATTTTAGCCGGACAAATGTAAATTAAGATAATAAAAATTAATTAGACATTAAAGCAATTACTTTTAGTCATAATGGAGTAACTGGGAATATTTTAATAAACGATCATCCGAGAGAAATGAAAAAATTTCATAAATTATCATCGTATATCATGCAAGAAGATTTATTACAACCACTTTTAACTGTTAAAGAATCTATGAATATCGCGGCTAAATTAAAATTGGGGAAAGAATATACAGAAGATGATAAACAAAATGTTGTATGTATATAAAGATTATCATTGAAAAATGTACTCATTTTTTTTAAATAATTTTAAATAATGTTTAAATTTTCCCGCCAAAATTTCTTACGAACCGCTACTATTCTTATTGGTCCATTTCGATCAAAATGGCCGCCAATGGTTGGTAACTAAGGTAACCAAGCCGTAACTAAGCAACGCTATCAAAATTTTTCCAATTCGAATTGACAGCTGTCAAAATTGACAATCAACGTCAAATTGACATTTAGTTAGATTGTTGTATATTTTTTTATTGAATTAAAACAAGAACTAATACTAGACATAGACCTAGAAACAGATCTCACTAACGATGATGCAATTCGATGCCTACTAAGCGCCAGCATAGCCTGCTATTAGTGCAGATTACAACGTTTCTGCCAACTTTTTTGAAGTCGATGATCACATTAGCTGCTATATTTATAGCAGTTATGTCGTGCAGAAATGGAAAGGTGCAGCTCGTGCAGCTTGAGATGATAATTCTATTAAAGCTTTCATAAAGAATAAATATATGTAAAGAAAAAAAGTACATTTTTCAATAATTATAAACAAATTTTTTAAATTTTATTTATTTTTTTTAAATTTTAGTTAAAAGAAGTTGTAGATGTAATAGGTTTGGATACATGTTTAAATGTAAGAGTTGAAAATTTATCAGGTGGACAAAGAAGAAGATTATCAATCGCTTTGGAATTGGTTAATAACCCACCTGTGTTATTTTTAGATGAACCAACAACGTAAATAATTCATATTATTTCATTTTAACTTTTCTTAATATTGTTATTTTTAATTTTTCAGTGGATTAGATAACGTTGCGATGAAAACTTGCGTTCAAATATTAAAATCAATAGCTTTACAAGGACGAACTGTAATTTGTACGATTCATCAACCATCTGATTCACTATTTAAACTCTTCGATATGGTTAAACCATCATTTTATTTAAAAATTATTGCTTAAAAAGATGTTTTAGGTTTATTTTATGTCCAGTGGATCGTGTATTTATAACGGAACCGTTTCAAATTTGGTGAATTTTTTAGAAAACGCTGGTTTTCCGTGCCCGATAACTTACAGCCCAGCGGATTATAGTAAATTTGACTTTTAATGAATACAGTTAAATCAAAATTTTATTTTTAGTTATTGAATTAGTACAAACAGACCACAACGTCACAAAAAAATTATCTACCGCAACAAAAAATGGTGCTGAATGTTTTAAAGACGAAATAAACAAAAATTATTTAGCAACAATCGAAGATTTTGATGACGATTTCGATAATCAAACGGATTTTCCTAACAGTTTCTTCACCCAATTTTTCATTTTGTTTAAACGAATGCTTCTACAATTAAAAAGAAACAAAACCGGACTTTTTTTACAATTTGGTCATCATATTTTTTGTGGGTTATTTCTTGGAATTCTATTTTATAACATCGGAAATTCCGGATCAGAATTTTTAAGTAACGTCAAATTGTTTTATGGAATTGTTGTTTATTTTATGTTTACCCATATTATGGCACCGATTTTATTATGTAAGTATTTATTGTATTATTTATCAGATTAAAATTGTATTTTTTATTGATTTAATCGATTGAATCAATTTTATCGATAAAAATTGTATACAAAGAGGATGACTTGAATATTTTAAATTTAGAATTTAAAACGGTTTTATCTCATTGAAATATCTTATTGTTTATAATGGTGCATTTAATAATTATGTCATCTGGGATAACGTTATCCTATTTTTGAATATTATTCTTTTAGATTATCCTTAACCTTGTTTCTATTCATTAAAAAATTCAAAGCCTTTCCATAAAAAAGACGAAAAGAAGGGTGTATATAAATAATGTATATATAATAAATATATTTTCTATAAACAATGGTGTATATTAGATGTTAAAAAAAGTTTTTAAAATTATATTTTATTATAATAGTTCCTTTTTCCAAATTAAGAAACTTTGATGTCTTTTTTAGATCCTTTCGAAGTTAAAATTCTTCAAAGGGAGTATTTCAACCGCTGGTACAGTTTAAAAGCTTATTTCACTGCTTTAACAATAGCGATGTTACCAATCATGGTAAGTTTTTAATAAATTCCTTACTTATAATACATATATATATAAACCTTTTTTTAGATAATAACAACAATAATTTTTCTTTTAATCGCATATCCAATGACGGGTCAACCTATTGAAATCGAAAGAATTCTTTGGTTTTGCTTAATAAGTCTATTAATGGCAATTACATCACAAGGATTTGGTTTTGCGATCGGTTCACTTTTTAGCCCGATGGTAATTAACGATTTATTTGTTAATTATTAAATTTTTATATATGTTTCTTTCGTTTTAGATCGGCGCTTGTGTCGGTTCAGCTCTATCAATCCCTTTAATTCTTTTAGGAATGTATGGAGTCGAACAAGGGGAAGTTGTCGACTCAAAAATCGAATTGATGATGTCAATTAGCTTTCCTTATCATGCATTCGTCGGCTTATCAACGAGCATTTTAAATAATCGCGGGTTAATCGAGTGCGAAACGATTTTCTGCTACTTTAGCGACCCAAACCGCGTCTTAAAAGTGATGGGAATGAGTGGAAAAAATTATCAAATCGAAGCGGGGTTTTTAATTTGCTTTTTATTGTTGCACCGGGTGTTTAGTTACTTTTGTTTGCGGGTACGATTAACACCCGATCATCCTGTTATGAGATATATTAAGAAATTACAATGAAAGTAAACGAAATAATTTGTTGTCTAGTCTCTTTTTAAGAAATCTATTTTTATATGTCTTAATATGCAGAATGAAATTTTTTAACGAAGTCGTTAATAAAAAATTAATGGAATTCAAACGATTTTAATAACCTGTTATAACATTTAAGTGGCCCTGTGACTGAAAACAAATCAATTTTTTTGTTAAAATGAATAATTATCCTCTATTCTTGATAAATAAACCTCCACAGGTAACAAATTTACTTTTAATAACGCAAACGCCAATTTAGTTTCATTTTTACATCCATTTCAACAGGTTCACTAAAAAAATGTACGTTGATATCGAATTCAAAAACTTGACCTACTTCATTTCAGGTAAAATTTGATTCTAAACCAATTTTATTTTAATTTTTATTTCGTTTTGATGCAGAAAATAAAAAGGTTTTGAGTGATTTAAACGGTAAATTCGCCAGTGGGGAATTAACAGGAATTTTAGGTCCTTCCGGGGCGGGAAAATCAACATTATTAAATATTTTAGCTGGATTAATGTAAAACAAATCAACGTTAATCTCATAAAAGATTAAAACACGTTTTATTTTCAGTCATGATGGTGTTAAAGGTGATATTTACATCAATAATAAGCCGAGAAACAACAAAATGTTTCACAAAATCTCTTCTTACATCATGCAAGATGACGTTGTTCAACACCATCTAAAAGTTGAAGAATGTCTTCAGATCGCAATTAATCTAAAATTAGGAAAATCCCTTTCTGATTGCGAAAAAGAAAAAACTGTAATCATAAAGTTATCAAATTTTCTCTTTAATTAAAATTGATTTTAGCTCAAAACAATTTTAAAATCAATGTGTTTAGAACAATGTATACAAACGGAGACTCAATATCTTTCCAGTGGGCAAAGAAAACGTCTTATAATAGCGTTAGAATTAGTTAATAACCCACCAGTTATCTTTTTAGATGAACCAACAACGTAAGTACACCAAAGAATATATTTCCCACTCAATACAAAAAATTATTTTAACATTCCAGTGGATTAGATGAAATTACCCTTTTAAGTTGCATGAAATTATTAAAACTGTTAACTGGAGAAGGTCGCACAATAATCTGCACAATTCACCAACCGTCGGATAACGTTTTTAATTTATTTGATAACGTTTACTTTCTCGTAAAAGGACGATGCGTTTACAAAGGGAAACCCGGCGAAATTATACCATTTTTAAACGAAATTAACTTATCGTGTCCACTAAATTATAACCCAGCCGATTATTTAATTGAATTAATAGCCGAAAATGATGAATTCCATGCCTCGTTATCCAATCAAGCTAAAAAATGCAAATATAACGAAAACAACATTCAAAATGATGGTGTAATATGGCCATATGAAGATTTACCACCGCTGTGGTATCAAGTAAAAGTCTTAATGTCAAGAAGATTTAAACAGATTTTTCGAAATAAACTACATTTATCGATTGAAATAGGACATAATATTTTTACTGGTTTTTTTATAGGATTGTTGTTTTATCAAATGGGGAACAACGCGAAAACTTTGGTTAATAATATTTTCATCTTTTATGCGATAAATAATTATTTAATGTTTACCTTTGGAATTACACTGATTTTAATATGTATTATACTCGTTATTATAATGGTTTTGTGTAATTATTTTAAACATTTTAGATCCATTTGAAATGAAAATTCTTCAAAGGGAATACATGAATAGATGGTACAATTTGAAAGCTTATTATTTAGCTTTAAATTTATCGATTTTTCCAATACCAGTAAATTTTTAATTAAAACTTATTAAACTTTTATTAAAAACTATTTCTTTCTTAATTTAGTGTATTGGTACCACAATTTTATGTTTATTAATTTACTACATGACCGGACAACCAACAGATGAACCCTATAGATTTTTTTGGTTCACCCTATCATTAATTCTTTATGGTTTTGCATCACAAGGTTTCGGATTGGTAATAGCAACAATTTTTAATCCAGCTCAAGGAGCTGTTGTTGGATCAACAATCGGAGTGGCTCTCGTTCTTTTGTCGATTTGCACAAATGGATACGGAGATCAACTTTCCACAACAATGAAAATCTTGACTTCACTCAGTTATGTTTATCACACATACTCAGCAAATTTAATAGCGATATTGCGTGCGAGAGGACCCGCAATATGCGAGGATGCTTTTTGTTATTATTCAAGTCCAAGGGATCTATTAAAGAAAATGGGATTAAGTGAAAATGGTTATTTCATTTCTATTTTGTATGTGTTATTCTTTTTGGTGTTACACAGACTTATGGCGTATGTTATCTTAAAAGGAAGAGTAAACCCAAATTCTAAATTAAACAAGTTGTTGAAAAATGTTAATTAATTTTGTTTTTATATAATAAAATAATTAATTTGTTTTTTTATTAAAAAATTTAATCATTTAAAGTTTCTTCATCTTCGTTAACTTCACTTTGTTTCTTCCAGTTTTTAGCCGCAGCTAATAATTTAAGATTAGGTTTACTTGCTTCATCTTCAGGAAAGATATAATCGAAAACTTCCTCCCATCCCTGTTCCGTACCATCCTCAGCGATAAGTTTTTGCCTCTTTTTCGTTCTTCGCGGCATTTTATTTAATACTTTTTCCTTCATTGTATCATCACCTTGTCCGTTTTCAAATTCCAACCAATTTTCAAGCAATAAAACCCTCGCTTCCTTTTCGGGATTATTCTTTAAAGTCTCATTAGCTTTCTCATAAACCCTCCGAGCTAATCTTATGTTAATATCGTCTTCTCCTGGACAATTTAATTCAAACTTAGCGTAAGATAACCAAACTTTAACATGGACAGTTCGTTCTAATAATCTTTCATACAGATTTCGGGCGTTTTCAAATTCTTCTTGAGCTATTTCAAAGTCGATGTACGATTTCCAAAGTAATTCGGGCATATCTAATCGAGGTTGATTGATAGCTAATTCGTAAATTGCTCTGGCTCGGTCGTTATCGCCTAATAAATTTTCTAATTCGGCGAATTTCATCCATGTTACGCAATTTTCTGGGCCGAACTCTAAGAATTTTTGATACAAAATTCGACAACGATCGAATTCCCTTAATTGTATCTCTAAATCGATGTAACCACGAAATAATTTATCTCTTGGACACATCCCAATAGCCATCCCAAGTATTTTACGTGCAGTTGTTAAATTTTTTTGTCTTATTTCGAAATGAGCGTATAATAACCAAATTTTTGAGAATGTAAATGTTTTATGAGGGAGTAACTCCAAACAAGCTTTATATACTTGGCGTGCCCTTTCAAAATCTTCCGATTCTAATTCTTCGAATAACGCATAATTAATCCATAAATAAATATATCTACGCCAAAATTGTTTATTTTTTGATGGTGGTACATTTGCGATAGCTCGTTCGTAAGTTTCCCTTATAACTTCATAATCATCTTCTGTTTCAATTAATCGTAAATAATCAAACCATGCATCGTAATTAGTTGGGTTTTGTAAAATTTCTTGTTCGTATTGAAATTTTCTTTTTGAAACAATCACATCTTCAATTCCACTACGATCACCATATTTTTTCTCATGAATTGTATATGCTTTGTATAATTCTTTTGAGTTTTCCTTTGGAATATGGTCCAAAGCGTATTTATAAATAACTCGTGCGCGATCATGTTCCTTTTGGTTCTCTTCAAATCGAGCAAACGCAATGAATAATTTTTCATCTAAATGATCGTCGCCGTAAAAATGAACGGCTCTCTCAAAAATTGTTCTCGCTGAATTAATAAAACCATGATTTTCTTCGAAACGAGCGTATTTTATCCAATGTTTAACTTCAGGATGAGTTATAACGAATCTTTCATAAATTTGTCTAGCTCGATCAATCTCTTTATACCTTAATTCAAAATTAATGTAAGTTTGCCAGGCTTGTTCGTCAGGTTGCCACTCCATCCAACGTTCAAACACAGCCCTTGCTCCTGCAACATTTTCCAACATCTCTTCCATATAAGTGTATTTATACCAAAATTGGTTAACTCTCGGTAAAATTGTAGCGGCCCTATCCCATAAATTACGGGCATGATTAACTTGTCTATTCCTCATTTCCATTTCAGCGTATTTCAACCATAACGTAATATTACGATGATCCACATCCAAACCACGTTCATAAATAGAACGCGCACGTTGAATTTCTTTTTGGGACTCCTCCCATTGAGCATACTTAATCCAATTTGACATCACAGTACGGTTTTTACGTATGTTATCCTCAAATTGTTTCCTACGGCGGTGTTGATAATCCGCTAATTCGGCTGGGTCTGATATTTTTTGTTTAGGGGGAGGCGGAAGGATTTCTAAATCACGTTCTTTAGCTTCACGAAGAAGTTGTTCCGCCGTGATTTGTATTTCAGCGGGGGCCTTATTCTTAACCTAAAATTATTAAGTTTAAAGTAAAATAATTTATTTTCTGTGTGTAAGATTACCTTGGCCACTTTAGGCATTTTTTGCGGTTTATTATCCATTTTATTGGGATTAATATAAAATTATTCACTTTAAGATGAAATGTTTTGAAGTTGTTCAGGAATTCTAACCTCACTAACATAGGTGAACATAGGGCTGTCAATGAAAGGAATCTTTTATCATAAAGTTTTATTTTTTTAATTTCAAATTTATTTATCTTTTCGTTTATTAATAGTAATCCATTATAAAGAAACACTACAATAAATAAACAAGCCAAATATATTAAAAATTAAGATTTGTAACATCATGAAGAGACATCTGTTGGTTGTAATGAAAAGTTATAAATTTTGAGATAATTAATGAAAATTAATGCTTATTATATGATTTATTGATATAGAATATTATTTTTATAATTAAAAACACTACCTATGATAACATGTAAATAAGTTGATATTTAAAGCGAAATTGTAGTGCAAAAGATTGAGAGTAACGGAAGGTGAAATGATTTAATGCTTATTTTGAAAATGCAATATAAAGTGCTCTATAAAAACTAAGTTTTCATGTTTTCCAAAAATTGGGATTATTTGCTAGTCTTCTTTGAAAATTAGTAAACCAATTTTGTATAGCTGGTAATGGAACGTAAGTCGTATTAGGATCTGGAACCATTTGTTGTTGAGTTACTCCATAACTTAAAATGTAATTAGTAAAGTTATCCAGCATTTTTTGGGCGAATGTAGCATAAGTATTGGCGTTTTCAACCGGTTGGGCGTTTTGTATATTCACTATCGGCTCTGAAAAGTAACATAACCTCACTTTTCATAATCCCATTTTTATATAGATTATTATTATTACCTAAAGATATTCCAATTTGTGCGTTATGACAAATAGCTTGTTGTCCAAACGGAGCAATGTTACTACCGACGTCCATTTCATGTAATTTCTTAAAGTTAGATACTTTAAAAATTACAGAAGGTTTATCATTAGAAATATAACCTAAAAGTTGCCAATTTGGAGGCGCATTTGGATCTGGCCAACTCCAATACACCATACCAGCGGCTCCTTCGGGAAATGGCATAACACCGGTAAGAAAAACCACAATGTGATTTATATTATCGGCATCAACGATTGTGGTTATAAATTTTGTTTGTTCTATTTGTTGAAATTCCGTTTGTACCTTAAAAATGAAATTAAAGTTAAATAATTAGAATAAAATGATTTTTTGGTACTTACAAGCCGACCTGAAGCTATTATACCAAACATTTTAGAAGCTTATAATCTTATAATAAAGTGAGGTTAAGATGTTAAGAGGTTATAAAGGGAGAGTTTAAGGAAATTTATTTATGAATTATAAGATTATGAACAGATTTCGGCAGTAAAAACAAAGATGTATTTTTAAAAAGGTGCATGGAAATTGGAATTATTATTTAAAAGCTTTTTAAGAATTTTTTAAATTTAAATGTTGGCTATACTTTAAATTAAATAGTTAAGTAATATTAATAAATTGTTATATTAAAACGATTTTATTTATTAATAAAATAAACATGTCATAAAATAATTATTTTTTTATTTATTTAATTTTTATTTAATTTTTATTTAAAATAAAATAATAATAAAATTATTTTACTACCAACTATACGAGTGCCGATAAAATAAATTCCCTATTTATTACGAGTCGTGGGGTCTGTCAATAACCAACCACACAAAAATAAAAATAGTTATCTTCAAGATTGTTTTGTGTGTGCGTCGGTCGCGTATTCTAACCGTATTTTCCGCGATTTTACGCCGGTTTTGGCCCGAATCCCCTTCATTTCGAATGGAAAACATGGTAAGGATTCGTTTCCTCAGAAAATACCGTCCCTATTCGGATTGCGACGATTTAAAATCGCCAAAAACAACCTTTACCCATCTCCTTTTAAAGAATACATCTTCATCGTCATTTTTACTTTTCCTTCTTTAAATAACTTTATATAATCCTCTTATAGTACATTTTTGTATCGTTCACCTAAATTCGAAGGGTTTCATGATAGGTTAAATGTCGTCGGAGAGTTAAAAATCGATAAAGCCTCATAATGGGGGAGGTGTTCAGGTATTTTACTTTCGATTTTGTTACAAAAAGATGTTAAATTTATCTCTGAAGATGAACTCTTTTAACCGAAACGTGCTTAGTTATCAGAAATGTTTATAAACAACACCATAAAAAGATTAAAATGAATGGAATTGATTTGAAAGTTTTTAGTTTTAAAATGATTGTTAAAGAACAAGAAATAACAACAATAACATTCGTAACAATATTTACAGGTGATCTTTTCTGATGTCGGTGCCAATGTCACAATATGAGGCACTTCTTGAGGAAGTACGTTTGCTTAGGCGCAGAACTCAACATGTTCAACAACTCGCAGATCCTTTAATATCAAATGAAGAACGTTATGATGTACAGGTAAGTCAGATGAGGTAATAAAGATTAAAAAGTTTATTAAGTGTGATATAAATAAATTAGTTGCGTTTGTAAATAAGATAATTTGATAAGAAATCATATTCCTTAAAAATTGTCTTTCCTTTTTGATTAGATTAAAATCATTTTGAAATCGGTAGGTTAAAACGGTTGGTATTAACATAAATTTAACAGGTCGTTAAGCCTATAAGAGACGCTTTTACTTCTTTTGTATCTGAGAAAACGTTTAAAAACGAGTGGTTAATTTCTCTCAATTTGTTTGCGCAATCGTCCATATCGGGTCACTTTAATTTATTTAAAAATATATTATTAATAAGTGTATAATTTAAACATGTTTTTATTAGTGTTGAAATTTTGAATGAGATGGATGCAGGAAGGTTACGTTTTGGGCAAACGCAGTGCTGCATTGCGCTTGGGAAAACTCTGTTTGTGTATATGTCAGCGAGCGCGGACGTTCAGTTTCACCATAGGCGCCGTTCGAGCCGCTTTTAAAAGAAAATCGGTTTGTTTCTTCGTAGTTTTCGCTTTCGTTTTCGTTTCCCTACACACTCGGCTAATAATTTCTCACTCCGTCGTCTAAATTGAGTTTGTTTACGTGACCGGTTCCTAAAAATTCACATCACGCATGCTGTTGCTACCACTACAGATTCTCTTCAAGCCAAGCAGCTTCGAAACTCAAAGTTTTCCTTCTTGGTTTGATTCAGACTTTTTATTTATTTATTTATAGGAAATAAAATTATTAATAAGGTCAGCATGTTTATGTGAGTGATGGTGGTGGTGGGTCAATTTTAATTAATAGCCGCGCACGATCTATTTAAAGTCAAATTAGTCATTGTGGAGGAAGTGAAACGTTCCGTCGATCTATTAATTGCATCGTTGAAGAGGCGTTGAAAACAACAAACGCTAATTGGGCGATTTCTTAAGAAAAATTGATTCCGTGGGATGTTATTAAAATGTTATTTGCTGTTGTTTTTATTTTCAATAGTTAACTTTTCTTTTTGATGTTTCTCAAATATCAACCGTTCGACGTTTAAGGGCTTTAACCGGTCGATAATAAGGGTGGGGACTTGGAAAATCACACTTTGAAGGTCGAGGTCAATAGATTCGCGAGAAAAAATTAAAGGTCTCAAGGTTTGTACCAAAAAATTTACCAAATTTTTCAAATTATAACTCATCTTTCTTCGATTTTCTATGACACATGTTTTATTCATTTATCTTTATTTAAACTATCAGGAATCTGGATTTGTTTGTTAACGATTACTTACTGTTTGTACAAGACTAAACTGTTGGAATAAGTCTAGATACTACTCATAGACTAATTTCTGCTAATATAAGGTTCAATATTGTTTGCATAGATTACTTATTGTTTACAAAATGATAGACAAATTATCCAGAATTCTAGATACAGTTGCCAAGAGATTAGGTATCACTAATAGCATCCAAAACTCTGGAAATAGAGGACATTGTGTCTATGCAGCTCAACCTTAGAAAATGTAACAGAAAGCTAGAGTCAAGAAATATCGAGGCTTACATAAGCGCCATCTTTTGAAATCTATTACCAATCAAATATAATGTCTATTATTAAATCAAGTTAATAAAATAAAGGAAATTTAAAAAATATAAATCTAAAATTACTAATTTCTGTATCTTATCAATTAACTTATCCAGATTTTTTATTGATAATATATCCATTTTAAGTCATATTCGCGTTTTTAAATCCTTATTATCCAATTAATAGTCACCTTCTTTTGATACAATTTACTACAGTAAGTTCACCTTGACCCAAACGTTTCTGATGCCTTTTCATTTACCTCCACAAAAGAATCATCGACTCTCCTCAGCATGAAGGTTAAATGTCCCCTTTTTGGACTTGCAATGTCAATTTGTTTTCTCATTAAATTTAAGTGTTTCACCTTAAACTTTATTTATTTATAATATTTATTAATTGTTTAATTTAATTTTTTGTTATAGGGAAAATGTCAAACGCTTTTAAGCAATAATGTAACCAAAAGTAAAACAAATTTAAATCCGACGATGGATTCAACTGACGTGGAATTTTTACACGAAACGAAACCTCCAGACGAGGTAAATTTAATGAAATATATTTAAATTGTTAATATTAAACTATATTAATTTAGTTTGATCAAATTGACCATGAAAATATTCCAAGTGAAGATGAATGCGGCCGCGTATCCAGTACTCACATGTCAGTTAGCAGTGAACCAATATCACAACCAACGAGGGGTCGAGCTAGTTTATACCATGGAACATGGCCGGTTGAAAGAACGACTACAATGTGGAATTCAGAACCAACAAATTTAGGTCCAATGACAAATAATTTAACCGCGATTCGAATGGATCAAACAAGCGTAATGAGTTTTGCTTCAAGTTCCGGTGGCGCCCCTTTAGATCGCGTATTAAGTAGCCCAGATCATTCACGAAGATCTTCACAACAATTAGAAGCAAAAATGGATATGGTTTATAGTTTATTAGCTATGTTGGGGGGGCAAGAACACGCCGATATGGGAGAAACCCTTTTGGCATTAAGTACAAGCCCTGAAAGTTGTTTGGCAATGCGACAATCTGGTTGTATACCCCTTCTGGTGCAATTAGTTCAATCGGATAAAGACGCCGATTCACGAAAGAAAGCATCCGAGGCTTTACATAATTTGGTGCATTCACAACCGGATGAGAAACTTCGCAAACGAGAAACAAGGGTTTTAAAGTTATTAGAACAAGCTAGATTATATACGGAAGCTTTAAAAAATAACACCGAATTTATTCCTGATCCATCAATATCTTCCGGTGACGATACCGCAAGCGATAAACATCCCGTCGCTACGATAGCGCATTTAATGAAACATTCGTTTGATGAGGGTCATCGTCAAGCGATTTGTCAACTTGGAGGGATTTACGTAATCGCTAATTTAGTTGAGAATGAACACTCAATTCATGGTAGCACGAACGAAGATGGTCAATGCATTTTAATGAGACGTTACGCGTGTATGGCTTTAACAAATCTTACATTTGGTGATAGCGGAAATAAAGCTCTTCTCTGTTCGTTTCGCGAATTTATGCGAGCTCTTGTTGTACAACTACAAAGTCCCAGTGATGAATTAAGACAAGTGACAGCAAGCGTGCTTAGAAATTTATCATGGAGAGCTGATTCAGTTAGCAAAGAAATTTTAAAAGAAGTTGGGACAGTAACTGGATTAATGAAAGCGGCGATGGTTGATAGTAAAGAGAATACGTTAAAATCAATACTTTCGGCTTTATGGAATTTATCGGCTCATTGTACAGAAAATAAAGCGGAAATTTGTGCTATAGATGGAGCGTTAGGTTTCTTAGTTGATATGTTATCTTACAAAACTCCATCAAAATCATTAGCTGTTATTGAAAATTCGGGTGGGATACTTAGAAACATTTCATCTCAAATCGCTGTAAGAGAGGATTATCGGGAAATCTTACGGAAACATAATTGTCTTCAAGTACTTTTAGAACAATTAAAATCACCTAGTTTGACCATTGTTAGTAACGCTTGTGGTACCTTATGGAATCTTTCAGCGAAAAATGGGCAAGATCAAGAAAGTTTATGGCAAATGGGGGCTCCGGCGATGTTGAGAAGTTTAAATCATTCAAAACATAAAATGATTGCTATGGGCTCAAGCGCTGCTTTAAAAAATTTATTAAGTTCTCGCCCCAGCCATAGCTTATTACCCCAAATGGACGCCACAGCTAAAGCTATGGATCTTCCAGTTTTACCAACGTTAGGTGCAAGGAAACAAAAAGCTTTATTACAAGATTTAGATCAAAACTTAAGAGAAACCTACGATAATTTAGAATCGCCAAAAGATTTCAAAAAAACCTTTTTAAAAGAAAAGAAAGACGAAGATTTGTGTCATGCGTTTTCATCGATTAACCTCAATGAAACATCTTCAAACTCATATTTCCATCAAAAAACGTTTAGTGGTGGATCTTCATCACTTCCATACACAACACAAAAAAGATTGAAACGAATTGAAGATGAAACGGATTCTAACGATCAACCAATCGATTTTAGCCGAAAATATTCTGAGAAACAAGATAATTTAAAACAAAAAAAATATGTTACAACATCATACGCCGAAACTGATTTAGATCAACCAACCGATTATTCTTTAAGATACGCCGAAGACGATTCAGACTCAGAAATACCTAAAAACGAATACGTACAAGACACCGTTAAAACATATTGTACGGAAGGGACACCTTTAAATTTCTCAACGGCTACATCAATGTCCGATTTGAGAATAGAAAAAATCGACAACGAAAAAACATCGCAGAATTCATCTTCAATTCAAAAAGAAGAAAATGTTATCGACGAAAAAGATCGTTGTTCAACCGAAGATATTTCAGAGATTGAAACGGCGAGGAAATCGGAAAAGTTACAATTTAATTCGGGGTTGATGTCGCCGGAAAAGCCGGTTAATTACTGCGAAGAAGGAACTCCGGGTTATTTTTCGAGAGTGAGCAGTTTTGGATCGTTAACTTCAATTCCAGCGAATGAAAATTTGAAAGGTAAAACAGGACAAGATAAAGAAAGAATCTCTCAAAACGTTTCGCAAGAAGATGAAACGAAACGCGAAATAATCCCGAATGAGAATCAAAAAGCCGTTAAATTCGAACAAACCGTAAATTACGCCGAAGAAACTCCATTAATGTTTTCGCGTTCGAGTTCTCTGGCTTCGTTGGATAGTTTTGAGCAACACTCTATCCACGATGATCGAAGCTCAATCGTTTCTGAAATTAGGTAAATTATTATAAACATTAGTAATTAATCAATTAATGATTCGTTTTTAGTCGTTTTACAAGCGGAGTTGTTTCCCCGGATATCCCCGATTCTCCATCGCAAACGATGCCGCCGAGTCCGCGCCCTCGAAAAGTTTTAGAATACCCATCCACTTCTCGAGCAGCTATTTTATTTCAAAGAACGGCCGCTGATGGGCGACCTCAACCAGCACCTCGAAGTATTCAAAAACCAAGTATTTTTGAAGATAATGTTACTAAATTTAAAGAGGAGAGTACTCCAGTACAATTTTCCACAGCAACGAGTTTGAGTAGTTTAACTATTGATGAACACGAAGATCGAAATTTGACATTGCCAAAGGTAACTTAACTTTATTTTTGGGTGTTATATCTTAAATTGATAATGATTAAATTATTGTTTTATATTCGAGTTTAACCATGCATCTTCAGACACATGATTAAACCCTGTACTTTGTAGTTCTAGGTCTAGTGTTAGTTCTAGTTTTATTTGTTATTCAGCTTTCGATTGTTACTTCCGCCTGGAATACAGTACAGTATGTACCCAGGCTGTAAGCTTGCTTAATTCAAAGTGTCTGGCAGTATACTCCTGCCCCAACCCCTTCCGGCGTTTGAGAGCTTGCAAATATCTGCCTGATCCAGAGAATGTTCGTTTTTGATCCAGGACTGCCGTTCAGGCAGTACAAGAGTAGAGTTGGCGTTGTGCTTGTTGCACCAGAAATTGCCAAGCTATCTAGTCTAACACTATTATTATTTAGCGCTAAATAACAACTAAAATAAAACTAATTTAAATTGCGCATACTAATTGTCCGCGCGCATGTATTAAAAGTTTAAAAAATCATTTAAACTCCGTTTATGATTATTAAGAAATCACCTTTGATATCAAAAATTAAAGGATTTTCGATAAATTAGATTAAAGTCGATTTTATCTAATTTTCTTTGATAATAATTTAATTGAAAAAATATTTAAATCAATTTAAAACACGATTTTGTTTTAATATGTTTGTGTTACATCATTTATTTTCTTTTAAAAAGGTACTTTTTTTTATTAAAAATTTATATTTGTTATTATTTTTGTTTGTTATAAAGGTTTCTCCCCCAACCAGTCAAAATAGTGGGAGTACTTTGAGTGCAAACGCAACGAATGTCAATGTTGAGGAAAAAGTTAAACAAAACGACGAAAAGAAAGATGTTGAACCTGAAAAACCGGCGAATATCAGTTCGGATTCGGAGATACACATCTCTGAAAATGAAGGCGATGAAGACATTTTAGCGGATTGTATTAATATTGGGATGCAAAATCGGAGGTAAATGTTTTTGATTTGGTGGAAAATCAAAGTTCCTTTTTTCTCTTTTATTTATTTATTGTCATATGTCAAAATTTTATTTTAAACGCGACCAAATCCATTTTTTTTTGTTCTAAATTATTAATTATCTTTTATCATCTTATTTATTTTTTATTTTCATGATGTTTTTTGTTTTAATCACTTTATACTACGTGGTCGCGTTTTCATACGTTTTTTCTCTTCACAAATTGTGTAGGCACAAAGAAGTTGAACCCGTTCAGGCAACCCCCGGTTCAAAATCGTACAATTACCCACTAAAACGACCAGCATCTGGAAGTGGAATACCTCTACCAAGAAGATTTGGGCAAAATAATGGGAGTGGTGACACAGTGAAAACTTATTGTACCGAAGATACTCCGGCGATTTTAAGTCATGCTGGCTCCCAATCCGATTTGAGCATATTATCATCGCCGAACGAAAAGAAAAATAATAGTAACGTAAAAGATTATACGTCAGATGATAGCGGAAGTAATTTATCTGGGGATAACGAAAATATTTTAGCTGAGTGTATACAATCTGGGATGCCGAAAGCTAAACCAAAACATAACAACTCAAAAATATTTAACAAAGTAACTCCAGATAACAATTATTTAGATGGGAAAGACCGAAAATTGACTTATTTAATCGCTAAGGATGAAGTTGAGAAATTCGCCGTCGAAAATAGTCCGTGCCAGTTTTCTTTAAGATCAAGTTTAAGTGATTTAACCGTCGATGGAAGTGTAGCTGGTTTAGCAAGGTAAAACATAAAAAATAAATGTTTTAAATTAAAATATTAAATAATTTTTTTTAGTATGAAACCAGCATCATCGAATAATCAACAAAAACCGATTAATAATTCAAATTTATCCGGCCAAGAATCTTTATCTTCATTAAGTGTCGATTCAGTTGGATCCGTCGAGAATGAACAAGCGTTGTTGGAGCAATGTATATCATCGGGAATGCCAAAAAGTAAATCTTCAGAATCGTCTCAACACCCCGATACGGAACAAAAAGATCCAAAAAACGCACCTGCTGCGTCTGCTGTCGCAAGCATACCTCATCAGCTCGAATTCGAGCAGATTCACGATCATCGTCCCGCACCACCACCAATAACGGCAGGCGAAGACGAGTCAGACGCAGGCAGAAGTCACGCGACGAGGGACGAACCTTTGAAAACACCCCCCGCAACAGAACAGGTTTTGATCGAACCAAAGAAGAGTGGGTGTGAAAAAGAAAATGTTGAAGAAAAAATTGAAAATGAAAAGATTGTAAATAGAATGTTAGATCCGGATGCGATGATTGAATCTTTAGATCGATTTACAGCCGAATTAGTATTACAAGCTCAATCGAGAATGGAAAAAGAAAAAGATTTACAAAACTCTGTTACCGATGGTGGTGAAACTTGGACGGATATTTCACCAAACGATGTTAGCTTCCCGAGTATTTCCGGTTCTGTTCCGCAAGTAATAACATTTAGCGATGACTATGCGAGAAAAGAGGCCAATTTCACGACGGATATGAGCACATTAACGGAATCAACTTTAATTGCGATAGAAGCAACCCGAATCGCGACCACTTTTCAAATGGAAGCCGCGATGGCTCATAGCACGGGTCCTTTTGAATTGGACATGATCCAACCACCTTCTCATTTGAATTCATTAACAAGCTCGATAAACGAACTTGATTTTAATAAAACAAAACGAAGTCCTAAATTAACGGTAAGAAAGAAATCTTTACCGAACTTAATGATACGAAAAGCACTTACAAACTCGCTAAATCAAGCGACAAGTTTTGAATCGTTGGAAAACAGGAGTATATCTAACTTAGATCATGTTAATCCCCCTTCGATTTTAGGCGATGTTGAGCTTTTAGACCTTGAAGGCTCAATGATAAGTGTGGCTTCTTTGCAAAGCGAAGCCGAGGATGTCAAAACGGATTTTTTAATTAACGGATTTGTTTCTGAGAATCGACAAAACTCGCATCCGATGTTTAATGTGAAAGTACCCTACTCGGAAATTGAAAATGTTAATCCCCCATCGATTTTCAATGAAATTACGGATATTTGTAATTCTTTAGCTGACGCTCAAACTGAAGCCATGGGAACTGAAACTGAAATCTTCGAAGATTGCATCACCCACTTAGACAATGATGCAACTTTATTTTCCGACGCAAATAGTAGCACCCCATTGGAAAGTGATTTAAGCAGTAACGATTCGACTCCTAAAAAGCAAAGAAAAATGTTAACCCCAAAAGAGCGAAGAAACCTGTCTAAAGATCGATATAAAACTTACACGATTGATTTGCAAGCTTCCGAAGATTACGTTACATGCACTTCAGGAACTCCTCCAAGAAGTAGCCCAAAAATGACGGCGAGAGAAAAAAGGTTAAATAATCGATCTAGATTTGAAACGCAAGTTATTGATGAAAGTATCTTAAAAAATTTTGAAAGTTCTTCATCAAAAGAAACAATTTCTGAAACTTCTACTTTAACATCAACGTGCATCACAGAGAGTACATTAAATGGAAATTGTTCCCAATCTAATATTCGCAAAAATTTCATTCAAAAAAGGTTAGAAAACCGGGATCGATTCAAAACAAAGGTAATCACAGATAATTCTTCAGCTGTAATGTTAATAACATCACCGAATTCGCCCGATTTACATTATTTACTACAAAAAGAGGCTAACACAGTGCTCAAAACTTTAAATGAAACTAAAACGAAAGTGGATGAATTATTAGAATGCGAAACATTAAGTTTGGTATCAAACGAAGAAGATTCATCCGAGCAAAACTCTGGGGGTTCTAATTATAGAACGTATCACAAGAGTTGGGGGCTCAATCAACCTCATATACCGGTTGTTGATCAACAATCAACAGATGATACAATTAAAACGAAAGAATTAGATAGTTTTGAAATTGAAAACATCGAAAATTCTGAATCATCTGATTTTGAAGGTGAGGTTAAACCAGGAAAACCAAAAATTGTTAAACCCGAAGATGTCGTAGAAAAAGATGAAGAAAAAGTTAAAGCGATTCGTGGGCACCGAAAATCTTTGTACCATCGAAACGTTAAAACAACCCCACCAAGTAAAATCGTTTCACCAACTCCGATTAGTAATAAAATGAGTCCTACAAATAAAAATTTGGTAACAAAAACGACCCCACCGAAAAATGTTAACAAAACCCCACTATCTAATTCAAAATTAATTAAACCATCAACAAAATCGACGAATATCCCAACTCAAAAAAATAATTTTATTACTTCCAAACCACCACAACAACAAAGCCCGATTAAAAGTAATTCACCAAAACAACATTCGAATTCTACTTCAACAAAGTCGCCGAATTTAGAACGACAAGGGACTTTTGTTAAAGAAGAAAAACCGAAAACAGTTTCGGGAATTCCAAAATCGGCGCCAAGTAAAATCCCATCAACGAGTAATATTCCGAAACCTTCAAAAATCGCGAGAGCCACCCCACCACCACCACCTAAATCAATTCCAAAACCACAAAAAACACCCCCTTTAAATAACCAAGAGAAACCAAAAACTTTTTATCGATCCCCAAGCGTCGATGCGAAAGATGTCACGAAAAGAAGCAGCTTACAACCGTCTACTTCGACTCAAAGTTTAAAAAATGGGGGTGTTGTTAAGCGGTCGTCGATGCCGGAAAGTACGAATCAACAAAGAAATGGCAGTAATGGTAGTTTGGCTTCGAACGGTTCGAATTCGAAACAAATTACGAGTAAAATCGCGAGTTTATGGAAAAGAGTCGAGGAAAGTAAAAAGCAAAGTAATAAAACTATTGATAAACGAGTTTGGATTCAACCTGAACAACAAAAATTGATTCGTAGTAATACCTTTGATAATAAAGATGAATTACATGGAAATCAAGATTCCGGAAAAAGGATATCGAGGTAATTTAATACTTTAAATTACTAAAAATATAAAATAAATTTGTTTGTGTTAAAATTAATCAGGTTGGGATCATTTGTAGTAGTGGAAGGTGAACCAAACGTGTAAACCTTTAAGAAAAACCGGAAGTAACTTCTAGGATCTTCTTAAAAAAATTAATTTAATAAAAGAAAACAAGAAGAAATTCTTTCGCGTACTCATTGTATGTTCGTATTATAATTTTTGTCTATGTTTTTTTGTTCTAGTCCTTTATTTGCAATGTGTAATGTAATCATTTTTTTATATAAATAATTAACTGTATGTTAAAAGACTGTGTATCATTTTATTTGAGGGATTTAAATGTAAATATATAACATTATTTAAAAGGAAATGTTTCAATATTGCATTGTAGCATTTATTTACTACTTATTCTTGTTCTTCTTCCATTGTAGAAGGTAGTAAAAAAAATTAAACAAGCTCGGGAGATAATGTACCTTGTAATTTTTATACGAAGGCGACGAATTGAATGTGAACCGGACATTTTAACTCCTGTAATAATTATATTTTTTTTTTTAAATTTTTTCATTAACCATTGTTGGCATCATCTATTCTTATTTTTAGTAGGTAAATTTATTTATGACGTATTTACGTGTTATATCGATCAATAAAATTGCTTAAATCTTTTTGATTTTGTATTTCATAAACACCTCAAAATTGCTTTATATATAATTATTTAAAAATAAAGTGGAAATTTTATTTTATATGTACAAAAAAATTTATTCAAAGTATATTTAACTTAAAAATAAAATATAAAAAGCTATCGTTAAACAAAACATTCCTACGTAAGGAGACATTCTTTCCCCTATTCTAGCACATTTCCAAAACGATCCTGACCATCTAAAAAAAAGAATTAATTAATAAATTAAAATTAATAAATACAACTCACCCATTCTTATTTCGATCTATTATACTTGGAAATAACGACCTAAGATAAGTGCAGGTACATATTAATAGTAGGAGTATGATCACCACACTTTGGAAGCTAAATAGCACGGACTAAAATATTAAACGTTTTTATTTATTTATCAATCGTTAATTAATTAAACTTACCATTTTATTTTAATTTTATTAAATAATTTTAGGTTATGATTTTATTAGTGACGTTTACATCTCTAAAACGTCAAATTTTATTATGTTAGTATCACTGTAAAATTGGCGCGCAATAAAAAAAAAACTCTTTTAACCTACACTTTAAAAATGGTCGAATTTATTTAAATCATTAAAATCGTTCTTATACAATAAAATAAGAACTTTTCGTAAATAAATAAATTAATAAATAGGTTTTTTTTACTTCACTTCCGTTACGAAGAAGGCGGTGGAAGGGGAATCATTTCCGGAAAATTACCGTTGGCAATTCTGTTCGAAGAATAACTTGTCAATGAGTGCGTCTTCGTAATATGGCTACGAATAATTATTTTGGCTTTGCACATGGTGGAACTCAATATAGGTAAGTTTTAAAACCATCTAGAAATGTATTCGAACGTTTTCCATGCTTCAAACATACGTATCTATGAAATCCTTAGAAAAACGCGCCGTTGTGTACCGGTGTCCTTGAAGCTATGGCGCCGGCATATTGGCACGATCAATAACTAGACTTGGCGTGTACCCGTCATAGGCGGGTGACGCTTAAACAAACCCCTGATATTTTGGGGTCATTTTGAAGTCCTTTCACCCATTCTTTCCATAATCGTTAAAGTAATAATACTTATGATCGATTTTTGTGTACTTTCAGTGCTGCGGCCGCCACTGGGGCCGCTTATCAAGCAGGTCAAGCTGGATATGCTGTAGCTACACCCGCCACTGCTGCTGCAGCTGCTACTTACGGTACTCAACGACCTGCAGGTAAGATTTGCTTAAAAGAAAAATATAAAAACTTCTATATTTATTTATTTACGAAGTAAAGATTAGATTCTTTATCTGCTTCAGCTAAAATTTCGAAAACCATATTTTGGTTCCAACAATTATTGTAAAATCCATTTTAGATGGATCATTTTTGCCGATTTTTGTTAAGGTGAAGCAAAATAAATCATTAACTCTAAAACAACTTTAATCGTTTTGTTGTGTTTTGTTATAGATGTTTACAACGAAATGCAATAAACGGTTAAGGTTAAAAATGTATTATGTATCAAAGTCCAACATAAAGGTGAATAAGTAGGTTGAATTTTCGACTCTGATAAATTTATTTAATAATAAGAATTTGTCAGGGACGATTTTGTTGGACCCATTGTATGGCATTTACTTTTAACCATGTCATTGTCACCATGTCACCTGGCATTGTTAAAAGTTATATTTTAATTAAATCTTATGGTACCCATTGGCTTCTATGTGTGTATCTGAAAAATTAAATATTCAAACTATTTTATTTTGCCATTTAGAAGTCGATGTGTAAAAATAGTGACAATTAAATTTTATAAAAATTGTCTACAATAATTTTAACTTATAGGAATCCCTTGTTATAAGGTAATAAAAGTAGTCTACGCGGTTGTTGGGTTCGTTGGCAGAAAGTTCCTAGAAAACGAAAAAATAAATTTAAGAGGCTGAAACGGGATGATTTATTTTGCACCACCTAAACAAAAAAAAACTTAAAAAAAAGTCGTAATAAGAGTAATTAAAAACGTTTGTGCAGGGTACGAGACAGCGTACCAAGCGGCTGCGGCGACGCCGGGAACTTATGCCGCTGTGGGTACAGGTACGACACCTGCTTACGAGTACGGTTACGGTAGGCCAGCAGCGGCGACTACTGGTTATCCGGACGCTGGTAAAACTTACTATCAGCAGACGGCCGCAGGACAAGCAGCCCAAGCCGCTGGTTACACGGCTGCTGGATACGATCAGACGGCCGCCACTGCAAAACCGACAAGTTACACTGCAACATACACCCAGAGAACGGCTGCTCAACCACAAGCACAGGCCGCGGTAATTAATCATTAAAAAAAATGAGAAAACAAGTTGTATCTTATTCTTGAATAGACCGTGACGGCAAAACCGACGCAGTATACAGGAACTTACCAGGCCAACGCAACCGGATATCAAGCGACTTACGCCCAACCAGCCGCGCAGACTACCATAGCTGCTCAACCAACAACTCAAGCTAAACGTAAGAAATTTATAAACTTACGTTTCATTATTATTTTTAACAAGGGATTCAAATACCACTCCATAATAAAGTGTTAGCCCAAATGCTTGACAATTCTTTGAAAATGTTATTCGATTAATTGTTTTCTATTGGGCTTAAAATAAACGTCATGGAACTTTTCACAAAATTACTTTATCAAATTAGTAATTTTGCAGCCCAATATTCCTTACATTTATTTTCAAAACTAATCATATAACTAACAACAAAATATACAGTGAATTTCACTTAACACTTTCGTGTCCACTCAATATACAATTAGGGTAACGTCAATTGCTGGCATCACAAGTAGCGAAATATTAGTTGAAGGCGTAATAATAGTATATTAAAAAACAAGTTTCGTAAGACACGCTTGAAATGCACGAATTCAAGTTGAAAAACGAGTGGCGAAGCCACGAGTTTTTTAATGAATGAGTGCTTTAAGTCTTATGAAACGTGTTTTTTATGCTATTTTTTGTAATTCGCGTTTTTATACTTTTTTTTAACAAAAATAAAGTACATTTTGGCAATGTAGGGAAATAGGTATGTAGCAGTTGGTAACACCGGAACACTTGAAAATAGAAACTTTGAATTGACAATTAGAAACTGTCAAAACACAAAATATATTCACCTGAAAAAAATGTTTGATGTACACCTCCCAAAATAAGAGAAATTGCTCAGAGTCAATGTCCTCATCATTGTGGACCTTGTATTCGATGCTAAGAACGTGTTTAAACATCCATAGACAAAAATTGTCACATTGACAACTAGAAAAATTAATGACCCAATGTCACCAACTTGAACAGGTTCCATAAAATGTTACTAAAATCTCATTACAGCATCGGATGCTGTAAGGAGTCTCATTACAGCACCCGTTTGAGTACTGTTATAGCTTCCATTATCGTAGCGAATTACAAAAAATATTTTTACACATGGCATAAGTTTAATTTTTTGCAAAGAAACAAACTAAGGTCTAGTCTAGTGACTAGATCTATAGTTCATTTTTTTTTATAATACCTGTCAAATTGTTGTAAAGTTGGCAAAATTAACAGGGAGTTTTGTTTTATCATGTTTTGAAGTAAATATGTCACATTGACGTTTGAGCTTTCGTTATTCAAAAAGAAAAGGTGCATAAAAAGTGTTGTGGGGTGTTTATTTGCCATTTACTTACCTAGAAAAGGTATTTTATTCTATTTAATTACTTTGTAGAACGTTTTTATAATAAATATGTACTTCGTCAAAATCGTATTTATCTAAAAATTTATTAGAATTTTAACCTCAACTAATTAGTTACTGACAATGTTACTAAAAATCATGAAAACAACATAAATTTTATAAGGGTCCTAGATAATACCAACAGAAACCCTAAATAATTTACATTGACAAGTATTATAGAAAAAAAACGAACTATAGTATTAGTTCTACTTTTACACTATCACTAGAACTAACACAAAATCTAGAACTAGAATCATTGTGGTTTAGCCGTCTTGAGAGATGCACAGCTAAACCCGATCGTGTCTAGGTGTAGTATTAATTATAGTTTTATTTGTAATGCAGCGTTAAATTGTGGTATATTTTTATTGAACGATAAGTAGAACTAACACTAGACCTAGAACCAGAAATATTCTGGTTTAGCCGTGCGTCTCTTAAGACGGCCGAAAACTCAGAGTTATCATATAAGGACGTCGCCTCTTTCCTTTGCAAAATTGCCCAATGCCTGTACAATTAAGCATTTTATGTGGGACGTAGTAGTTGCGTAACTGCATTCATACAGTGCGTTTCAAAAGTAATGGATAAATTCGATAAAATCATTACAAACAATTTCGGAAAAAATCGCTGAATTTTTTGGTGTTATTTTAAATTTATTCCGCCATTTTTAATCGAGTTATGACGTCATCATAGTACATTAAAAGTAAATTAATTTGTTTTAGCGACATATTCAGGATACGACGCCGCTTTATATTCCGCAGCCACTATGTACGTGGCTCAACAATCAAGTGGAGCGAATCAACAGAAAGCTGCAGGTTGGCAGGGTTATAAAAAAGGTGGTGGGGGCGCAAAGAATATGCGTACGAAAGCGCCACCGAAACCGCAACAATTACACTATTGTGATGTGTGTAAGATTAGGTAAAAAACGAAAAGAAAAAAGTGTTTTTCCTGAAATCAATACTTAAATTTCAAAAATAATTTTTTAAGAAATTATTAAAACGAGATTTTGTTGTTGATTTCATAAAAAGTTCTATTTTAGAGAGTTTATTTTTAATGTATATTATTTTAAATGTGTAGTTGCGCCGGTCCGCAAACTTATAGAGAGCATTTAGAGGGTCAGAAACACAAAAAAAGGGAGGCCGCAACTAAAATGACGGCAACAGTAGCTAATACGAATCAAAATCGCGCGGGAAATTCGCTAAGATGTCAACTGTGTGATGTTACATGCACAGGTAAATTAAAAATTAATTTTCTTTTTAGCCCAAATTGCTTGACAATTTTTGTGATGATTCAATTCGATTAATTGTTTTCTATTGGGCTTAAAGACTAATAAATGGAACTTTTCACAAAGTTATTTTATTAAATTAGTAACTTTGTAGTCCAATATTCCTTACATTATTAAGACACTTTTACCAATCTCCTGATAAAACATCTAACGTTTTTAGAGCAATTGGTAAAAGTGGACGTAATTGTTATAATTTTTAGTTTAAATTAAATTATTGTTGGGGTATTTTTAGGTAACGATGCTTATGCTGCCCATATTAGAGGTGCAAAGCATTCGAAAGTCGTAATGTTACACACAAAGCTGGGGAAACCGATTCCGCCCCAGGAGCCGGAAATAATTGGGGGTCCACGTAAGTCGGTCAGCTCTACTCCTAAAATAAATTTTGTGCAGAGCGGTAGTTTGGGCATGTCTACAGGCAACGGGGATCTAAAAGAAGAGGAAGTTGATGATACCCCAGAACCCGATATTCAACCAGTCGGACAGGATTACATTGAAGAAATTAAAAGTGAAGATGGAAAAGTAATTAAATCCATGATAATCAATAAACTTAATTAATTATTATTTTATTGTATTTAGGTGATTAGTTTTAATTGTAAACTCTGTGAGTGCCGATTCAATGATCCAAATGCCAAAGAAATGCATATGAAAGGTCGAAGACACCGGCTTCAATACAAAAAGAAGGTTAATCCAGATTTGGTTGTTGATGTTAAACCGTCCCTCAGGCAAAGGAAGATTCAAGAAGAAAAAATGAGACGTGCTGTAAGTTTCTTCTTAAATCAAATTAATTTTTTTAATTTTTGATTTTAATTTAGGCATTAAGAGAAGAATATTGGCAACGTAGACACATGGCAGCCGAAGATGAAGAAGAACGTATGTATTGGGAAGAAAGGCGACGATACGAAGAAGATTACATGGAATGGTGTCGTAGAGGAAACATGGGACCTTTTCCAAGGGGAAGACCACCTTTCCCTGGAAGTGGACCCCCACCGGTACAATTAAAATTAAAATAATCGCTAATTTATAATTAATAACACAAATTATAGTTTTATCAAGGACAACAAATGGCGCGTCGAATGGAATCGAGCGATGATAGACACGTGATGGCGCGACACTCAGAGATTTACCCCAAAGAAGAAGAATTACAAGCTATTCAACGTATCGTATCTCACACTGAAAGAGCCCTAAAAATAGTTTCGGATCAAATGGCAGAAACTATTTTAAAAGATGATCAAAGTGGAGCGGTGCAACCAACAGGAAATGGACAAGATGAACAAAAGGGTGAAGAAGTGAAAAATATTGAACAAAAAGAAGATGGAAGAGATAATCAATTGTTAGTATTTTTTGATTTTATATTGAAATAGACAATTTGTTCCTTCTAGTACTTTAAGAAAATAGTGCTAGAATTTTAGTGTTGTCTTAAAGAAATTGAAAGTTTTCACGTTTGACTTTATTTAGATGGTAAAAGTCGAGTTTTTCCGCTTTCAAACATCTCAAAATATTTAATTTTTAGTTATTTTATTAATTTTTGATTATTTTCTAGATTTTCGTTCCAACAAGATCGAGATACAGCGAGAATGTTAAAAGGGGTGATGCGCGTCGGTCATTTAGCAAAAGGTCTCTTACTTCGCGATGATACAAACGTTGAATTGGTCGTGTTATGTTCCGATAAACCGACATTGACCCTCCTCCGCAAAGTAGTCGAGTTACTTCCTGCCGCTTTGAAACAAGTCAATAACGGCGATCAACAACAACAACCACCTTTGCCGAAAAACGATCAGAATTACGCGGTGACGATTAACGCAGCTGAAGCTGGATTTACGGTATCTGCTGATTCGTTGACAGTTTTGGTTCAGTTGACGAGTCCGGTGATGCGCGAGCAAGGTTAGATTCTTTAGTTAAGGTTGAGATGTGTCAGGGGAAGGAATAACTGCTTTGATGTTTTTTTTTTGATAAGGGTTAATGGGGGGTGGTCTGTTTTGAAAAAAGGCCGGCTGCCTCCTTCATTTTTACCCCATCCAAAAAGAAAAAAAATAATTTATGATGTGCATTGAACAGTTTTTTAGATCGAGAAGTCCAAGTCTGGTAATTGTAGCAACCTGCGAAAAACACGCAGAGGAAGCAAAAGATTCTGTTGTGTTGTGTTGTTTTTTATAAGAGTAAGAAGAGATTTTTTTAGCTCCATTTGGTTTTTTCCTTTTAAGTCAAGAAGGTGTTGTTCAATTAATTATTTATTAACGATTTCGAACAAGCAAGAGAAATCTTTTGTGAGAGTACGGATGGTTTTTTTTTATTGTGTTTTCTTTTTCCTTTTTAGATCAACAAAAAAAAATTTAATTTCTCATTTATTTTTATTTTAATACTTTACTTGACGTACTCTCTAAACACGTCGTTTTCAATTTTGCATCGACGTTTGCTGATTGCCAGATTTAGAGCTGATTCTAGGTGGTGTGGGATAAGGATTTTTGACCAACTTATTCTCTCGCCTCGGGCCGCGGCCGCCGAATGTCGAAGACGGTCGGCCCCGGTCGTCGAGCGATGTTGACGATGGTCAAACACCCTTTTGTCTGTGGTGTCTAGAAGCTGCGAGCGGCGGGTCGGACCGGGACGTTCTCGCACGCGGCAAGTGTCTCCAGGCGCTGGCAGCCCTCAGACATACCAAATGGTTCCAGGTTTGTGTCCCTTCTCACACCGAAAAATTTAAAAAAATCAATTTTACGTTTTCGATCGGTTTAATTCGGGACTTATAACGTTTATTATTGGGAATAGAACGCGAGATTAAATTTTTAACCCATTACCACGCTTTTTTATTAATCAAATGTTTAAAATTAATTCTTTTAAGTGTTAATGGGTTAAGTTTTATTAATTTAAAGTAACTTTAGTAGGTAATTTTAATTAATTTTTGTTTTAATCTATTCCCAAAATTTCGAATACAAGTATAATCGGCTTTTTATATCCGTGTTTCGGTATTTTATTTCTTTTATTAAAAAAAATCCTTTGAGGGTCCTGCGATACGCACGCGATAGATCTTTGAGATTTATTATAACATCAATTTTTGTTTTGTTTATAAATTTATTAAATTAGAATGTTTGAAGACGAAAAATCCAGGACCCTTTTAAAATCTCTTTAACATTTAGATTAATTAAAATCAATTTGCGTAGGATTTAATTATTTATTGTTTCTTAGGCTAGGGCGTTGGGTTTGCATTCTTGCGTGGTCATTATTCGTATTTTACGAGATTTATGCCAACGTGTACCAACTTGGGGACCTCTAAGTCCTTGGGTAAGTTTTATATTTCATAAACTAATTCAAAATAATAAAACGATCCTATTTTTTAGGCAATGGAACTTTTGGTGGAAAAAGTAATATCTTCAGTACCAGGACAAATTCAATTATCGCCTGGAGATGCACTTCGCCGCGTGATGGAAGCAGTATCGGAAGGACTTCTACTACCCGGAGGACCAGGATTGGGAGATCCTTGCGAAAAGGATAACCCGGATGCAGCAGCCGCATTAACAGCTCAACAAAGAGAAGATTTAACTTGTTCCGCGCAATATGCACTTAGGTTAATTGCATATAGGCAAATACACAAAGTAAAAGTCTCATTTATTAGTCCATTTATGTACTAAATAGTTATTTTTTTAGGTACTAGGTATGGATCCTTTACCTGCGTTACAAAAAACGTTCCGTCGTGATCGGTCGGCCAGGAAACGTAGACGTTCCGGTGGTGAACAACAAGATTCCGAAAGTAAGTATAAAATAAAATTGAAATTTTCGAATTTCGTTTGGGTTTAATAGACTTTTCGACAGGTGACAGTGGGAAAATGGTGAAAACGGAGGGAACGGAAGTTGTTCCACCCACAGTTGTTCCGGATCCATCCGCTCCTAAATAAACTCACTTTCATCTGAATCTTAGCGAATAGCGCCCGTGCTATCCATATTGGAAATAGTGCGTTTTATTTTAATTTCCAATCCGTTTCGAGTTCATTTTTCTCGTCGATTTATTTCTATCATACTACGAAATGTGTAGAAGTAAACGTTGTGGGGAAACGTTTTTGTTGAATTGAATGATTTAAAAAGAGAACACCTATTGAGCAAAATAATTGATGTATGGATTTACGAATTAATCTTCTTATTTAAGTTTTTTAATGCAGAATGTTACTTTGTATGTGTGGTTGAATAAATAAATACATTCTCTGTGGAACATATTTTAAATAAAAATAACCCTATCTGCCTATCAGAAAAATCAATTAAACTGCTTCCTACTTTATCCTTAAATATTAATAATATTTTGTAATAATATAACCAGTCATAAGCATTATTTTGAAGATTTAAGCTCTTATCCTATAGAACGTAAGAGAATGTTATGATGAACGGTAATAATCATAAATTTATTTTTATGATATAAGAAAATACGAAATAATTTTTAAATAACCTCTAGCGACATCTCTTATTCATTAGTGGAACTAGTCAAGTTAATAATGATTTTTTGAGGGTTCGTAACTAGGCTAAACAAAAAATTATACCGGGTGATCCAAATAAAATCGAGTAAATATTTTTCCAATCGAGATTATCTTGAAAAATTTTATTTTTGTTTGAATCACCCGGTATAATTTTTCACTTAGCCGAGAAGCAAACCACCCCGAAATAATTTTTTAAATTACCTCTAGCGACATCTCTTATTCATTAGTGGAACTAGTCAAGTTAATAATGATTTTTTGAGGGTTCGTAACTTGGCTAAACAAAAAATTATACCGGGTGATTCAAATAAAATCGAGTAAAAATTTTTCCAATCGAGATTTTCTCACAAAATTTTATTTTTGATTGAATCACCCGATATAATTTTTTACTTAGCCGAGAAGCAAACCACTCCGAAATAATTTTTCAAATTACCTCTAGCGACATCTCTTATTCATTAGTGGAACTAGTCAATTTACCTATAAATATTTTGAGGGTTCGAAACTCGGCTAAACAAAAAATTGTACTGGATGATTTAAATAAAATTGATTAAAACGTGATTTTCTCCCAAAAATTTCTTTTTGTTGTCGACAAACCGCGGTACTTTGATAATGTTACTTTAAGGTAAAGGAATTAAAATACGTCAAAATAATTTTTAATTTTTTTAATATTAAAATCTCAAATATAAATTAAACCTTATAAATTACTTTTTCGATTTGATTAATTGTAATTCAGGAATCCGTTTTTGTTTCCCAAATACTTCTTTATCATTCATATAAGTTTGTAAAACTTTCGGAATACTAACCGTACCATTTGAATTCTGATAAGTCTCAACTAAAGCAATTATCATTCTCGGTATAGCACACGCAGTTCCATTTAGTGTATGTGCAAATAATTCATCACCCTTCAAATTTTTATATTTGATATTTAACCTCCTCGATTGATAATCCGTACAATTACTACAACTTGAAACTTCGCCGTACATGTTTCTACCAGGCATCCAAGCTTCTATATCGTATTTTCTATAAGCAGGGGCTCCTAATTCATGCGCGGCCATATCGACCGTTTGAAAATATAATCCTAAAGATTTGAAATGTTGTTCCTCAAAATCTCTGATTTCTTCTAAAATTAAATTTGATTTTTCCGGTTGACACACAATAAACATTTCGACCTTTGTGAATTCGTGTACTCTATAAATGCCTTTTTCTTCTGCCAGGGCTGATGTTTCAGCTCGAAAACAACGACTTACAGTTGCTACTCTTTGTGGAAGTTCTTTTTCTGGGATTAAAGTGTTCATGAAATAACCAGCTAAAGCCATTTCTGACGTTCCAGATAAACAATAATTTAATCCATGTCTTTCGTCCAATGAATAAACCTTGATTAAAAACATAATTATTGTAAAATTTTAATTTATTCTATCTTAATTAATTTACCTGTGTTCGCTCACCTCGAGTATTTAATCCACAAGCTTCGATAACATCTCGATGTAAAACATCGGGAACAGTAACAATTTTAAAGTTCATCTTTTTTAAAGTATCTAAAGTGTACTTAATTAAAGCATTTTCTAATTCTGCTGCTTCTCCTTGCAGAAAATAACTTCGACTTCCTGTAACACTTCCTAACTTTTCCGTTCGAACCAGATTTAATTTTTTAGCAATCTCTTGAAAATCTAGTGGTTTAGCAACTTTTCTTTTTTCACCAGTTTTGCGAATAATTTTAGATTCTTCCCCGTATTGTATAACTTTAGGATGAGTTTCATTGGGAATACGAAGACTTTCTGCGTAAAAACGTGCCTTTAACGCGCTGTAATTAGCTGCCCTTGGATCTGTTTTATCTAATTCCATTTTTAAAGCCGTTACAAGCTCTATATCCCCAACACCTTTCCTCCTTACGATATTCTGTTTTATTTCAGCGGTGTGATCTATATTTAGTAAATATGCGAAATCTAAGTCGGGATTCGCAGATACCCTCCAACATTTTTTGGGAGATAAATGTAAACATCTCTTTAAAAGTGAAAAACCTTTAGACATGATGAAATTTTGAGGTTAGGTTATTTTGTAGAACACCTACTAATAAGGAAATTAAGGATTTAATTTAAATAAAGCGTGGAAATGTGCTTAGATTTGGTTTTAAAAGAAATATTTGTTGAAAACTTACGTTTTGACATTTAAAAAATAAACACTCTGCGATAAACAAATTATTTTGGTGATATTTGTCGAATAATAATTAAGGTTGGTATTAATTCAACTTTAAGGTTAGAATTCTGTCAAAACATTGCTAAAAGTAAATAAATTAATGATTTTTAAACGTTCTATACTATTCTCAACGCTTATATTAGGGTAAAATAATAAAATAATATTCGTAGATTTACACCACATATAATTTTATTTTAGTTTAGTTAAAAAATCTCCTTTAGCTTCCCAAAATACACAAAAAATGTCAAACTCCTACGTTTCGGGGACTCACTCTGCGGCATATGTAACCGCTCCTAACGAAGAAGTTGCAAAAAAAATAGCTCATGGATTAGTTTCACATAAATTGGCTGCTTGTGTTAATATCATCCCAAAAATCACGTCCGTTTATGAATGGGAAGGTAAAATCGAAGAAGACTCGGAAGTTTTGATGATGATTAAGACAAGGAGTACTAAAATTCCAGAATTAACGGAATTTGTAAAAAGTAATCATCCTTATACAGTTTGTGAGGTGATTTCAATTCCCATCGAAGGTGGAAATCAACAATATTTGAATTGGATCGGGGATGTTGTACCAAATAAAAATTAAATTAGATTATGTGAAAAAAAATAAATGTTTTAGAATTTAGAAATCTTTAAATAAAGATGTTATTTTAAGGTAACCAATAATCATAAAAGATATCAAGAATAAAACATAACTATAAAGAGGAATTGCAAAGTTTTTGGAGAAAAAAGTTTGAGCACTATAAGAAAATCCAATTCAAGTTGTCGTTATGGTAGGACAAAGTTAGAATTGGAAATTTATAGCCTTCAGCTTGACAGCTTTATTCGAAAAGTTTCTCCGTAGGCGAATTTGCCTTTTACTTTTACCGTTCCTTTTTCCCCTATAAACAGTTTAATCAATTTCTGTTAGCATCACTGTATTTGACATGTATTTGACATCAAAAACTCGCTCATTTTATCTTTGATCATGTAAAACAGCAATCCTCTCATCTATTCTAATGCAAATTTACTTTTTGTTGTTAGTTTGACAACAAAACTTCAAAATAAGTATTTGAGAGACCTCTAGCGGTCTCTAATTAAAAAAAAATAACATATTAATCTTTAATTTTTTAATTAATACGCGTATTTTATATTTAAATAATCACGAATTAAAAAAGAATATATTAAATTTAGTATATTAATTGTTATTAAGTATATCATTAAATTAATTAGAATTGTAAATTAATTTTTTTAATACCTATATGTCAAAAATTTGACCGTTTTTTCTTGTCATTTTAAAACAACAGTTTGAAGAGTTTAAAAACACGTTTTATTCTAATAAAAAGTGCCATTATCGACATAAACGAAATCCTCTCTTTTAAAGGTAAGCTTAATCTTTTAATGGACCTCCATGAAAAACGCGAAAAAAAATAATACTGTGTAAAAGGGAAGTTTTGTTATCTTTGTCAACAAGATGCTCAAATTAACATTTCAACAAGAAATTGTGTGGTAAAGGTCGAGGTTATGGGCCTTCTACCGTAGGTACCCGTTTCTTGTTGAATTGTACCCTTGGAAATATTTAAAGCAACCCTTGAGACGGGAGAAGTTTCCGACCGTGAGATATTAATAACGAGAGGGTATAAAATTAACTAGATGTCAGATCTTGATAAGGGTAGTTTCCACCCTTTTATTATATCTAAAGTAATTTCACAAATAAAACTTAAAGAACAATAAGACAATTATGATGTATAAATTTGTATAGCTAACTTCACATTATAACTATTACAATTAATACTTGTCAATGTCAAAAACTTTTTTTATGTCAAATCTGTGTTTAATTTTATAATTATTATAAATAAAGACAAATCAAAACGGAGATTGTGATGAAATAAGGTAAGAATCTCAATGAAAAAGATGAATTAGTCACTAAAAGAAAAAAATTATGATTTAATTATTAAAAAAAAATTTTTTTTCACCAATTAAAACGGTTTCTTGAATTCCTTTCGATTTCCAAAACTCCAAATGTTCATTTCTTGATACTTTTAAGGGCAAAGGCCATAAACTCGAAACGCATTTTATTTCCATACTAAAATATTCCGATTTCGAAATAAATTTTAACCCCAAAGTAGTCGTTATTAATCCTTGTTCGTCCTTGTAATGCGGATATTGAATCAAATTCGATCCAGAATCGATCTAAAATAACATTAAAAAAAACAGAAGTCTAAATTTAATCAATTTAATTCAAATTAAATTAATTAAATTTAAAAAACAATCTACTTTTTTATTATTAATGTACCAATAAAGAGTTGACATTGGAAAAGTTTTTCCCGAAGTACAATTTAAATTGATTTCAGCCCCATTTTTTTGTATATTTGAAATCGTTGGTGGGTGCTTAGAAAAATCTATAAAAAAAATGATATAAAAATTAATTTAAAATTCCTTTTTTTTTTAGGTTACAAATAATTTCCATTCGAGCTTCGCTTTGTGCAGAAGCGAAAGAAGGAGCTTCAGCGGAAACTTCACATCGAAATAAACCGGATGTTTTTAATCCAACCGATTTTAAAAGGACCCTTTTACTATCAGATGCGTTTATCTACAAAAAAAAGGATATTGAAGATTAAGCTGCCTGAGACGCACGGCTAAACCCAAAACTTTCTAGTTCTAGGTCAAGTGTTAGTTCTAGTTTTAGTTGTTATTCAGCGTTAGATTGATGTCTATTAATTCCTTACATCGAGGTTTTACTGTATTGAATTAAAAGCATCATAAATTTTAAATGTTTATAAATTACTTACATTAACATTAACTCCTTCAACTTTAAAACTTGTTGCTGGTGGTTTTCGTTTTGGCACATAACGATAAAACTCTTCATTATCCTTGTACCATTTGACCGAGTAAAGACTTTCGGGTTTTAAATTGTACTCGCAAAGAAATTGGGCTATTTCATCGTACACTTTAAATTGGGGCACGCTTACCCGCACCCTTAAATTTCCATAATCCGCCGTCTTCTTTATAACCCTGGCGGCGTCGTTCGCAGTTGAAATAAACTTTAAACCAGCGAATTTAAATGATTCAATTTGCGATGGCTTTAAAACCAATAATATTTTTATTAACAAAATTCTAAACAACTCGAAATTCATCGCAAATTTATTTATTTAATTTTTTTTTCAATCGCATTTTTATTGTTTATTCGAGATTATCTAAAATAGTAACGAAATAATGTGGATTATAAAAGTGTAATTAACTTTATTTTTGTTTTAAAACTCCAACTCAATTTGATTTCTCGCTTTTACAACTTGTAAAAGTGATTAAAACGCGAGTTTTCGCGCAAATTATAACGTAAACCAACTTTAGAAAAGCTAATTTCGACGGAACCTTTTGAAAGCTTGCATCGCGACATCCCATCAGCAAAAAGATAAGATATTTTCATCATTTTCCCTTTTAAGAACTTTCAGACCCTTTCATCTCAACGAAAAGCTTTGCTTTTACGAACCGCCTAATTTAAAAGGTTTCATCGCTTTTTTTATGACTAAATTATGAAGATAATTTTCAAATACGAAAAGTTTGAGCTTAATACTAACCTTTAACGAGTATTATTTGCCTTGAATTAAAAATGAAACTAATTTAATTTTTTTGTTAACTTGTTTGGTAACCGATGTGATTTAAACCGAGTTCGCGCAAGTACTAAACCCGGAAGAGAACGTGGTAAAAAGCTGCGCTTCTAATTTTAGAGTTTGCGCAATGAAAATGTTATTATTATTAATAATTTATTGCCTCCAATGGTTGTTACTTGTTGTTTATAATTTGTTTACAATATTTTCTCCAGTATAAAAAACGGAACCCTCCTTCCCCATTTCAACACCCTCGGCTCCTCACCCCTTCTCTTAAAATCTGCTTACTGTTTGTACATCCTCCAGCAATCCTTGTTCTCTCCATCCACATACTTATTCTGGTTGTTCCTTGATTGAGATCTCTAATTCCCAATTTTTCTTCTTACAAAACATCATCTTCGTTTTGTCTACGTTCATTTTTTACTAATTTACATAACTATAACAATTATTACCTAAGAAACGATAAAAAAAATAATTTTAATAAAATGTCATCCGCTCGTTTACCAAAATCTTATTTAATTTTTCCTCAGTGGTCAGATGTCGAGTTAAACGGCGAGAAATGGGATACAGATCCAAAAAAAGAAGACGTCAAAAAGACGTTGCCGCTCCGAAGACAAACGATCGGTTCACAATCGAGTGCTTCAATTAAAGCACCCTCCTTAATTTTAGATGATCAAGTTGAAGATTCGCAAATGTGTTTAATGCCGCCGAGTCTTGAAGGATCAATTGCTGATTGGAAAAGACCCGCAGAATTATTTAGAGACGTGAGGCACATATTTTAATAATAATTGAAATAATCACTTAAAATTTTCTTTTAGGTTGAACTGCTCGTTTCATCAACATGCATTAAACCGATTGAGTTAAGATTCGGTTCCAATCACATCCTTTACAGCGACTTCATGCGTGATTACGTCAGCGCAATAACAATTCTAGAATATTTTAGTTTACAATCAGTTTGGCCCCTTGAAGGAGTTAACGCAACATATTTTCCAAACACCGATGGTTTCCCCTGGAAACCTTGGCACCATATTTACGCCCTATGCAAAGCTGGGAAAGGCCAACAACATGCACCTAAATATAATAAAAACGGTAAATACGTCGTGAGGTTATTTTGGATGGGGTTTTGGCGAAAAGTAATCGTTGATGATTCAGTCCCCGTTGATTCCGAAGGAAAACCTCTTCTACCAATGTATCCATTTACTCGGCCACCCCCACCACCGAAACCACCACCGGGTAAAGACCCAAAAGATGCCAAAGATTCAAAAAAAGGTAAAGGTAAAGATAAAGATAAAGGAAGTAAAAGTTCGAAAAAGAAAGTGACGGTTGTTGAAAATCCTCAATATGAAATATGGCCGTTGATTCTTTGTAAAGGTTTATTAAAAATCGCGGCGTTATCTTGGAAAAACGACAACGAAATCAACGATTACAGTGCTATTCATTGTTTAACCGGGTGGATTTATCAAAAGTTATTAGTGAATAATATGAGTCCGATGGAAATTTGGGATGTTTGTCAAGGATACGCTCCTAAATATCTATACCCCGACGAAGTTATTGCGAAAGCTAAAGCGAGCGGGGTTAGCGCAAAAAAAAGTGATTCAAAAAAATCTAGTGGGAAAAGTTCGAAAAAAAGTGCTGCCAACGAAGTTTACGTTCCAGAAGAAGAAGATACCACAAAATTATATTGCTTAGTTGGATTATGTAAAGATTTAAAAAGTGTTCTCGATGATTTTACTTTGGATGATATCCCGGAAGAATGGTGTCAAGATATTTTAATCGAACAATATCGTGATCATCCTTTAGAAAGACCCAAAGAACTTCCAGGTAAAGTTTAACTCTATTAATTAAACATCTTAAGTTGGTTATGTTATAGGTGGAAAGAGTCATATGGAATTTCTGATGGTATAGAAGTTCTTAAATTTTTTTTTTATTTTACTTTCTTATGTAATTTATTGTGAAAGTTAATGATTTTGTGCGGTTAAGCCGAGATCGCTTGCGGGCGAAACTCTTCTATTAATATCAACCCAAAATTGGCAAATACATGCTTAAATTTATGGTGGAATAACTTCGCCAATTATTGTGGAAATTATTGTCTTTTAAAGATGCACGGTTAATTAACCCAACCCATTTAACGAGGTCGGGGAAAATCTTCTAGACAGACATCCGGCCTGGGATCTTGGGTGGCCAGATAGCGTGGGGTTGGAGTCCATCTTTGGACAACCCCTGTCTTCGTCTTCTCCGGAATCACCCTCACGAGTTTTCTTCGTAGTATCCACTTTCTTCCTCTTTACTCTTCTCCGGGATTGGAGCATTTTCTGACCACTTACTAACTATGAATATACAACATCTAACAACTAAGAACTAACATTAGACCTAGCACTAGAAACATTTGGTTTTAACTGTGCGCCTGAAGACATCATTTTCACAATTGCAATTGTACAATTATAATACACAATTATATTATATATATTTTTCTTTTTTAGTTTTAGCTCGTTGGAAACGTTTCCGTTGGTTAAAATGGGCAATAAGTAAAGGATTATGGCCCGCGGAAGATTTGTCAATACCAATACGTTGTTTAAAATTCTTCAGCAGTTTAAATAAATCCCCAGATGAGCGACAACCGAAACCGGATATGTACCAAGATAAAAATCGATCAAATTTAAGACTTCGCAGTCGATTAAGTTTGAAAAGCATGAAAAGTTTGAAAAGTGCGAAAAGTATAAGCAAATCGTCCATAAAAAGTGGAAAAAAAGGTGGAAAAAATGCTAAAGTAAAAATAGCGGTCGCCGATAAGAGTCTTTGGGTTGATTTCGCTGATGTACAACAAAAGTTAATTTCTTTATCGGTTTATTTTCGCCCATCGGCGTTTAATAGTGTTGTGAGGGTGTCTGATTTTTTTCCTTTAGCATCGGATGCCCCACCACCAAAAGGTGGTAAAGATAAAGGTAAAAAGGATAAAGGTGGTGATGAAAAAACATGGGTTGATGTTGGGTACCAACTAAGAGAATCAACGAATCAATCTAGAATGATAGTCATTAATAATTTATCGCCTAAATTCATTGCTATTAATTTAACGATTGCTGGGAAGGTTGAAAGAATTTCGACTGAAATTGAACCAGAAGATTCCTCATATGGCTATGTTTTAATGACCGAATTTTTTTGGTACACCCATAATTATGGCCCGGCGAGAGCTTTCTTAAAAACAGACGGTACTAAATCAACTTTGCTTCATTTAAAGCCGGGTAAAACGGTTTTAAGAATGTTTTTGAGGAGTACTAGGAATTTTGTGATAACGGTTCTATCGAATACTCAAATTTCTTTTGGGCTAATTAACGAAATCCAGGAAGCGTTTACGCAAGAATCGTTACTTTTACAACAAATGACTCAAGATGTTTGTACGGCTTTTGGAAAGTTAATAAATTCGTTTGGGACGGCGGATTACGTGGAGTGCTCAAGAAATTTCCATAAACTATATCGATCTAATATGCCACTAACTAAAAAAGAAAATGAAACTTTGTACAAGGGGTTTATTAATGCGTTGAAAGAGTTTATTAAGGATCAAGATTTATTGTATGCTTTGGGGATATTATTTTTAGATCCTAATTTGAGGAGGCCCCCGAAAGATGTAGACAAATTTAGCGAAGTATCCTTTGTCACTGATCACAAAGTAAGCGGGGATACAATCGATCCGATTTTGCTAGAAAAAATGAGGCAAAACGCTGCCATTAAATTACAATCCTTTTTTAAAATGATTTGCGAACGAAAATTATTTCAATTACATAAACAACAATCTCAAAAATCCAATAATGTTTATGAGAAATTAAAAAAGATTTATACCGATTATTTTTCGGCCCAAAAAAGGCAAAATTTTTGTTTGACTATGTTAAGAAATTTCTATATCAATAATGATTTATTGAAGTCTACGGAACTTTACGTTGATATATTAAAAGTCCTCGAATTTACCACGGTTACAGGTTAACAAAATTAATTAATTTAATTAGTTTAATAATTTTTTTAATTTAATAGGTACAACATTGGGTTATTCATGGACGTTCTTTACTCGGCAAAAATTTAATGTAACAAGCGAGCAACCGATTCGAATCAGATACAGCTTTAGTTGCCAGTCGAAATCGTCGATTTTAAAAGTTTACAACAACGACACTTTTGAGGAGATCCCGAAAAGTGTCGATATGCCATTAATAACTTATTACAAAAAAAATGAAAACGGTTATACACTCCTTAGTTATGGATTATGTGATGAGCCGGTTAAATTATCGTGGAAAATCTCGTTGATGTGCCTTAAAAGATCGACCCAAACGGTCGTATTAAACGAAGACGTCCCAACTTTAATTACTTTATGTCAAATTTATCGCCCAAACGTTAAAAATATTATACTTCGTTGCATTTTGGAAGTTTATCAAAACACCTATATCACAGTTCGATTAGCAACATCCGGGAAATACTCGGATATCACTTTAACTTTGTACGATGAGAACAAAAAGTTGGTGAATAAAATAAGAGGAATACAAAATATTATTTTACCTTTAACGAGAATCGGAGAAGGCATGAAATCGCCGAGTTTAGAGGCAATTGTTAAAGATAAAAAGACGCGAACTTCTACGGCCAAATTAAAACAAAACGTATCAAAATTAAAATCAGTCCCAACTTTTTCAACGGAGGAATCAAAACAATTTTTTATTGAAGCAACGGTCGAACCTAACACTTGGCCCTTAACGGCGTCCGAGTGGCTCACAACGAAATTAGAAAGTAAAAAGTACTTATTATTCCCGACCGATATAACAATTTCGGATAGTAGTCTTTATAAAAATTTAAAAACCGCTTCGGTTATGTTAAAATCGGAATCGACCAAACTAACTCCTTATTGGCAATTAACCGTTATTCATGGTTCGAAAGATTCGGTGATTTTACGCGAAGATTTAACCCGGAGGGAGGAAATAAACGCGATTAAAAACGCTTGGTACGAAAACGACCCCGATAGAAGGTTAAGATCGATCGAACTCCGAGAGAATTATCTTCATAGTATTTGCGAAAAAGCCGCCGATTATTGCAATGAATCGAAAGAGGTTGAAGTTGGAATTATTTCCGAACACAGCGTCGCTTCAGATGTTTTATTACATAAATGGATACCCGAAACTTTAATGTTACCGAGATTTGCGCTTTGTGATTATTATTCACGAGAAGAATATGAAGAACCTATGTAAATAATTAATTAATTTATTTCATTTAGAATTAAATTTTCTAATTCTAAACGAGAATAGCTAAGTGTGGATAGCTTTGTGTGCATTAAAGTTATTCATTCAAACATTCTATTAAATTATTTCCAGATATCCAAAATTAGATGAATGGGAAATTCATGTCGAAGAACAAGTTGATAAAGAATCCTTGGAAGCTGCGGAATTATTTGCGGAATGTAACGATAGAATGGAGTACATCATGGAGACGCAAGTGGAAGTTTGTGCGCACATTAGAGATTGGTATAACGGTAAGTTATTTAAAAAAAAATTCCAAATATTAACATTATTTTAAAAGAATGTCGAGATGATTCATCCGAAATGATTAAAAAAGCTTACGATGCACGACAAAGATACCTAAATGTTTTAATGGCGCTTATGGGTGGTGGTGCAACTGATGATGCAAAAGAAAAAAAGAAAGGCGGAAAAAAGAAATAATTTTTTTCTCTTTTTTGATCGTTAAACTGTTAATTAATTTCTGGAATAGATCGAAGATAATCCGGATTATAATGGCCGGTCTGTCAATCAAAATGAGAGGCGAAACCCCTCATTTGCAAAGTGGATTTCTGGGAAATTGGTGGGATGCTGTCATTCACATTGTTATTTGATTGAAATATCTACCCGTTATGCTGATTTAATTTCATTTAGTCATAAATGATGAATTTTAATTGTATGAAGAAATCAATACAGTTAAATTTAAACAGTTGTTATAAATTTAATTCGTTATTAATCTTTTAGATAATTTAGATTAATTTGATGACATAAATCAAAAAGGAAAAGTGTGTTCGGACTTTTCTATATGTGATTATTAACCACAGTCACATTGAACCAGTACAATCTTCCATTTTTTTCCTCAATACTATAAAGGTTATTTAGTAGTACAATAATGCGTCAAATTGTTGCAAAGCTAGCAACAGTTGGTAATATTCATAGGGAATTTCATTATATGTTGTCAAATTGCTATCCAAATGCCTACATGTAACTATAAAAATTGAAAATGTCAATTTAAGAATAAGAAATGTCATTTTGACGTTTAAAATGTTAATGTCAAGATGAAAATGTCATTGAAGAATAGGAATAACTTCATACAGTTTATTTATACAAAAAACTTACTCTTATATGACACATAGCTGATGTATAAAAAGTCATCTTAAAGTTACTATAAATAATACCGCCTCTAAAATCAGTAAAATAATACAAATATGGGAGGTTATATAAAAGTCAATAAAAAGGAAGTTATGCAATACTTGAAATTAAAAATAAATGGAAATTTAAAAATTTAATTATACATTTGTGGAAAACTTAAAAAGTCCTTCAACATACACTTTCTAGTTACTTGCATAAACAAAGATAAAAATGTAGATTACGGTATGTGCGGTATGAATATATTTAATTTCGAAAAAATATTAATACTTGTACTAAATAATGGCGCTGACTAAACAACAACAAAATATATTATTATCTGTATCATTATCTTTGTTTATGGACACGTATAATCATAAAAGAAATTCATCATTCTTGTTTTAAAGCACAAAACCTACTGACTTAGTTATTAACCCTACCTCCTAAGTAAATACAGTCTTCGCGAAATACCGTGTGGGCGATTATTCCCCACATTTCTCTAATAATAATAATATTAATGAAAGGTTTAAAAGGGACACATTCAAAAAAGCATGAGAGACAGATAAAGAGACCTTAAGGCTAATATTTGGAGACAATGTGTTATGAAAAGAAAAAAATTGGACACAATCACTTGACTTGGTTGGTTACTCTTTTTATCATCCACCGATTTATAACTATCTTATCATCTCAAGATATTTTTGCTTGTGTTTTGTTAACATATCAGTAACAGTAACCAAAGTTTTCAAACTCGGATTAACTTTAGAAATTGCTTGTAATTCCGGTAAATGAGCAACACAAATGTGATGTAAAGTAGCCAATTCTTTCGCTGTGTCTAATCTGTTTATATTAACCAATTCACCTGGGTCGCCAATCGCCGATAATTGATCCAAAAACACCACCATACGTTCTTTATTTTTTAAAATAAACGGGTTCACAACTTCCATGTATTGTTCTTTTCCACCAAACTCAACCAAATTCGCTAAATTCTGTAAGCATTTGGCGACCATAACCAAACTTCTTGTCGCCATTTGAGATGGTTGTTCATTAACCAAACTGAATTGACGAGGATTTAATAAAGCTGGACATAATAGTCTTAGGAAAATAAATCCGGAAACGACGCGAGTTCGAACGAATCGTTCACCAGGCCATTTTGCTACCACCGCTTTTTGGAGACAACCGCAAATATAACGAACAGGTCTAGGCAGTTCTTCTAACGATATAAATATTGTTAATGTGACTTGATCGAGAATTTGTAAAAGAAATTCTGCGTTGCTACACGCCTCATCAGGCGAATCCATTTTATTCGGATTCAATTCAGCGCTTTGTTTACTTTCCAAGAGACGTTGAATTATATCCATTAATGCAGCTCTTAAAAAATCGCCGCATTCCGCTCGCATGTATAGGTCCATTAGGGTCGTTGGGAGTGATGCTGCTCGAAATAACGTCGAAATTTCGGTTTCTTTTTCAATCTAAAAAAAATAAAATAAAAGAATGTGTATTTGGTTGCATATATATTTTGATTTTATTTACTTCAGCATTATTTAATTCCCTCAACAACTCAGTTTCTCTCATTTCCGCTCTAAAAACTTTCAATAAAGCCACTGCTAACGGTTGGCGATCCGCGTGACAAATTTCCGCCAAAGTTTTCACAGATGTTAACCCAGGTTCTAATAAAAGTTGTTGAAGCGGGCTGTATTCTTCTCCGGGCATAACCAAATCGTGTAAATATCTTATTCGTAATCTTAAAGATCCCCATTCCCCAATTGGAGTAACCCCAGTTAAATCATACCATTTTTCGTGTTCCTCCCCGTTTCCCAATTTGCTCAAATCAATATGTAAATCGGCGACTTCATTGTCTTTTCCCCTTTTACCTTTATTATAAACTGTCAATGTAAATGAAACGATATCGCAAGGAACATCGTCAATTACAAATTCTTCCTCCCAAATTGGATCTGAACCACTTTTAACGCGGGTTTTTCCGATACGAACTTGGTTGTTTAATTGAATTGTGATGTAGGGTTGAGGTACGAATTTAACTGGAAGTCGATGGGCGTCCAAAATGTTTAAAGTTAAACATCTTAACTCGCGTAATTTGGGTACTTTTGACGTGGCTTTGCTCATTTGTGGTACACATAACGGTTTAAGAGCGTTTATCCATTCTTGGCACTCTTCTAACGAAGGTGCCGCTAAATGAGTTACTGTTGAAATACATGGTAAAGCTTTTTCGACGATTTGAAAGCAGTATTGTCGCTCCCAAAGGCTATCATGTACCTGATACAAGTAAGCGCAAGATAAATCGATGAGCCCCTTGGGTTTTGTGCGTTTTGGATTTTCATAAATATATAAAAGGGTATCGGTACCATCAACTAATAAAATAAAATAGAGGAGTTTCCATTTTTTTGTAACTTTATCCGGTTTTCTATGTAAATAACCTTTGTGTTTAATTCCTTTCATTTTTTTAAAACTCGCTTGATCTCGACATTCCCTCAAAGTGGCGTAAATTTTTTCAGGCTCCGATTTCATTTTATTACCATCCGGTACCCAATCCAATTGTTTTGAACCATCAACAACCAAAGGATGCTGTAAAGTATAACCCTCAACAATTTGTTCTTTCCGATAACGATTTATAACCGCATCTAAACATTCAAAAATTCTTCCCCCCATTAGATATCGCACCCCTCTTTTTTCAATCCGAAATCGTTGAATTTGATTGTTTATATGAAAAAATAATGAGTAATCTCCGGGTGAGTTATCACTTGGTCGTACAAGAAAGCTTCCAGGACCAGCTTTTACGAGTAAATCAACAGCTTCGCTTTTAGTACAACTTGGATGAAACCATGGGAAGACCGTATTTGGATCAATACTATCATCTAAATCTTCAACGAGTTCTCTAAAAATCATTCCTTGTTCTCCAGTACGATGAGCGGTCACCCATAACCAACCATCACCCATATCGTTGTGAACGAAAAAGATGTCACCCTTTTTAAATGTTAATTCATCGGTGTCGGGCATTTTTGTGTAAGGAAGAATTGCAACGACTCTCTAATAAAATAAAAGAAATAAAGATTACATTTTAAAACTTTTTATGAAAGATAAAAAAAATTTTATCAACTCAACGCAGTTTTAAAGCTATTTATAACTAAGATAACAATTTAAACAACAAAGAAATACCTTTTTATCGTTGACTGGTTCCGGAGGTGCAACTGGATGAATTAATCTTTCCCTTTTTAATAAATCACTAAATTGTGTGTAATATCCAATCAAATCATTTAAAGAATCAAATTGACGTCCCCCAATATAAAAATCACCACAAACTGCTGTTATTCGAAAATGATTTATTCCAGTTCTTCCCAAATAAGATAAAACGTACGATCCCGGTTTACGATCACTTTCTCTTACAAGATAACTTCCCAATCGGTTCTCCTCCCAAAGGCGCTCCTCAGCTTGATACCTATCCAATCGCCCATGATACCATTGTGTTTCCGGGGGCGCGTGAGTCGCGGAATCACCAAGATCGGGGTCTTCAGGCTCCGTTTTAGGGGGCGGCGGGTGCTCTTGATCGTTACCATCTTCACTTCCTGTACTGGGAGAACCCAGTTTATCTTTCATGATACCAGCACCCTGCAAGGCGCTCCCCCTGATCAAATCGGCCATTTTCCGTGCGGTTTTTAGGGATCAAACAGTTAAAACATTGTTTTCGAACACGTATTAAGCGAGAAATACTATTTTTGGATGATTGTTTTAACTTAATCCATTGTCCAAAATAACTCTTAGTATTGACTCACTGGTTTTGACATTTGAACATGGAGAGGAAAACATTACTATATTCTGACGTTTGTGGGTAAAGTAGAAAACTATTTAATTTTTTTAAATTTAAATATAGTTAAAAAGTTAATACGAAGTAACATTAATGGTTTTATTATTCCATCAAATTGAGGAAAATAACTTGTTTAAATCGTAACAATATAACCACAAAAAAAATAAATTAATAAGGAGTTACCTATGTAATGAATTATTATGAGTAATATCTCAGAATTATCTTTCGTATTGAAGGTAAGTGAATTGTTAACTAAATTAACTACCACTCATAGTTAACGTCATCTAAGAGATAACGTAAAAATCGATGGTGTCGGTTTTTATAATCAAATAATATTTAAAAATGGATAATTTTATGGATGTTGGGGATGAAAAAATTATTTTCGAGGAAATAAACGAGACGATTAAATCAGATAAATATGCATTCAGATGTGGAATTCGTGAAAAGATTCCGTCTTTCCAAGGAAACTTTTCATTTTTATCTCCACGAAATAGAGGAAGTAATTAGCTATACTCTGTTTTTAAACCAGGAGGAGTAAAAGCGAAAGTCAGATTTACACTAGGAAAAATCACCAGAAAATATCACTAGATATTTTGGCGGTAAATTTAAATTAATAATTATTATTTATTTATTTACTTATTATTGTATTTATTTCCGTTTGTTATCGTCAACACTAAACATACAAATTAACATTGAAGTTATGAGTGTATTTATTTCAAAATATAATAAAAAAGGGTTTAAGAACACAAAATATACAATAATGACACGAAACTGTCAAATTATCAATTACCTAACCTTCAAATTCAAAATTGCCTGTGTGTGAACCTTCCTCGCATTCAACCAATCACGTGCAAGGTCAATCTGGTGACAAATTTAAAATACTCCTCCTGGTTTAAAAACAGAGTATACAACAGTACACTTAAATTACCGCACCTCTTCTAATTGAAGATTTAAATAAACATAATATCTAATAATATCAGAATAAACACGAAATGGGACAAAATGAAGAATTTAAAAATGGCTGCCAACATAAAAAGTCAAATCATACATTAATATTTTTGGATAAAGAAAACAATAACGTTATCATTAATAGCAATAATATGTAACAATGACGAGCAAACTATCAATTATTAAAAATTATTATATTAACTCCTTCATAATAGAAGATCATTTAGTTTTAAGCACTCAATTTACTTAGCTTTATGAAGTTTATTAAAACCATCGATAGATGACGCCACTAACAATATAATTTAAGTATTTTTTAATTTAAAGAGTAAGGGAAATAGAAAAAAAGAGAAATTCAATATAACATTTAATTGCAAAAAAAAATTCCTTACGAAATAATCGAACCATATCTATCCAGTTTTTGTTATCACAATGCACCATTTTTGTGCAAAAGACACAGAAAAAAAATAAATTAACTAAGTCGGGCTTTCCCCCAATTTATAATCCCCTAGAAACCCAAAAATGACATAAATTGTGTTAATGCGGGGCTCGGAGGGTTACTTTTTATTTTAATTAATCTAAATTATTAATTAAAAAAAACTAATTAGTTCCAAAAGAAAGAAAAACTGTACAAGCAAACCACTTATATATTTCTTTTTTATTATTTTTGTTTTAAATATACCTCTTCAAATTACCAAATATAGTTGTATAAATTACTCAGGTTTCGTTACTTTTTATATTTTTAAAGCTGTACTAAAATTGTTATTATTAGGGCTTGTTTTGTTATAGTGATTTCGTGTTATCCTTCTTAGTAGCATCTAAACTATCGAAAGGTGGTGAAACTGACATTTGTTGTGCTTCTTGTGATAGTTTAGATGTAGCTCTATTTGTCTCCTCCGTCACTTTTTCCATTACTTTCATTTCGCCGCCGCTTTTCATTATCAACGGCGGCTCCAGCTCGTTTTTTTGTTGTTCCTTCTGTTGCAATTCCTTTTTTAATTCTTTTTGTATTGGCGGTGTAGCCCCTTGTTTTTCTTTTTGAAGTGCTTTTTCAATCTTCTCTTCAACCTCGAGTATCTCTTCTTTATCAATTAAATCTATAATTTCAGACATTTGTTTTGCACTTAATTGAACATTTTCACTACCAATAAATTCAATAACTTTTAAAACATCCTCAACCTTTATAGATCCATCGCAATCATCATCGATTTTACTTAAAACATTATGAATTTGTTGTAGTCTCGATTCATCGGGAACTTTTTTAATTTTTTTAATAGCTTCCATGATGTCATCAATTTTTAAAATTTCTTCCTTTTTCTTATCGGTACTTTCAACTTCGAGATCCTTTTTCAATTGCTTTTCACGTAATTCCAATTCGTTTAATACGCTATCCATTTTACCAATCATCCTGTTGACTTTTTTAAATAATCTTTGCGCAGCTTTACTTTCTCTTATTTCCGGTTTAGGCATATCGGCTATTGCTTTATTTAAATCTTCAACATCCTCTTGATACTCAGCTAAATGTTCTTTTAGTTCTTCAATACCAACTTTTTCAACAATTGCTTTCTTTTCTTTCGAAAGTGTATCGAGAGCATCTTCCAACACTTCTAAATCTTTAGAACGGATGTGTTCATCTTCCATTTTCTTTTCAGCTTTAACGTCAATAACTTCAGCTTTATCAACCATTTCTTTTTCGGCTGCCGCTGAAAGCGTGGGAGCTTTATCGACAATAACCTCTTTTTTAGCTTGTTCTTCTTGTTTCTTAAGCTCCCTTTGTTCTTTCCTTTCTTCTATAACCTTCCTTTCCTCTTCTTTTATAACCTCCAAACGAACCCGATTGTCAACTTTACCTTCACTTTCTCCAATAGCAGCTTTAGTTTGTGTTACGATCGTATCTGGGAGTACAGAAATTGTTGCTTTTAATTTATCACCCGTTGGAATCGCTTCCGGTAACATTAAAGCACGACTTAAAAGTAAAAGTGATGGTGGTACTTTTTCATTTAAACTTAAATCAAGCCATTTTGATAATTGTGATCGCAATCGAGCTTCCGATACACCGAAAGCTCTCATTCCTCGTGCTCTACAAGCTTGTTGGATTTCAGCTAAAGTTAACGAATTGATACCTTCTTTTTGAATCATTTTATCATCAGCTGCTAATCGACGAAGTTTCATTCGCAATTGGAATCGTAGCATGTTGTTTGTACCTTATTTAAATTAAAATATTATTAAAAATTTATTAATTATATTAACTTTTTGAGGTTAACTTTGATTTAAATTAATTTTCAACACTTACCACTTACTCCTTTGCGTTATATAAAACAAATATTAATTCATTTTAACCTCAAAATATTTTTAAATGTCAAATTTTTTTAACCTTAAAATTTTTTTAAATGTCAAATTTTTTTTAACCTCAAAATTTTTTTAAACGTCAATTTTTTAACCTCAAAACATTTCTTTTAATTTAAGTTAGGTTAAATTATTTACCTAAAGTTTGAACTTCGAGAACACGACATAATGCGACAAGTTGACTTCTCGTTAGCGAATCCAAAGTGATTTCGTCTTGAAATAATTTAGAGAATTTTAGAATCTCTTCGTTGCTGACTTCTTCACCTGAAGTTCGAACTTTTTGGAACCATTCGGTGAATTCTTTCGCCTGTTGTGAATTCCTATCCTTGTGCTGGGCGGACATATCCTCAAGAGTCTGTTGCAGGAACTTAGCCATTTCGAGTTTCACTTTTAAACTTTGTTTTAGTTTATCCTCACGTTCCGTTGCTGTTTGAAACGTAGACGGTAACATGCCGGGGAATAATTTTATAAAAACAGGTAAAAGGAATTCCATAAATGGGACTATTATGAATACAGAAAACGGTACCAATCTAAACATATCACCTAAAAATTAAAAAAAAATTAAATAATAGAATGTAACCTAATTTTTTTGCGATTATTAAAATAATTTCTTACCTACAGTTCTTGAAAGTAACCGATATTCACGTCTTGACAAAGTCTTCCCATTCAAAACCCTCCAAACTAACACACTGGAAATTTTCATGTCAATGAACAACAGCCGAAACCCGTGATAGTAATGCACTAGCTCATCGATGATTCTTTGTTTAAGAGGTTTCTTAACAACAGGTTTTGGGAGATCACCTTCACCTTCTTTCTTTTTCTTTAGTTCCTGAACGGTTGTTTCAATCTTCGAGGATGGTTTCAGAGGTTCTTTGTCAAATAGAGGTGCTGAAAATGCGATTGTTCTAATTGTTGATAAAGTGGGGCCCTCATTTAATTGGTAAACTAATAGTTTGTGTCGTTCATTAACAAGGAGGCCCAAATCAAAACTGCCGAGTACTCGGGATCTACTTGACAAGTGCCTCTGTGATAATTTGAAGTCGTGCTCAACGCGGGTCCTATTGCACACGCATTTTAAATTTGGTGGACAATGACGACAACCTATAATATATGTTTAAATTACATAATTGTAAACATGGTAAACTATATATACAAAATTTACTTACATTTAAATATCTTGTAATGTCCATTGGCAACGGTTGAACGTAAGAAAACGTGCATTTTTGCGATGTGGATTTTCGTCGCAGATCTCACGAGGATATTTTACAGAGTTGACAGTTTATAGCCATATATAAAATACCAATTTCTGTGCCTTAGGTACACGCGAACAGTTCTATGTAATTTTGACATCGAAATTTTCCAGTGATGAGATAGAGCATGACATCAACACATGACAACAGATCTTACCAACTATATCAAATAAAATTTACTGTGTGTAATTAACACCTTTCATTCATAAAAATCACTTTAAAATAACCCAATTAATATTTAATTTAAAATTTGTTACTTGAATTAATTATTTAATTACTTGAAGTACAAATAAAGTAATCATAAATGAATTTCTTTTCTTTTCAACTTTTCTAGGTTATATTTTGTTGTCATTTTTAGTTGGTAAAATCTCCAAAGTGAAGTCAGTTCTTTTTAAAGATAAGATTTCGCAATACTTTATAATAATAAATGGATTTTGATCGATGCGGCACGTGCATCTATTATATCACGTTAATCAATCAATTTCGTTTTATTTAATTGACCTTTTACTTTAAGGAACCTCAAAACGAAATGACTCAAAAATGTTCCAAAAAAAGAAACATGTCCACCAAATTAAAATTAATTTGGACTTTGAACCTTTAAAACAGATTTAGAGCATTAAAAAAAATATCCCAATACAATTTGATACTAAAAATAAACAAATTAAATTTGAGGTTTAAAATAAAAATATTGTTAATTTACAGATATCGCCATCTATATCGTATTATAACAAAATAAAAGTTCCACATGTTTTGTGTAGATGGCAACTAAGTTTTTAAAGAAAATAAACATAACCTATAATTCTGTTATTTGACATTTTTCTTTTAAGATAACCTATAATTAAGTCAATTTGGAGTGTGTTCGCACGATTTAAGTTTAAAAAAAATGCAGGAAAGATACATTGAAAAATAAACCACTTAAAATCGCGATAAAGTCATTTTTTAAGGAAAATATGTATGTATAAATCGGAATTCACGGATAACCGTGATACAAGCGAACAATAAAATGTGTAAATTCACCGATCGTGAATTAGATTACTTTAACGATACTTCAGAGCACATTCTTCAACATGATAAATGTAAAAAGATTTTTGAGAAATTTTTGAAAGACTGTCGAAGAAGAAATGAGCTTAATGTAGTGGAATTATGGGAGGAGATTCAGAAAGCGAAAAGTGATGAAGTAACTGGTAGAATGCAAGAATTGGTGGAGGATATAGATGGGATTGATGAACCGTACTTAGACAATCCTAATGACAAGATAAAATATCTAAAAATTGCCTGTGTTAATTTATTAAATGAGAAAATTTTGGCAAGGTTTATGACATACTTGAGGGAGAAACATCATAAGAAATAAATTATGGTGATTTGATTTGCCTTAAAACCAAAAAAATAAAAGTAAGTAGTGATAATAAAAAATTTATTTAAACAAATTTATAAATAAATAACAATTAACCGAAGATTATTACAAAAATAGTTCACCATTATATAACTATATCATCTTCATCTTTACAATTCACCAAATTCGGTTCTGATTCCGCTCGTTTTTTTAACGATCCATCTTCAATCGGTTTTTCTTCAACAACTTCCGCAAAATCACATTTAATATTAGGATCACTTTTAGAAAAATTTTCATCCCCATTCGATTCAATTTTAATATCATCGCCGTTCACTTTCAATAATTCTTCATTTAACGCGACATATTTTAAATCAACGGTTGAATTTGAAAAAATCGCTGCCGAACTAATATCTCCTAATCGATTTCCACCTTCTAAAGAACCAACCCCGTTTATTTTAATAACCGGGGGACATGACGTAATCGGTTCAATCGTTGGTTTTAACGGACTTGTTGCTGTATCTTTTTGTGGGGGTATTTTATTGGGTAACGGACTCCCCGATCGATTATTACCTGGAGAATGAACTGAAGACGAAGTAGAATTAGCTTTTTCTTGTTTATGTAGAACAATTAAAGTGCACGCGAACCCCAAAATTAAAACATTATTTAATATCCTATAAGAACCTAAACATAAATAAGCAACTAATGATATCACAAAAGATGGTAAATCCCAAACGTAAACCGCATGTGCTAAAACACGAATCATAACCACACCTAATGGTAAAGGAATAAACCCCATTCGACGAGCAACGAGATCAGAATGATCAGAAAAAGCATGCTTTTGGCGTGTTTGAGCCATATCATAAGCTAAACTTGTTGTGTAATCACGATAAACGTCCACTTGCAATTCATTAAAACGGGTTATAAATGCGTGTTTCACCCAATCAACGAAAATTTCAGCCAATAAAACCATCGCACAATCGGGAATTAATACCCAAAATCGTTCCGTTTTCCATGAATATTCTTTCATCGTTTGTAAAACAACGATAAATAGAAGAATTACTAAATGAAAACGTTCCCGTACATCACTACATGAAACTTGAAATAAATTGTTTTTGTCGAATTTCTTAAAAACACTTCCTTTTAATTCAACAAACTAAAACAACAAGAAAGAAATAAATTAATTAATATTAATTAAATGTGATTAAATAATTTTTTTTTTAGGTACCTTAAAATCAAAGAATAAAAGAAAGTTTCCTATTTAAAAAGAAAACCAAATAAAAAAAAATCAGGTAGATATTAACATTCTTTTTTGTATTTAAACATTTAAAACGTCCAAATATTTATCTAGTCTGTTCTATTCCAAATAAAATGTTACTTAAAAAATGTTTTTTTTTTAATACTTACATTATTTGACATCATTATAGTTAATAAGGCTTTATTATTGGAGTTTATAGCAACATTTAATGTTGTTGCTTGCAATAAAACCAAAAAACTATGGAGGACTATTACAGAAATTCATTAAGGATCATTTTTGTCAACTTCAATAAATAAATTAATTAATAAAAAGGATACAGACATAGATTATGGCAAAAAATAAATGGGGGATAACCCCAAAATGTTCCCTACGTCTATCCCTAGGTTCAGTCGCAGTCCAAAATAGAGCATCAATCGTATCTTGTCCAAAAGCCGAAAATAATCTATCACCAACTTCAAGCATATTATAAAAAATATACAACTTAATAACCGATTGGCTCTTAATTAAATGATACAACATGTTCGTGTCAATGTAAAACATCAAAACGCTACATGTTATTAAAATCGTTGCTTTTAGTAAATCGCAAATCTCCGCTGGAGACAATAATGACCTATAATTTCTTGGTTTTAAACTAAAAAAGAATTTATTTATTTCCTATTAATTTTAAATTAGAATTTTTACCCAAAACATATTGCAATCGGTCGAGTTATTAAAGCAAACAGTGCTAAGATAACTCGAACTGGTAGGTATGTGTACACAAATAAAAATGAATCTGTACATTGCATAAAGCCGTAACTCATAAATTTTTCCACTTCTCGGGGTATTTTCATAAATGAGTAAACTTTTTCACGTCTCGCCGAATAACGTTCTTCATCGTGTTCAAGTACGTAACCACGTGTTAATTCTACGTGTAAAAATGAGAAAAGGGACGGAGAAACTACAACAAAAAAATTTATCTGAAAAATTTTAATAATTTTTGAAAACATAACCCCACTTTTTTCACTCAGCTGATTTTGACAATCAAAAAAATAAATCAACTTTAAATAAATTAAAGTATCATTAAACGTTATAAATAATCAATTTATATGAATAATATTTCTTATTTCCATAAAATAATTTTTAGAAAGTAATTAGAAACAAAAAATTACCCTAACCTTTTTTAGACGTGTCAACTTCATCGTTTTGCCCATCAATCTTTTCGGGTTTAAATAAGTCTTCGATTTTACTCTCATTTGTATAAAGAACCTTCGGGTTAGGTGTAAACCTAATTTTTTTTTCGTTATTTAATAATTTCTTTTCGTTAGATGACATGTTTAATAAACGTCATTTCGATTTGACAACAATGACGTTTATTAAAGCGACATCTAACGATTTCATTTAACATCATCAAAAATATAATAATGTCGTTGTTGTTGTAATAATTTAATTTACGATTTATCAAATATATTAAATTTAATATAAAAACATATTTAAATAACTATAATTAATTAAAAGAAATAAAGTTTATAAATAAAAACGAAAATAAATTATTACCAACTTAAAGCGAACATCCCTAGTTGTGACATAACTACATCAACAAAATCATCTGATAGTTGTTTTGAAAACGTTAAAAAAAATGGAAAATGGGAACAACTCGGAGAGTGAGGATGATAAGTGTAAAGTTTTAATAATTGGTGGTGGAATGGCTGGATTATCGGCAGCTTATCATTTAACGAAGAACGGTTTTACTGATTATAAAGTACTAGAAGCCCGTAAGAGGTTAGGAGGCCGCATAATTCAAATAAAAATTGGCTCCGAGGGTGTTGAATTAGGCGCAAATTGGATTCACGGCGTCCTCGGAAATCCAGTTTACGAGTTAGCGATGCAAAACGGATTAGTAGATATAATGCAAATACCTAAACCCCACAAAATTGTTGCAGCTACAGAGTTGGGAAAACAAGTACCTTTCAATGTGTTACAAGAAATTTATGAAGCATATTTGGTGTTTTTGAGGCGATGTGAAGAATATTTTTTATCTCAATATTTACCCCCGGATGGTATTGACAGTGTTGGTGAACATATAAAATTAGAAATCAGTTTGTATTTAGATAAATATAAAGACCCTCAAGATAGATATTTAAGGCAATTATTATTTGATTGTTTATTAAAAAGAGAAACTTGTATAAGTGGGTGTGATTCAATGAACGAAATAGATTTATTAGAATTGGGAAGTTATACGGAGTTACAAGGTGGTAATATTACGTTACCTCAAGGTTATAGCTGTATATTAGAACCAATTATGAGAGATATCCCAAAAGAAAAGTTATATTTAAATCATCCTGTTTGTACGATAAGATGGAATTTAAATCCGACTCATAATGATTCTGATGAATCAGACGATTCCGATAGAACCGTTATAGATGAAGAAGTATGCAGTCGAGAATCTAGTTGTGAAAAAACAAAACCTTATAATGTAGAAGTTATTTGTGATAATGGTAAAAAATTTTATGCTGAACATTTAATTTGTACTTTACCTTTAGGAGTACTTAAACATAAAGCTAACAATATTTTTCAACCCAAATTGCCCGAATATAAAACGGAGGCGATTGATCGATTATTGTTTGGTACTGTTGATAAAATTTATTTAGAGTATGAACGACCTTTTTTAAATCCAAATATCACTGAGGTTTTATTACTTTGGGAAGCGGAAGAAAATAAAAGCGACGTTGATTATTCGAAAAGTTGGTTTAAAAAAATTTATTCTTTTGCTAAAGTTTCGGAAACGTTACTTTTGGGATGGATTTCGGGAAAGGAAGCTGAATACATGGAAACTTTAGCTAATGATGTTATTATTGAAACTTGTACAGATATTTTAAGGAAATTCCTTAAAGATCCTTTCATTCCAAAACCGAAAAACTGCATATGGTAATTAAAAAGATTTTTTAATTTGTAATTATTTAATCAAATTGAAGTTAGCTACAAATATTTTTTTTGACAAGTCAAATGTCAATTTTTTAAAATTGTTGGTTACAAACATAACCTTATTTTTTCAAAAATAGTTATTTATGAAAAGTATTTCATTTCAGTATGAAAAAGTACTACTTCCATGTAATTTCTTATCTACGAACTAAAAATTAGATGAACGCAATTTATTAAGAACGTAGTCAATTTTAATTTTTAAACTGTCAAAAAATTATTTGTTTGTATCTTGTTGCCAAGGAAACGCTTAGCCAATTCAATTCAATGTCAATTTTTAAAAATTTTTAGGTTATAAACCTTATTTTTTCAAAAAATATTTTTTAATTATTTTTTTTAGTACAAGTTGGTTTTCACAACCATATACAAAAGGTTCCTATACAGCAATTGCAGTTGGAGCCTCACAAATTGATATTGAGTACCTTGCGCAACCTTTATATACAAAAGAAAACCAAGAAAAGGTAAGTTTTATTCCCAATATTTTTCTAATTAAAACTTTGTTTAAATTAAAGCCTGTAGTTTTATTTGCTGGTGAACACACTCATTACAATTTTTATTCAACGGTACATGGAGCTTATTTAACGGGTCGAACGGCAGCACAAATCTTAGTAAATAACGATGGTCACATCGAAGAAGAAATCGTAATCGATGCGGATGAAGATGCCACCGATTTAAGTTCGTGGATACAAGGGATTTGTTTAGAATAGTATTTGTATATTTAATTATTAAGTATTTAAAACATAAAACGGTATTAGATATTTCTTAATGTCCTCTAAAAAAAGGGGCTTTCCTCTAACTGTAGCAGAGCTTTGATATCATTTTAATTATGTTTTGTTGAAGTTATTAAATTTTAATCCGCATTTATTAAGAAACAAATTGTATTTATGATTTTAAGCGTTTAATTTTTTTATTATTTTTTTTTCTTTTTATTGCTACAGTATTCGCTGTGAATTGTTGAACTTTTTATTGTGTAATTTACGCTTATGCTAGTCATTTTTAAAGGAGGCAATTTTAATTATGTGCCCTTCTAATTTAATTATTGTTAAAAAACAACGATAAATAAAATACAAGAAAGACAAAATAAAAGTTATTAAATCTTTACTTTTCCATTCCTGGTACTCTATATAAAAATAATCCATCGCAATCATAAAAACAATCATTTAATTTATAAGTGTAACCTTTTTTAAATTTATCTTTTGGAATAATTATTTTTTCGGGATATTCTAAATGTTTAAAATCTTTTTTTGATTTAACTTGAGTTGATAAATAATTTGTATTTTTTAATTCGCTTATATCAACAATCGAGCCAATTTCTTTAACATTTTCTAATTCAATTTTATTCTCTCTCAACAATAATTGATCTTCCATGCTTAAATCATTCCCCATTTCAGATTTCTTCCCTATTCTATTTTTTAATTCACTTAACGTTACTAATTTGTTATCTTTCTTCATAATTTTATCATTTTCTAAATCACCGGAGTTAATTAACATTGTGTTTCCCCCCAATTTTTTTGTTTTCTTAAGTTGAATTTTTTCGCTTTCATTACACTCGAAATTTTCTTTATTTTTATTTTTTAATCGATCGTAACTTTTTAAAATCTCAGAAAATTCCCCATCAATTTTCTTTATCACAGGTTTTTTCTCTGCGCTTAGTTCGAAATGATTCATTTTACGAGAAGTAAATTTATTTAAATGCTCCTTTAATTCTGACGGAAGGTCAAGTTTTCCTTCTTTAAATAAATCCCAATTTTTTTCTACAGATAAATCGTGGTTTTTAATTTTATTGGGATTTGTTTTTGACCAAGATGATTTAACAATTTTCTAAAAAAAAAAATTAAATTAATTATACAACAAAAATTAAATAAATTATTACTTTTATAACTTCAGGAAGCGCGGGAAATCCATGGGAAAGCTTTTCAACACACCATTCTTCTGGATCCGTACTATACAAATGTCTAATTTGTAATTTATCACTCCACGTTAAAAAGTTTGGGTATTTTTCTTTAAAATATTTTTCTCGGACGATTAAATATTGTTCTTGTTCCTTAATCGCTTTAGTTTCTTCCACGAAATCTTTATGAGAACATTCTAAATTTGTAAAATCAGCTTCAATACTATCCAAATCAATCCTTTTCAGTTCAGCTTCATTTTCTGATAATATCCTCCTTTGTAAGTTGACACCTGGATTAACGCTCCGATTTCGTTTAGAAACTCGTTTTGCTATTGTACTTTTATATTTCGTCGTGCTTTTTGGGGCAAATCGAATTAAAATAGGCCTAAATATTCGAAACATGTTTTTATTGCATTCAATAACATAACCTTAAATTAGGTTATGTATTCAATTTGAAGTTAGCAAAAAATAAAATTTTATGATTTTTTTTAGTTTATTTATATAAATAAAAAAGGAACAAATTCGTATTAAAATTATTAACTAATTAAGAATCGTCTGAAATCTTGATAATCAACTTTCTCGGCTAAAACTCTAGTACAATGTTTTTTCACCTCTTCGAACTCTATTTGAGGAGTTGAATAATTGCAATTAGGAATATCAGGGAGATCATCAATTTCATCTCTTAAATCTTCATCTATGATGCATTCATTATTTTTTTCTTTTTCCTCCATCTCAATCCATAGTTTTAAAATCTTTAATGGCCTAATTCCATCGATTCCTTTGGCAGTAAAAATCGACCTTAATTTTTCTCTTTCACTAACATCTCTAAGAACTCTTTCCATAGATGGTACATCGAGATGTTGCATTTTGTTTGAGGAAAAAATTCATCGTTTGGAGTTTATTTCCATTTAGTTTTATCAATATTATCTCTACGTGGTTTTTAAGGTTAAATTAAAACAACTTCAATCTGACAGCAACAACTTCATAGTGGTAAAAAATTTTAAAACTTAGAAAATAATTCAAGCAAAGATTATATTGTTGTACTCTAAGATACTTAATAAATAGTTTTGTGGAGTTTTGAGTTTTATTTATAATTATTTAAATCTAAATTTGTCTGAATTTGACAGCTATTAATTATTAGCTAATTTCACACTTATTGCTATAACCCAACACCGAACAATTTAGATTAACATTCTTAAATAAAATAACAATGATACATAGTTTATTTATAATAAATTCATCGGGGTAAAGTATTACTTCTTTTTAATCTGTGGGGAGAAATTAATTTTATTTTTGTAGAGATGTTTTTTTGGAAAAACATTGGAGGAGTGTAATCTCAAGATCCGTATGTGATTATTACCTGGAAGCTCAAAGAGCAAATTCTAATGATATCCCCCCGGTTATAGCAACGCCCCATCATTACCTTTTAAGTATACAAAGGGGTGGTGTTAGTTTTGTTGCTGTTTGTATGGAAGAAATCCCTCCGTTATTTGTCATTGAGTTTTTACATAGAGTTGTTGATATATTTCAAGTAAATTACCATTTAAAACAAATTAATAAAAATTAAATCATGTTTGTTTTCAGGATTATTTCTCTGATTGTACTGAAAGTATTATTAAAGAAAATTATGTCGTAGTTTATGAATTATTGGATGAAATGCTTGATAATGGTTATCCATTAGCGACAGAAAGCAATATTTTGAAAGAACTAATTAAGCCACCGAATATTTTAAGAACAATTGCTAATACAGTTACTGGAAAATCAAAGTAATTAAGATTAATTCTTAAAAAATAATTTTTTATGCTTTTATTTTTAAGTGTAAGTGGAACTTTGCCAACCGGACAACTTTCAAACGTTCCTTGGAGACGTACGGGGGTTAAATATACAAATAATGAGGCTTATTTTGATGTTGTTGAAGAAGTAGATGCGATTATTGATAAATCTGGATCAATAGTTTTCGCAGAAATCCAAGGATATGTAAAGTTTTAATTAAAATTTGTTTTATGTTTTATCAAATTATTTTTTTAGATTGATTGTTGTATTAAATTAAGCGGAATGCCTGATTTAACTTTATCGTTTATCAATCCAAGACTTTTCGATGATGTTAGTTTTCATCCTTGCGTCCGTTTTAAACGTTGGGAGGTAAAATTAAAAAAATCATTTTTGAAATAATCCACATTTTTTTATTTTTATTTTAGGCAGAAAGAATTTTGTCTTTTATCCCCCCCGATGGTAACTTTCGCCTTCTTTCCTATCAAATAACCGCCCAAAGCATCGTTCCAATTCCGATTTACGTCCGAAACAATCTAATCATCCGTTCGGGTGAACAACAGGGTCGTTTGGACATCACCGTTGGCCCAAAACAGACGTTGGGTAGAACGATCGAAGCTGTTAAAATCGACGTTTTAATGCCAAAATGCGTCCTGAACTGTATACTAACCGTTAATCAAGGTAAATACAATTTCGATCCGGTCTCAAAAATTCTCAGTTGGGATATCGGCCGAATCGACGTCGCTAAATTACCGAATATCAGAGGAACGGTAAGTTTAACAAGCGGTTTTAATACCGGCGATGTTAATCCAACTATAAATGTGCATTTTACGATCAATCAATTAGCTTTGAGTGGGTTAAAAGTGAACCGATTAGATATGTACGGTGAAAAATATAAGCCGTTTAAAGGGGTTAAGTATATAACTAAAGCGGGAAGGTTTCAGATTAGGATGTAAAAATTTTTTTGTCTTAAAATGAACTGAATGGAAAAAAAAATTTTTGTTTTATTTAACCCAAATTTCACCCTTTCCCAACACATTCCAGGTAGCCTCGTAAACTCATTAACACGTTTCCCTTTTTTAGCCTACAAAAAAAGGATTTAAACCCGTCCTAATTAACTCAGACGTTCGTTCGTTCATCAAAGTCAAAAATGTGTTAACTGCTTAGTTAGTTGTAAAATGAGGAGCTTTAAAATTTGAAATATAAAATAAATATGTTTTTTTAAGGCGACTTTGGTCGTCCTTTGGGGTTTGTAATGCAACCAGAGGCCGGTTTTTGCGACCCACCTCTTCCTCCTCTTTCGTCTTCTTCTGGTGGCGGCGGTCGGTTTTATTTTGTCCTTTTCGTATAGACGCGGTCTCGAGATAGCGAAGCTTGTACCTCGAAGCTTGTCTCTAAGGGCCACTTTATTACCCTGTTGCTAAGTACAAAATACGAAAACCTTTAATTTTGATACAATTTTATCTATATTTTTGAAATTTTTTTAGTCATTTTTGACATTTAAGTGTCAAATTATTATTTGATTTAAGGTTAATAAGCTTAAGTTGGTAACTATGTATGTATCATTTTTGACGTTTCTTATTTTTAAACGTCAAATTTGAGAATAATTTTTTAATTATCAATTTTAATCCAAATTTATGAGTTAAAATGTTTTTTCATCGATTTGATGATAATGTGTAAGTATATTTATGAAGACATTCTTTGGTGTACTATTTTTATTTCTTTCAAAACGTTTTATTCGAATGATGAATCGTGTATGGTTGCCTTTTAACGGAATCTATCCCGTTTAAAATTCCTATTAGCGTTCGTCCGTGAAGCTGTGTCTCGAAAAAACGAACAGGTTGTATGGTAGTCGAGAGAGCCAATGACACACCTTTGGAATTCCGAGTCAAGTTTTCATAACGTTCAATTGTACACGTTCACACGGTTTTTTCTTTCTAATTCTCCGAACAAGTTTCGACATTTTATTTTTAGTTGCAATATTTTCTTATTTATTAAACAATTTATCGATTTTAGTTAATAGTCCAGTCATTTTTCGATCGAATTTTTATGAACCACTTTTTATTCGTTCTTCTTTTTAGGTAATATCAATTTCGCAAGATTATAACACGACCGGTTTTTTGATTATATACTTTTTTTGGAAGGTTATATCCTTTTTTGTCTGGTCGATTTCACAATTTTAAGGTAAAACTATTTTTTAGTTATCTTGTTGTATTCCTTGAAATACTTCAAAATTTATAAAAATTCATATTTACACAATTTAGTGTTGTTATCTCGGTTATGATTTATTATAAACACTTTAAACGTTTCGGGAATTTTCGTAATGCATCATAGATAAATAAGCAACGAAGAAATTTTCTACTAAATCATTACAAATTTATTGATTCAATAACTAAGGGGTTTTGCCCAACAAAAAATCCGAAATGGCATTGTTCTTTAACCGTAAAACTCTCGCCCGTGGAAAATAGTTTTGACATTCTAAATCTTCTCCACCTCCACCTGCTTCACGGTAAGAGTTTTTCTTCGAAGTAGTAGCTCGAAAGGCTCAAAACTCGTAAACATTCCGCTCGGCGTCTGAGGCGACCTTTTCTTCTCTCCGACTTCTTCTCTTTTAAAAATTAAAAGAGTGACGACGACGACGAGACGAGAAAAGGGAATAATAATAACGCGGGTCAGGCTGCTTAGTTAGCAGGGAAAAAATAAGGGGGTAACACGGTGGTTTGGGTGGGTGGGCGGCTACCTGTCCTCTCCATTTGTAAGATATGTTCCCTCAAGGCCGTAATTGCACGTTAATTCCCTCATCCTCTTTAAAAATAAAGATTTAATCTATTTTCGATTTTGTCCTTATTTGATATTATCTCAAAAAGGAATTCAATCGCCGCTATTCATCAATGCGTTGTTAGTACTTGTCGTTTTTCTGGGTCACTTGGTACTGTGAAAGGAGGTTACAGCATCTGTAACCAATCCTTATGAAGGCAATCTTGGTACAATTACTTGACTTGTTGAAAGATACATTTTAAAACATTTTTTTCATCAAAAAGTCATCACATATGTTGGTTTAAACACTTATTTTTCATTAGTTATTGATTTTACGTCGTTCCTTAGATGTTTTTTCCTCTTAAAATGTTCATAAAACGTGAGTTGAATAAATATTCAAGGTTAACATAATCGCTAAGTGGAGAACAATTAAAAACTAGTTATACAATTTCTTTCTTTTAAAGAGTTGTGTTCTTTGATATCTTGTGTTTATTATGATCGGTATAAAAATAAATTTGGACCTTGTGAACTGTAAATATAAATTATCAGGAATGACCTTGACACGTTCTTATCAATCGACGATTTTACTTTAATAGATCCAAATAAAAATTCTTGCTGCTAGTTTATGAATTGTAAGAATGATTAAAAATCAAAAAAGGAAACCGCAAAAAATACTTTAATGATATTCCGGGATATCACACTACTTCAGAGAAATTTCTGAATCAAAGGAAAAGTTTTTTTTATTGCACAACTGAGTCACGTACAAAGAGGTCTTTGTAGAAATTATTTATTTATAAAAATTATGAAACAATTTGAAATTAAGATTTTTTTAAATTTTGATAATGACAGGTAATTTGACCATTAAGAATTGGGCAAATTAATAGGGAATTTTGTTTCATTATGTTTTAAGATGAATTTGTCATAATGACGTTTAAACTAAATGCAATTTTTGGTTTCATATTTATACATAAATAATTTAAATAAAATATTAAACGTAAGAAAACGCAGCTTATTGGGAATTAATAAAAATTTACTAAAAATGTTACCAGAAATAAAAAAAAACATATAACCTCTAAAATTTGGCACTGACAGACAATTTGACAAGAAATGTCAGCTTGGAGATCAAAATTGACAATTACAGGTTAGTTTGGACAATTCATAATTTTTATTTGTAATAATTAAATATTTGATTTATAAAATTTTGCATAACACTTTATAAAGTATTGTATGAAACACGTTGTGTAATTTTCATACGACATTGTTAAACGTTTATGTCGCATAAAAAAAACATTTTACAACGTATTTCATAAATAATAATTCTTAAAGAAATATTTTTTTATTAAATAAAACCGGAAAGAAACATCCTGCACTTTTATTTTTAAACTCCAAGTTCCCATATAAAAAAAATGGTTTAAACCAACATGACAATATTTTTCTTTGCGTTTCATTTTTATCTATCTCGGAATATTTTAAGTTCAACGTGCAGTTAAGTAACAAAAGTCAAACACGTGTTGCATAAACTAGATGTTGTACAGAAAATTATCGCTTTAAAACGACATCACAAAAGATTGAATGATTTACAGGATGAGCATAAAACGAGGATAATTATTTAAAACGTTGACATTGGGACGGGCTTATTATTCAAATTGGTTCAGTTGATTAAAATTGTTGGGCTATTTAAAATTTTGCTCCAACGATTTGTTTTTTTCTTTTACCACGTGCTTTCATTTATTTATAGAAATAACATTATCAAATAAGATGGTTATCCCGATTATTCCAGACTATAAACATTTTTATCGGGTGTTAAAATACGATGTTTGAAGAAGTTTAAGTAAAAACCGTATCTCTAAATGTAAATAAACCTCATTTTTATCACAAAACTATTTTTCGAGATATTACCTTAATCCTGGATTACCTTAGATAACCGTTTTGAAAATGATTTTTAGAAATAACATTGGTATAGAATTAATTTGAAACATTTCTTAAATATCTTACAAATTAATATTTGATTACTAAACATAATTTAAATTGCTAATGATTTGTAACTATAAATGTGAGTATGTAAATTCGATTTCATAAAAAAAATTATTTCAAGGTCATAAGAACCGAACTTTACCCTCTTAAAATTAACAAGAAACGTGACACATTTAACTCCATTTTCTCATTACAAGCCGTAATTGTATCCTTTTTTGAATCATCCTACATAGAAATAGATAATATAAACCATTTTTATAACCGTAATACCTATTTTTAAATTCCACTAATAAAGCACAATTTTTGAAACCCCCCGCTTAATCTAAACCAAAATAAGTATCGCTTTCCGTATCGATTTCAACATCTTATTATTTAAGCCAAGTGTTCGTTTCGTCAGCAAAATAAACTCAATTTTTAAAGAAAAACGAACAGTATCATTCTCATTCTTCAACCACGTGTTTTTGTGACGTCACTAAAATAAATTAAGGCCATAACAAGTGTGTTTGTTCATTTTAGAATGTTTAGATCGCCGTTGACGTCTGATAAAATCTGTTTTACATAACTTTACGATTTTTTTTAAAATTTGTATCATTTAAATTTTCGTTGAATGAAAATGAAATTGAGTGCGGACGAAGTGAAAGAAAGAAAGGAGGGAATTTAATGAAGGTCGATGTGTAAATTGAAATGCTGGTTTAAAACGTGCTTTAAAAGCTGATTTGCGTGGGTGTGTTCAGTTTAAATGGTTCAAATGATTCAATCAATACACGTGTGCAAGGCTAATTGTTAATAAAATTGCTCAATGAAGACGTCAATGTTAATTAAGTTCTTCTAAATGAGACTCAATAAGATTTAATTATTATTGTTAATTATAAGATATATACAAATATTCAAGATGAAATCGTTTGTTAGGGACGTAAAAGGTTTTTTTAGCTAGGGTTGGTACTTCTTTTTCCTCGTTTTCCAGTCAGACCAGATAACCATACCAACTTAATTGTTTTCCTTCTATTTCCTGTATCAGGGGGGTTAAGTTCTTGCCTACGAGGGTGTTGTTTATTTGGTAGTAGACTGCACTTGCTTTTGCTGTTCTGTTGCGTATTTCCTGATCTATCTTTCCATCCTTATTTATTATGGTTCAAAATATTCGTACTTTTCTACCACCTCCAGTCATTGCTCCTCTGTTCTTACGTCAACATCTCCCGTTTCTTCTTCTTTTGTGATGTATAGAATCTAACTTTTGTTCTTGTTTATTACCATTCCTCTTTTTTGTAGGCGGGTATTTCATGTTTGGATGTTTCTTTGTAGGATATCTACTCTGCCTAACATTAGTACAACATCGTCTGCGTAGTTTGTCTTTTGAGTTGCTTTATTATTCTGTCCATGTATGCTACAAAGAGTAGTAGGGTTAAACTGTCACCCTGTTTCACAGTCTTTTCCATTCTGAACTCTTCTAACGTCTTTCCATTAGGGTATACGCTTTTGACTGCTCTTTTTAGTTTTCGACTCGTCCCCAGTTCGCTTAAATATGTTATCTCGGTACCTGGTCGAAAGCTGCTTTTAGGGCTAGGAATGCCAAATATTTATCCGTGTCGTAAGGGTGTACATGTGGCCTTGTGTTTGTCTGGAGCGCCGTTTATTCCTCTTCGAGTTTTTCTTCTATCTGGGTTCTCAGCCGTTTTTATAGAATTTAAATTATAATAAGTTTATTTTATATACCTGTCAATGTCAAATTTATAGGGTTTCTGTTGATGACATCAACTGCTGCCAACTTTACAATTTGACAGGTATTATAGAAGAAAGCTTTGATATTATTGGATGGATTCAAAATGAAAGTTGTTGATTTAAAAGAAATAACAGGATGTTTCATTTCCTGTTTCATTTCAAAAATTATCTCATTTTATTAATAAAAACCATAAGTTACTTAAAATAGGCATTTATTTACTTTCAGTTTTTTTTCACATCGTTTCAAAGGAAAAAGTTCTCCGTACAAAAATGAGTTAAAATAATTACACATTAATTATCATTAATTAGGCACGTTTGGTTGCGTTTTGCGATTTTTTCATCATTTGTGCGCTTTATTTACTCGATTTTCGCTTGGCTTAACTATTTTATTTATAAAAAAAAAGGAAACAATAAAAACAAAAAGAACTAAACTTAAATCTACATCATCATAGTCGTATTAGCTTTATTTTTTTCGTTTCGTATGGAACATTATTTCGTTTAAATCTAAAAAAAAGAAGAAAATAATCTAGATTCATCACATATATAGCATTTTTTTAATAACCTAAAACTATTTTATTTCTTTTTCTATTTAATACATTTTAAAAAAATTATAATAAAAATAAAATTGATTACATGGCAGTTTTTTCTTTTAACTTAATAAAAGAAAAGAATACAAAAAGAAAATGATTTTTTGATTTTACTAAAAAGATCTCTTAGTAATTAAAGAGATTTTTTGAGCTTATTAATTATTATCGACACCACAGTCTTTCATTATAATCTTGTTTTTGTTTCAATTTTAGTTCTTTTTTACTGTCATCACAGAAAAATAAAAAAAGTTTTTTTAAATTCTTTTTTCAAGAAATCATCTTCTTAAACTTGGGTTTTTCCATCTAATCTTTGTGCGATATCAACAAGCACCTCTTTGTAAATTAAGGGATCTATATTTTTACCCAATTGATACAATATAAACCAATCGCCGATTTGACATTTTCTTCCAATCGCTTCGATACAAATTTGTGGAGTTAAACGAGACCTTGCTCTCAATAAATACAAACGCAATTTTGGTCCAAATACAACAGCGAATCGGTATATGAGCGAAATTCCTGATAAAATACTTAAAATAACGAACCAAAACCATAAGAATACATAAATTTTTTCGTTTACTATGTTTAGAGGTAAAACGCATAAACCATCGAATTTTTGAACGCTTCCAGAAGGACCATATTTATGGAATATGCACTTGGTTACTTTAGGAAAAACTCTTGCCATGGGATCTTCGCGTTCTTCTGGTTCCATCTCGGTGAATTTTAAAACGTCACTTCCATAAGTGCTAAATTCTCCATCCAAAAAGAAATCCATAAAAAATATTTGTCCCACGACGTTTATAAAATTTAAAACTTCACAAATAAAAAATCGAAAGGCATAAAAATTTTGCATATGAAGATTCGTTGAGAAGTAATCAACAATTAAACGTTTCCTATCAGCTTTGCAATCTTGATTAACAATCGGACAATTTAAATCTAAAACCAACATTTTTATTCTTCCGCCTTCCCATGTTTTCCATAAATATCTTGGAATATAAAACAGCATCGCTTGGAAAAACAATGTGAAACAAACCCATTGATAATATTTATGATATTTAACATCATCTTTATTATCCACGTGACTAACAACTCCGGGTTGTACCATGTCGTGTCCAACTTTCCCAGTCAAACGATTCGGAATCGTAAATGTTGAATAAATCCAACAATAAGTATCCATAATATTTAACGGGATCTCATCGACGATGCAATCAATCGGATCCCCAATATATTGTCTTGACGTTACCAACAACGAAAACGCCACGAGAATCACCACAGTCACTTTATAGTGCAATCGAAAGATGTTATTATCAATACAAACCGCATCGATCTTTAATAGACCTTTAACCGAACCAAAAACATCAAACATTTTTACTTATTTCTTCTCTTCTTATTTAAATTATTAAAATAAAATTATCTAAATCAATTAATTTATTATTATCACTTTGAAATAAAACTATCCAACTTTTTTCTTGTACGTTATCATTTGAAGAATTTGATTTCGAACGAATTTTATTTGTGAACAAAGCGCTTGATGCGAGGTGAACACAACAAACGCAAACGATGGACTGAAGGTCGATGGAGGTGCCCCGCGAGGGGGACGAGGTGGAGGTGGGGCGAAACGACGAGGAATCGTCGTCGGGGTCTGTAGCTGCAGATCCGGAGAGTCCGGAGTACCGCGGATAGGAAGAATCGGTTGGGGGAAACCCCACCACTATTTTACAACTAAACACCCAAAGTGAACGGAAGACTTCGTTTTTTACTTTTCCAGAAGAAAATTTTAATCACACATTTTATTTAATTAATTAAATCTTTTATGGTCTTCTTACTATGAAATTCTAACTTAACCTTACATGACGTTTCATGTGACATTTGCAATCATAACCTCAATCTGTCAAACCAGTTTCAACACGATTTTTTTGTTGAATAAGAAAACTAAAATGTGTTATAGTTTTATAGTAATTAAAACTGTTTATATTTAATTATTGTCCATAAACTAAGTAGTTTTACGAACATTGACGTTTATAAAGAAGTTGATTATCATTGATGATTGACAATCCAATAATGTTATTAGATCATAAAATATTGTGTTTAATTTTGTTGATGTTCTAATTGTTCCTTTTTTAGCAAGTTCAAAAATTAGTCACTTAACCACCACCCCATTTCTGCGACAGTCCATTAAACTTTACTCCAGAGGTGAATATCTTGGTGTTATGGACAGAGGACTGACTTGGAAATCACACATTGTACTCACCCAATGTCGAAGGGCAATTGGGACTACATGGGGATGTTGTCTTAACAGACGCGCGGCTAAACCCGATGTTTCTAGTTTTGGGTCTAGTGTTAATTCAATAAAAATATACAACAAATTTCAGGTATAAAGAACATACCCTTCTGTTTTATATCAACGTTCATTAAAACCTTGGGGTGGTTTTCTGACCTCTGAATGAAATGTAAATTGTGGAGATGTACAAAGGGTTCGCTAAATTGAAATACCACATAATTTGGCAGCAAAAAATTCCCAAAGAAATCATTTTATTTGATACAAAAAAAGAGGCTCCCCCATTAAAAAGTTTGAATTAGATTATACTAGTATTATTTGGAGTGGTTTACACTCAATTTCAAATTATTTCATGTTTTGCCAATGTTGATAATTAAAGCTTTATAATTTTTCAAGCACAAATCCAATGAGTAGCGTTCAAACGGTTTTTATCTGGCAAAATTACACCGTTCAAATCCCGATATGTTTTGGTCAATTAATAAAATTGAAAACGACTCACCGAATGGATGTTGTTTCCCTTGGATTTTACTTCGAAGCTCAGCTGGAAAGAAAAGATAAATTAATTTATTGTGACAAATAAAAATGAATTAATACGGTACCTTTTAACATCCATAAAATAGCAATCCCATGATGTCCTATATCACATCACTAATATCACCTAACACTTAGCATAAATATATAGCACGCATTTATCACTTAATTCAAGTAATAAGTTTTATTTTTCTAAACTACTTTATCACCCTTAAATGCCCGCACATCAACTAAAATGCGTTATTAGCGAATCAACTTCCAAACATCCCCTCTTTAATTTATTGTGGGAAGAAGGAAAATGGTGGTGAATAAACAAAAAATGTAAAGACGTCGGACCGAAGCGGTTTCAATAAAAAAATTACTCGTTTTCTCGAAACATTTCAAATAAAACTTACACCATTTTACTAAAATAAAACGCACTAATCGAATTTCAATGTTTAACACTTTCTGCAAAAGCAAGTCTAGCCCCTAATATAAAAAAATTAATTCAAACTCAATCGACTATAATTAGAAAACGGTTTGACAAATTTTAATGTTTTATATCTCAATCGAAAGTTTGGAAGCTAGACTTCCAGTCACGGGGTCATTTCAATAGCCGTACGCAAGTAATTAGTAAATTTTGAAATCAGGCATTTCCACCTTCACATTCATTGTAGATCATACTTCCGATCGAGATGTTGATGACTAGGAATTGAAATCGGGCATTTTGTGATTTCGAAGAAACTATGACGAATCGAATGACGTATAGATCTTGATCATCGGGTACATTGTTTACGAGTTATCAACACTTAAAAAAGGTCATTTTTGTGTTATTTTCGTGTACCTTCGCATTATTTTGGCGTTTTAGCGGAATTCGAAAGAGATTTCGCATTGGCCAAGGATTGAGCTTTCAAACGAGATATTGTTTACCGAAATTAATTGACTGGTTCTTTTGTGATAATCAAAATACTATACATGTAAAGTCCTATCTAATTGGGGGCTAACTTCGCATAAGTCATGAATTGAGTATATTTCAAATAATTTTACTGACACATTGTTTTTATTAGATTGAGTCGTCGTTATTTCCGTTTGATTCACTCAAACTCATTTATTTATATATCTACAATCATCTCATTTAAATTAAATTGTAAAAGGTGCTTTATTTAATTAAGAATACAACGCAACACGTTAAATTGTTGCCTCGACATTTATTTATCACTTATTCAGCGAATTTCTTTATTTCTTATAACATTGTATGGTTTTATTTGTTGCTTTGTTCCATTTCAACTTTGTTGTTTAAGCGAATAGAAAAAAGTATGAGGATTTTACTTTAATCAGCACAAATTTTAATTTTAATACTTTCATCGAATCATTAATCATATCATTAATAATAATTATTTCGGTTTATTTAGAGTTTCGTCATGTTCAACGATGATAATAACATATTTTTAATTTATTTGCGGTTGTTGTTAGTGCTGATTACAAATTCTTGTTAACAAAAATTGCTTAAGCGACAATTTTAGATGTTTAGTGTTATTTCATTGTAGCTTTAAACCGGAACGAATAAAGTTAGGCGAGTTCAATTAAATATATAAATATGTGAGTATTTCTTAGTTAGTATTACTTTAATTAGTATTAAATTAGTACTAAGAAGTGTTTAACAAAAACAAAAAAGTTATGCCATGAATTTCTTTATAACTTTAATAATAATGAAGCTATTTAAAAAAAAATAAAATTAAAAAATCATTAAGCACCTTGCACTTAATGAATAAATAAGTTTATTTAGCGTGAATAATAACTAATCGATGTTGAACGTTTTATGAAACATTTAAAGATGTTTAGTGAACGCGACGCTTAACGCACGGGAGAGACAGGTCAGGTCAACTTCTCTCTTAGGTATACAAGGACCCGTTTTGGAATGCCGTTTGAGTCAATGCTCGGGTCGTTTTGTCCCAACTAACTGTTGAGTCATCCTTGCAGGTCTCAACCGAGGTACAGTTCTGCCAAAAAATTACATTAAATCAAACTACTCAAATTAATACGCTCAATAAATCAATTAAAAAAATGTAATTTGTTTAAAATCTTATCTTCTTATCGTGTCATTAATTTATTCTTATTTAATTAAATTCAATCTTATCGGTAAAGATCCGGTCTGATTTTCTTTTAATTTCAAAAATGTTTCTCCGTAATTTGTTATCTTTGCATGCTCATTGATCATAACAATACAAAACAATACGTTTTATTTAATTGAGATCGATTAAATTCTTTTTTAAAATTGATATCAAAGAAAAAGATAATGATTGGGTTATTTGTTGGGATTAAATTAGGATTGTTTCGTCAAATTAAAGTTAAAAACGTCTATTTTTTAATTTATGTTGGATTATATACATCGAAATGTTATTATATGAGCTTAATCAGAATTTAGTTGATTTAAAAAATCGTATTGAGATTATTAATCATCATTAATTCCTTATTCGGAATTAACCGATTAGGATTGCCATCATTTAGGTAATTAATAATTTATGTAGTTGAATGTAACGTTATTTGGAGCTTTTAAGTACAAGAAAAATGTCCCATAATATTGAGATAATTTTTGATTTAACAAGATTTTCTTAACTAAGGTTTAAGTTAAATATCTAGAAGAGGGGAAATTCAACTCAACCTAAATTACCTGGTAAATCAGTTAACCCTATTAATTTTGATTTAGGTTGGCTCCTTTTTGAAATCCAACCCAACCTAAATCAAAATTGATGGCATTGAATTGAGTTGGGTTAGCTTCGCCAATTCTGGTTTAGGTTCGGTTGAATTGAGTTGGATTTAACCTCAATAATTTTGGTTTAAGTTGCTGGTTAGTGTGGATTTCCTCCCTTCTGGAAATCCACACCAGCCTAAATCAACCTCAAAACTGTTCATGACAAATCTCCAACACAACCTATATTAGCTGGTGAATCAGCTTAACCCCACTAATTTTGGCTTAAGTTAGCAAAGTTGGTAACACTTATCAAGATTAACTGTGAATTTAGTTATATAATATTTTGACATCAATGTCACGGTGACGTTTAAGCTTTCTTAATTATTGAGAAAGAGGGAATTCAGTTTCTCTTTTCTTAACCTATATCATAAACCTCGAAGATTTCGATTTTGAAGGTGATGAACGTGAATTCAACGATGAATAATACATGTTTTGATGTGATTATTTGACGTTCTATTTACCAACAGAAAAAAATTTGACATTAACTGTCAAATTGACAAATTCAAATTGAATGCAGATAACACAAAGTTCTTAAATTTCATTCTTTCTGACTTGGATGTTGGTTCTTGTTAAGATGATGCAAAATTGAAAAGAAAAAGGCATTTCTTACAACACAATTATTTATTAGTCAATATAAAAAAATGTATTGAAAAATATTTTTTTATTTTTACACAACCTTGAAGCAAATTATTTGAAATATTTTCTGTGACACCGTACACCATCGCTTTAATACGATCCTCAGTTTACTTTAACAGTAAATGAACGATATGAGGGTTTTTATCTAATCTATCATAAAAGCATCACGTATATATGCTTACTATTGCATATTATAGCACCGGTTTTAGTTTCAGTTGAGCACAAAAAACGTTTCAAGCAGGAGCCAATAAATTTAAAAAAATGTTGGTTCAATTTGGACAATTAAAAGGCATCGTCAAAGTTCGTCAATACACGATCGATAATTTCGCTTTTAAATTGCATTATCGTTTAACCGCATGGATATTTGTTGTTGCAACAATTTTGGTGACATCAAGGCAATACATTGGGGAACACATTAAATGTATTGCAGATGATGGTGTTAAAGCCGAGGTTATCGAAACGTTTTGTTTTTTTACTTCAACATTTACAATCGTAAGAAACAAATTAACACATTAATATTTCATAATAATTTTAATAAAACGATTTTTAGCCTAAATATTATGATGAAAAACTTTTAAAACTTGGTGTTCTTCCACACCCCGGTGTTGGGCCTTTATCGAAAGATTCAACCGATGAAGTGACTTATCATGCTTATTACCAATGGGTTCCTTTCGTTTTATTCCTTCAAAGTATCATGTTTTATTTCCCCCATCTGTTTTGGAAAAAAAAAGAAGGTGGCCGATTAAAATTATTAGCCGAAGGATTACGATTTAACGTGATAACACGTGGAAATTCGATGGATGTTAATGGAGTCCACATCACTTCGGCACAAGAAAAAGAAGATAAATTAACAACGATTAGAGAAGTTTTCGTTGAAAGAAGGATGTTGCATCGATCGTGGTGTTTTTGGATGATTATTTGCGAAATTTTAAACTTAATTAACGTGGTAGTGCAAGGATATATTATTAATAAATTTCTTGGAGGTAAATTTTGGGGGTTAGGACCGAAAGTTATCTCGGATGGAATCGATGGAAACGCTGATGTTTTAGAAAGGGTTTTTCCGAAGGTACAATAAATTTCTTAATAAAATTGAAATTAATTATTTTTTAATTTCAGGTAACTAAATGCGTTTTTCATAAATATGGCCCTTCGGGAACGATTCAAAACCACGATGCAATGTGCGTTATGGCCTTAAACGTAATTAATGAAAAAATTTACGTTTTCCTTTGGTTTTGGTTATTATTTCTTTTTATCTGTTCTTTAATCGCGGTTATTTATCGCTTCACCAGCATGGCTTTGCATTCGAAAAGTAGCATGTTCAACAAGTTCATTTTCACACCTTACAAACCCAATCGAAAGTTTAAAGGTTGGTTTGGCATCTTAAAAAGGTACAACTACACCGAGTGGTTATTCTTAAGTTATTTATCGAGTAATATGGACCCGTTGATTTTAAAAGATTTATTTGAAACGCTTGGTAAAGGTCTGAATGATTCCGATTCGGATTCTGATAAGAAAACTTTACCAGATGATCATGAAAGAAACCTCGAAGATGTAATGTCGTTCTTTGATCGACAATAGATTTAAGTATTTCTAAGTTTTTTATATAAATTAATAAATAAATACTCCTTTTTTTACCAAATAATCCTTTTCTTAAGTCTAACTCTTATTGACCTTCGTGAAGAAGGTGAAAAGGTCGATGCCATCACGATTTTAGTACCATACCAACAAGTATAGTGGGCGCCAGTTTATTGGTGAAGAAACTTTTAAATTACAACTTAAAAAATCAGCTCATTTTAATACATTTTTGAATCGGACGGTTTTACTACGTTCAATGAATGTTAAGTTTTAAAAGCGACTTCTTGCTTTTCTTTAACGTTCACTTCGTTTGAGTTTTCTGACCGGTCAATAGAGAACGTTGACCTTTCTCTTTGGTTTCAACACGATGAAGAGAGATTTCGTTCCATTTTATTGAAGAAATTTATATCTCCAAAAATTAAATTAAATAAAAATATCTTTTAGGTTAACTAAAACGTCAAAATTAACCGAAATGTCAATTTAATGTTTACCAACTTTAGATTTCGTTACAAACATAACCTATAATTTAAATCTAACTTCAAGTTATTTAATAATTTTTTCTAAATACCAAATAATTCTTAATTAATAAACTTTACGACAACCTAAAGCATTAAAGGCATAAACCTCTTAAAGTCACGTACCCTTTTATCAACAATTTAGTAGTAATTACTTTCACTTTTATTATTAACTGATTTCAAGGTTATTTTGTTCAATAAAAAAGGTAAAATCTCATTTTCTCTTTTAGAATATTTATCAACGTGAACATTAAAATAAGTACGAAAACGTGGACCGGAGGCTGTTAAAACCAGACACTAGAAAGAGGGTGAAATCTATTTTTAGGGTTGCCACAACGAACAAACTCAAAGAATCACCCTTAAACCTATTATTTCATTGTCAAAAATCGTTTGGGCTATTGGAGGGGATATTTTCCCGGAATATTCTACTCAAACATTTTTACCTTTTCACTGTTCAGTTTCCTGGAAAAAAAAAATTAAAGTTGTAAACAATACAAAATTGTTTTTCTTTAATTTTTTTATTAAAAAAATTTTGTTGTGCATTCACACGGGACGCAGAGAGACACAAAAGAGTTCAAACGGGTCAATTACGATGGATTAATGTAAATTGTAAAATTGACCCCGGCGTGGTTTTCCAATTAACAAACCGAAGACATTTCTAAGTGAACAAATTAGGCCACTTTAAAAGGAACATGCAAGTTTCGTTTATTATTTCGTATAAAATTCACTACTATCATACGGCGCAACATTGATGCCACATCGAGACAAAAACTGAACAGTTTATAATGAAGTCTAGCTTTTAATCTAAAGTATTCTAATATAAATCATTTTTCATTGAATTGCGTGATGTTTACTTCTTGTTAAGGACAATAAATATGTATGGAAGCATTTAGGCTTAATTAAGAACACAAAATTTGATCACTTTGATGTTGTGATGGTTTGAGTTGGTTTTGGGACTGGATTAGATTGAGTGTTTTAGAGTTGATATACTTTGGGTTATCTTTGTAGTTGGAATAGTTTACTTTGTGGACAGGTTGGGTTCGTTTGTAATTGGCTATGCTTGGTTCCACATTAGTGCACCTCTCAATTTTAAGTTACAACTGATTGGATTATGATTGATTTGGAGATGCTAGCTTGCTTTGGTGTTGAGTTGAGTGCTTTCAAGTTAGCTTGGCTTTGTTTGTGGCTATTTTACTTTGGCATTGACTTTGCTAAGGCTAATAACTCTTTATTTAAGAATGTTTTAGAGTTTTAGTGGTTCACCATTGTAGAAAATACGTTGTAATTTCAAATAGTTTTCAATGCCATCTATTATTACAAAAATAAAGCAACGTTTTTCATGTAATTATTTTTGCATTCTCAATTACAATTTAAATATAACTTTTTTAAGGATTTTAACCTCCCGTTGAGTCAGTTACATTTAAAATTAACACTAAAATAGACGAGTTATTGACGTGGGTAGGTTTCAAAACTTAAACATCTGTCCTTGCATCTGTTCATCAAATGGTCCCATTCTTAGTTTATTTCTCGCTAATTTTCTAATTTATCTTTGTGGATTCGAATTAATGATTTATTTTCTTACTTAAAAGATAAAAATCGAAAATAAATTTGAATTTTAACCTTTTAGGCCGATATCTATAAACAAATTCCACCGAGGTCACGTTATTAACAATAATAACGGCAGCACATGCGGCTACATTAAACTTTAAAATATTCAGTTTTAAAAATAACACAACTTGGAAGACAAATTGAAAGGATTTTTTTGTTTCGAGATAAATTTTTAGCCTGAACTAATTTTACCGAAACCGATTCGTTTTGCTTTGCGAAATTTTAAGTTTTGAAAAAACAATTATTGTCAAATGGAGCACAAAGGGAATTGTTACGGTCCCAGTTTTTTGAATCACAGTTTGTTGAAAGTACTTGATCGTTTTTATTATTTCGTTTCTTGTAAAAGAAAGTGGATTTTTGACATTTTCCGTTTATAAACGTCTAGAAAATTATCGAACGACCTTTAAAACGGAAAGAAAGAACGAACGGGCAAAGAGTCGCCACTTTGGGGCCCGCTCTACTCTAGCAATAATGTAGAGGGGGAACCCAACAGTAAAACAGAGTTTTACACTCAGTAGCACTGAGTGTATTCTACACAGACAGATCTCCATTAAATCAAAAATTGTTTGTTTTCTTTCTTTATCCGAGTTATTTATTTCTTGGATTATGTACAAAAAGAAGTGGTAATGGGTTAAGCTCAAAAAGGAAATCAAAGAAAAATAAGAATTCGAAATTAACAAAAGAGGAAATATTAAAAAAGAAAAATGTATAAGTTACTAGGAGGTTTAGCAGGATTTTTAAAATATCAACAAGTTAAAACAGATTGTGCTCTATTTCGTTTACACAATCAATTCACATCCGTTTTATTATTTGGATGTAGTTTAATTATCACAGCTTCTCAATACGTAGGGCAACCAATTCAATGTTTAGTTGATGGTTTACCAAAACATGTCGTTAACACTTATTGTTGGATTCAATCAACTTTTACCATGCCGGAAGCTTTTAGAAGAGAGGTAAGAAAAAATTCTTAGTATTAATTAACAAAATGATTATTTCTGTATAACATCACTGTGAGTCAACTATTGATGACGCAATTGCATTTTAATTAGTCAACCTTTAAAGTTTCACTTTTATAGTGATGTCACATCAAACCGACTATATTTATTAATATAAAGAAACGATTTTTATAACAAATCAACGCTAAAAGTATCCATTTTAAGCCCGTATATATCTACCTAGTTAATTTATAACAAAAAATCTCATTGTTATAACCTCAATTTTTTGACATAACCTATTTAATTTAAACATAACCTAAAAATTATAAAAATATTCTTTCTTTTGATGTTTCCAACTTCATTGTTGTATTTAAAATGTTATTTTAACATTTAATTTAATATTTGAGGATCCCAACTTTATTTTTAATAATTAAAAAATGGTTCTTACCTTAAATTGATGATAAACTAGTTCGGTTCGATTATTTCATAAAATTTATGTTTCTAACTTCATTGTTGTATTCAATTTGACGTTTAAAAAATGACATATTTGAAATAGAAAATGATTTTTTAGTTCACGCTTTTTTTATTCTTTAAATCCTTTCAAGTTACTTTATATTTCAAGATCCAAGAGTGGTTCTTAATAATAGGTTTGCCAACGAAGAAGGAAACCTTCAAGCTGGTTTTGTAATTACATGCTTTTCATTCTCTTCGAGTTTCTTGGTCTCAAACCACTTTTTCGTTCCGTTTCAGATCGGGAAAGAAGTCGCTCATCCAGGTATTGCGAACGATTTTGGAGCGGTTGAAGAAAGAAAATATTACACTTATTATCAATGGGTTTGTTTCGTGCTATTTTTCCAGGTAAATATAAATTTGCAAGTTTAAAACAAACTTTGATTTTGTTCCAATAATTAGGGAATAGCGTGTTATTTGCCCCACATAATTTGGAAAATGGGTGAAGGCCAATTAATGAGAACTTTGGTGATGGGAATGAATTTGGGGATTTGTTACCCAGAAGAAAAACATGCCAAGAAAAAAATCGTTTTAGAGTACCTTATGTCACATATCAAGGTAAGGTTTATTAGACAACTTAACAAATCTTTTTTAATTCATCTTTTTAGCGTCACAATTTGTACGTAATTCGTTATTGGATTTGTGAAGCATTATGCTTGGTGAATATAATCGTTCAAATGTACCTGATGAATAAGTTTTTCGGTGGGGAATTTTTATCATACGGTTGGAAAGTCATGGATTTCTCAGATTCTCCGCAAGAAAACCGAGTCGATCCCATGGTTTACGTTTTCCCCAGAGTGACTAAATGCCTTTTTCATAAATACGGAGCTACAGGAACGATACAAACACATGATAGCATGTGTATTTTACCTTTAAATATTGTTAATGAAAAAACGTACATTTTTATTTGGTTTTGGTATGTTATTTTAGCGACTGCCTTAAGTTTATTAATAATTTATCGTGTTCTAATAATAACTATTCCGAAACTTCGCCCCAGAATAATGCATGCTAAAAATAAGGGAATTCCAGTTGAAATCTGTCAAGCTGTTAGTCGTAAAGTTGATTTGGGCGACTGGTGGATTTTGTTAATGTTAGGAACTAATATGGATCCATTAATTTATCGAGAAATTATTTCGGAATTAGCAAAAAAAATCGATACCGATGCTAGCAATAATCAATAAGTTGTATATTGATAAAATCGTCCTCAAAAATTCAAAATATCCTTAAAAAGACTGAATATATTAATAATAAATATTCAGTATTATTTTTTAACCATTTCGTTATAAACATTCCGTAGTTATTTTCCAAAAACGATTACGAGACGATTTTTAAAACTAAAATATTTAAAATGATAAAAAATGAAATTATTTTAATTGGTAAAAACAAATAAAAGTGGGACCAATAACTCTGTGATCGTTTTAAACGTTTTCAATTTAAAACCGAAACATTTTTTTTGTGGATTCATCCCAAATGACGAGATTTTTTAATGATTATTATTGAATAAGTAAAGAACAAAACTATTTAGATTAATGAGATTAGGTTATAAGATACTTTTTAAGTTAAGAAATGGTTTGTGACGTTTTATTTTTATTGTATGAATAAAAATAATATTTGATTATATGTACTATTACATTACATTACATTACCAGCCTTGCTCCGTGAAATAAATAAAATAAGGTGAAATAATATTTTGAATTTATTAGTGTAAGCGACATCTAGCGTTGTTTTAAATTATATGTTGAAGAAATAGTTTGGAACTTTGCTATACATTTGTTAGTTAATAATTTAGTTCGTCTGCGCAAATATAGATGGATGGATAAGTTTTGAGTCATTTATAAAAATTGAAATGTTAAAATATCAATAATGTTAGATATCTAAATAAATACCTTTTTGGATTCTTGTAGCGTTTGTTTATAAACATAATTCTATTCCGACATATTAAAACTAAGAGTAGGTTACTTACTTATGTTTGAAAACTTTCTGATCAATCTCTGCAGTGGAGATCCTAAAGCTAAGTTGATTTCTTCTACTTAATCCTCTCTTTTTATAGATGATGTTTCTCTATTTTAGATCGACTTTTTCCTCATCCTAAAATAATTAATACATCATTAATTTAGAATTAAAAGCTAACTCGATATAATGATTCAGAAACGCCCAACTGAATCAATGTAAATATATACGTCATTTGTAGATGCAACGAAAGGATTAATGCATATTTTTAGCATAGTTAAAATAAGCTTATATTTGAATTTGTATGTGAAACATTTCGAAATAAAAATATTGGTCGTTTTCAAGAACTTAATGAATTAATAGGATTAATTAATGATCTTTTAATCCGATTTAATTTCTGATAACATTGAAGGAAACTCGAGACTTTTCTTTTATTAAGTTAAAGTAATAATATCGATTGTAGATATTGTCATTTCAAGAAAGTGAGCGCTTATAAGTGTTGTTTTAGAGATCTTGAAGTGTCAAAGTTAAGTTTAAATTCGATTTTGGTAAGTAGCAATAAAAAAAAGAATTAATTTTTGATTATTTAAAATACACCTTGACCCAGAAAAATCAGCCAAATATAACAAAACTCTTGCAAAATCACATAACGCGTAACACATCGTTTCGGAAGTCGTAAAAAGCTCCCGTTGTTAATTTATACTTTTTTTTAGCGCCCAACTTTTTCTCAAATATAAAATTCTCAAAAAGTAGGTTGAGTACGATCCTGATTTTTTTTTACTCATCTTTACAGACCTCAATTCTGATTTTGATTCTAATCCTGTTTGTTTTCAGGATCCCGAAAATAAACACAAGCGAAAAAAGCTCCCACTGCCGCCAGAGAAAGAGCACTCTTTCTCAACAAAAAAGAAACTTCAGTTTTAATCGAAATTTCAATCTCGACACTTTAATTTTTCTTTTCAATCTCAATGTTCACGGTTAAAGACGACCCGCTAACACGCGCAGTTTCACTTTTAGGGCGAATTAGTGCCGATAAAGTTCAGATCGGTTCATCATCATTAAGAAGATCGGCTAGAAGGAGTTTTGAAGAAATCAAAAGAACTAATAGTACCGTTGAAGGTGCTATGCCAGGGTTGGATATTTTAAGAGGAGTTTATACCTTAACTCAGGTAATATTTTAAATAAAAATTTAACAAAGAATTATTTTTAAACATTCGGGATCTCGTTGAGTCACAATCACTCTAAAAATAGGATAAACAAACAAACCGAAATGTATACGGGTTATAGTAGTAGGTTGTATTACGCATCTTAACCCAATTAAACGAAACTTCAAAAAAAAAACAAACAAAAAAAAAACGATTTCTTATTGTCAATCGAACATTCAAAGAGAAAAGTAGAATTTAATTCGGTGATATTTTAAAACGTTTTGTTTACCACCTTCTTGTCTGCAATGTATCAAAAGATCGACCAGATTCCAGACGCCGCATTCCAAAATTAACTTACAACAAAGTTTATAAGACAAGAAGGTCTTTTGAACACTAAGATTATTCTTGGTCATGATCATGTTGATATTGCCTAAATAAAAATTAAATAAATAATGGTATTAAAAATTATACTAATTAATTTATACTTCTTTCCTTTTTTTATAGATTAATCATGTAACAATCGATTCATTGATTTTTCGTCTACACAGTAACGCAACTGTAATTCTTTTGGTAACATTTTCTATCGCTGTTACAACAAGGCAATACGTGGGGAATCCCATAGATTGTGTTCATACAAAGTAAGTCAATTCTGAATAACTTCTAGAACTAACACTAGTATTACAACTAGAATCATTCGGGTTTAGCCGTCTTTAGAGATGTGCGGCTAAACCCAAATGATTCTAGTTCTAGGTATAGTGTTAGTTCTAGTTTTACACTTGCACTGTCACTAGAACTAACATTACACCTAGAACTAAAAACATTTAGGTTTAGCAGTACGTCTCTTAAGACGGTTAAACTTAAAAATTATTTCAATAAAAATATACAACAAATTAGTTGATTTATACTTCGTAAAGACAACTCGGGGAATACTCCGAGTTTATTTATGAACATGGAGTAGAGTAAGATGGGGAATAACCCAAGTTGAACGACTTAAAGATATTTTGTCCGTTATATCCGAAGTCAATACTATCGAGGTTTTAGTGTATTTAGATTTAAAACGGAGATCGATAAGGTTAAACGTCCAGTAGATAAATTAATCCAACTCGATAAATAATTCTCGTAACAGTGGGAGTTATTAGTTTGATAAATAAGCAAATGCAGGATGTTCCTTTCAACGCGTTAAACGTACATATACACGATTAGTTAGGAACCCAAAACGATTACAAAAACATATTTAATTTATACATTTTTACAGAGACATCCCAGAAGATGTTTTAAACACTTATTGTTGGATCCATTCAACTTACACGATGATGGAAGCTTTTTTAAAACGACCCGGATATCAAGTACCTTACCCCGGCATTGAAAACTCATTTCAAAAATCTCCCGGAAGGAATCAAATCAAACAAGTTAAATACTACCAGTGGGTGGCATTTATGTTGTTTTTTCAGGTAAATTAACAAAAAATCAAAACAACCCATCAATCAAATGAACTTTGCCGATATTTTTGGAAACGGAATGCACGCATTTGAGACAATTAAACGTGAAATATAAGCACAATAAGCTGGTGTAGTGTAATAAAATTCCATTACGACTGGCAACTGGCCAGAAATCTGTCGAATCGCCCAATTTGATCCGGTTTTATTTCTTATTTTCTTTTAACCCCGTCGCGTTCGTCTTAAGATTCAATTCGAATGCCATGTCATCGTTTAGATTATCGTTTTACGTTTGTGATCGCGTATATTTTTGATTTATCGTGCCACTACCGTTCGAAACACTCTTCAGATGACGTCAAACTTACATAAATTTACTTCGATCTATCTCGTTTCAAATTGATCGAAATGTTACTACTATTTATACCGGCAGCATAAAGAGGATCATTTTAGTTTTTATTTGATGTTTCAATCGGTTTTTAATACACAGAAATAAACATGAAGGAATGTTTTCGAAAAAAAAATTATTTTCAACAACCATTTCTGATGGATTTGGTTTAAAGAGGATTAGTTCAGATTTTGACAGTATTATAAAAGGAATATATCACATCATTAAGGCTTTCATAAAGGTTTTAATAGCTCTGCTGTTTCTGCAGTATCATTGATAGTTGAAACAAAACTAACCTTACCCAATATTCTTTTTTGGGTTGGTTTACCTTTGTGAATAAAACTAACCTTATACAACATTTTCTGAACATCAAAAATGACCGGTGAATGATGAAAATGTACTTATTACATGTAAAGGTAGATACTTTAACACTATTTAACTCTAGTCTGTAAAACTGAGATGTTAGAGTAGGTTGACATGGACTTGATAAACCTAATTTCACAAAGATAATGAAAAATTACCGTTATGAATAAGAACCACGTTAGTATCCATCAACTCAGTAATAATAATATGGTAAATATAAACGTTTAAATTTTCTTAAATAACATCCAAACAGACATCTAATACAATACTCACTTAATTAAAACCCATAAAGCTCGCATCCTTTGATAAGTTTAGAACAGACAGCTTCTTCAAAGGATGATCCAAGATTTTCTTCTTTATAATAATGTTACAAGAGAAAATCTAGATTAAACAGAAAAAATTAATTTGAATATATTTAACCATATAAAAAATAACTTGTACCTATAATTGAAGTTTAATTTTTAATTCTTCATTTAACTCGAACGCTTTGAATCATTTTTAAGTCTATGCCCAAAAAATAAATAAACTTATTATACAAAGTGGATTTTTTAAAAAATCACTTGTAATGCTCGAAAATCTATATTTGCCTTTAAGTTTACTTTCGAGCGCGAGCCGAGGGCCGCTGTCGGTGCGCGCCCTCTCTTCAGGATTTTCAGGTTAATTTCGACTAAAAATACTTACGCCAAAATTGAAACCCGAACGAACAGCATCTGAAACACTCCAATACAGAAAACGAAACAGTTTCAGTTCTGCGCCGACGACGACGGTTTCATCGGAATCGTTGCGCGAGTTTTTCAAATTTCTTATTCGTTTCGTTTTCGTTTCATTCATCTTTAAAGAAACAACAGCAACACACAGTGAATTAAATTGAATTAAACCTAAAACAAAATATCTTGATTTAAAAATTGAGTATAATAATAAAACGATTTGAGATGGTTTAAGTGAATCCCTTTTAGAAAGAAACATGCGTTTTAATTATTTCATCGTAGAAAAGTCGTTATCGAGTTTGATAAAATTAATAAATGTTCTTTTGGAAACGAAAAGATGATAATGTTGATGATAAAAATAAAATTAAAAATTTTATTTCACATAAAAGTTAAATCAAAACATGTTGGATATTTTTCGAGGGTTGAAAAATCTTATCAGGGTCAGTCATATACATATAGATTCGCCAATTTTTCGACTTCACTACTCAATAACCGTATTAATATTGATCGCGTTTAGTTTAATCGTAACAACTAGACAATATGTTGGTAATCCAATCGATTGTGTTCACACCAAAGATATACCCGAGGACGTTTTGAACACTTATTGTTGGATTCACTCAACTTACACGGTGCAAAGTGCTTTTAATAAAAAAGTCGGGATTGAAGTGCCTTATCCCGGAGTCGAAACTGCCAAAGATGAAAACGACAAGAAACTTTACAAGTATTATCAGTGGGTGTGTTTTTGTCTTTTCTTTCAAGTAAGTAAACTAAGATTAAATAAAATTTTATTAAAACATAAATTTTATATTTCTTAAAACCCATTTGTCTTAAATCTTTTAAAAGATTCTTAAATAGCTTTGAATGTATACTGAAACTATTTTCCAGTGAATCATACGTCGTCTTCCGGAAACGTTCAACTGAAAATAGCTCCATGCCAAGAGAGTTAAACACTCTTTTATTCCAATTCCGTAGTTTTATATTTCGAATTTATGCACGATCCTTTGTGAAGCTAAAAATTCGAAGGAGACATTAAACGGTTCTCATAGCAATAAAACATACAAGTTCAAAAAAAAAATACATATAATATATTTCGAGCTTTAATAACTTCGGTTCTGGGGCCCTCGTTTTTAAAACGCGTGCCATAAACAACGGGAGAGGCGAGAGAAGATCTTTGTTAGTGTACGTAATAAGCTCATTTTTTTCAAAAAAACTCGACTTACGTCAGTCTGGTTTTTTTCTCACATTTTACCTTCGTTTTGTTTATTTATTTATTCCCAGAAATATTCTATTCTATTGTTATGAGGAAGTTGTAAACTTAATTACGACCGTTTTGATCGTGTTTATTAAAATTAAAATTGTTTAATAACGATATTTTCTTTTATTAGTTAATAAAAGAAATACAAAAAATAAATATTTTTACGGGTTTATGTTTTCTGGAGGAAGATGTTTTTATATTCAAAGCGAATATTCGACGTTTATCTTTATTTTGGGAGGATCAAGAGGTTTTTATACTGAGCTTTTGTATGAGATTTAAAAATTTTAAAAAAGAACTTAGCTTATTTACAATGTACTAAAGATTTCGATACATTACCTCCAAGTACTTCAATTGTGTGTACAAAATGTTGGTTTTTGTACTGGTAATAAACTTTATTACAACATTGTGTAGCCTCCATCCAACGTAAACCTCTACAATAATAAAAATGTATTCATAAACAAAAACTCTGTCTTTAGATGTTACCTGTATCAATCTTTTGATACTAAATTTTCGTAGCATCATTAACCCAGAGCAGTATCATATAATCGACGGTGAGTGTTACGAATGAGGTAATCTTCTCCATGAATATTATTCTGCAAACAGCCATCAAATCAAAATAATTTGATAAAATAAGTGATGTTAACTTTACCTTTTACTTGATTTTTGTCAAAATCGAGGCTTTTCGTCCACCTCTATTCACCAATTTAATCATTACTTTTAGATTTATTCATTAATTTAACTAGTTTTACATAAATTCTTACATTTCCCATTCGCTCAACGATTTTTAATTCATTTTTGAACTGACATTGATTAGAAATGACGTTTCGCTAATTTTAAATGCTAATTTGACTTTTTCGTACCTTTTTGTACTGCAAAGTCAAATTAGCGTATAAAAAATAATTTAAATGTTTTAATATTAATTTAACATTTTTTATAACATTTTCTTCTCAATTATAAATTTTTTTCATAAAATTAAATTTATTTTTAAGCTTAATAACTTTTTCAAAAATACTTACCATTTATCGCTGGTGGTTGTCATCAAATATAAATACCATGTTGCCAATCCCTAAAAATGAAATACAAACATAACCTATACACACGTTTTATATATTGGTTAGGTTAGGATGACATGCAAACATAACCTCATTAATATAAACGTCAATTTCAAAAACATGCTTTTGAAGATAAGTTTTGTACGTGGTTAAACAGATACTCCTATGATTTTGGTAGCTAAAAAAAATTGTTACAATTCAGGGTTGGTTGATGAAAAAGGCCAAGTTCTCTTCGGTCTCTCCGGGGTTCTATTTTAGTTTTAAAGTTTACTTTTATTGTAGCCAGCCAGATTATAGATTGTTGTCGTTATGAGACCTTGTGTTGAACCAGAAAAGTAAACAAACGTACGCGCCGAATGCCGCAGGAAAACTTAAATAAACGTCGAGTTGATTTTAATGAAGTGGACGCCTTTCTGTTTGGACAAGTTTAATTATAAGATCAATAAGATCACCTAACATTTATCATCAGAATTGTTTTGAAAAAATCTAAAAAACTGTGAAAAACATGATAGTTTTTTCGTTAAATCTTTTAATTTTTTTATTGATAAATGACGATTATTTTTCCTTTGATTTCGAATTGATCGTATAATTACATTATAATGTAAAGTTCAACAGCCTCTCAAAATTAGTCATCGTTTTCTAATTCAAGTAAATCGAGATCGTGCGTTTATGTGCGTACGATTAACGTAAATAACTTGGATAAATCACCATAAAACTAAATTAGAACAAGTTTAAGTTGAATTTTCATTGAAGAAAATTTTTTTATCGCCAACCTTGTCAATTGTACAGGAAGATATCCTTGTAAGTTGCAGCTAATTCGCGGGAAAACGTAAATATTTGCCGTGCGATTTGTAACCGAATAAATTTCAAACCGTTAAGACCCCCAGGATATTTAAAGTTTTTCGTAGTAAACTTTCAGTATTTACGTTCATTTTATTCTTGATTCTACTATTTATAGTTTTACTAATTCAATTTAATTTTTTTTTATTATAAATTTCTTCTAAAAACGGAAAATTATTCAGTTATTCAACCTTATCTTTCGTTTCTCCCATTTGAGTAGTTTACAAAAATAAATAAAAAAAATATTGAGTCTAAAACATTGTTGCTTTATGCAACAATGTACATTCATTAAATGCTGCAAAACATTCTGTAAATACATCTCATCCGGTACAGTCATTTAATGTCTCTAAAGTAGTATTAACATCGAAGTAATGGCTGAGACTGGAGTAAGTGGGTAATTTTAGATGAAACTTTTGTTTGAATCTTCATTAAGTTACATAGCGAACAAACTTAATCCTTTGGGGTCATATAAGTTTCCATGGAAATAAAACTTAATTTGCTTCTCGCATATATATTATATAACTTGGGTAATTGTGGTGAACCATCACAACATTCGGATATGGAGAACGGAAAATCATCATGACATTATCCAACATGAAAGGGATTTTCAAAAATTGAATGTTTTCTGTGCCGTCTTTGTTTGATAACTCGGAGCAGTAACGGATTTAGTAAGGGAACTAAATTTTTTCTAATGACCATCTCAAATTTCAAACTTCTTATAATTTGTTAATTTACCAGTTCCATTTCAAAGAGAATCTTCAATTTCTAATTACGTCACATCATGGGTTATTATGTCTACCGAGTGTAGAGTCTGAAATAACAAAATTCTTTTTTATGACAGATGTTTGTATTTTTAAAAATAGACATTTTAAAACTTTTTCGTTTTATATAAGATTCTAAAGTCGTTTAAGTTTTAAAGTCATGGGTGTTAGTTCTGTTGATTCACTGTTGAACACGTGCTCATTTTTTTTCTTTGAACACCACGCGAACAAACCACGGTACATTTTCCAAATATAAAACACGTACAGGATCGTTACACACTATAACGTTTTCATGCACATTTGTATGCGTTGGAATTGTGCCAAAAAAGAGAGATGTAGTGCAATGACCGTGTTCCAATTTGGTTTTTGATTTCTGATACATTAAAAAAGTAAAAAAGAATCACTTTTTTCGACTTTTTAAAACAAATCATTCGTGAAATCGTGTGCCGATTATTTGATCAATAAATAATAAGGATATTGACGTTAACATCCGAATAAATTTCTAAAAATGATCGTCCCGATTCGTCTCGGCATGTTTTTTTTTGAATTAATCCGATAAGGTAAATAATCAAAGGAGGGCGATTTTTAATGCGAAATGGGTCGGGTTTATTTACGAGAATTAAAAGAATCAACTTAAACTTCAAATAAAAATGATATCGCTAATGGTTTATTTATGAGAATTAAAAAATGATTTATAGATTAAATTTAAAATAAACAGACGGATAAATAACAACGCTTGTTGAAGACAACTGAATATCCTGGATGTTGACACAATTAGGTCAATGATAAATTTATAAAGAAATAATGTAAAATGACAAAAAGACGAGTTGCTTACGTAAATATATTCCTTGTTACGTCCAACTGTAATCGATTAAAGATGCCAAAATGATATAAGATTAACGTCTTTTCTGTGTTAACTTAATCGTTTCTTTTTATTTTTATTAACTGGCGCCAACATGTCAAGAAAACGAGATTTTCGCACGTGATTAAGTTATTTAGTGTGTTAACTTGGCAAAGAAACAATTTCTGTATTATATCCTTCTAAATAATGAAAGTTCAAACGTCATTTTGACATAACAAAAAATTCCCTGTTAATATTGCCAACTTAACCCAACTTAACAAATAATTTGACAGTTATTTAATAATTAATTTTTATAACAATAAAATTATTTCTAAAATAATTCTTTATTATAGTAACCTTGATCTAAATTCGGCGTCGATTTATATTAAAAATAGAACAATATCTAATAAGTTTTACTACAACCTAGAAGTGCAGGATATCGCTCGAATTATGATCTGAGAAAATACACAAAATATAATTTTAATTTATATTAATATTAAAATATTTATTATCGATTATTTTTTAATTATAGGCGATTCTCTTTTACACACCCCGATGGCTGTGGAAATCATGGGAAGGAGGAAAAATACACGCTTTAATGATGGACCTCGACATCGGAATTTGTTCGGAAACCGAAAAGAAGTTAAAAAAACGTTTAATGCTCGACTATTTATGCGAAAACTTTCGATATCACAATTGGTGGGCGTATAAATATTTCATCTGCGAGTTTTTAGCTCTTGTAAATGTTATAGGTAAGTTTTAAAAAATTCCTCGCGCTTATTTATAGGAATTAATAAACAATTTATACACCAAATTAAATCTAAAACATTCTAAACCATGATGTATAAAATTAAAAATTAATTAATTATTTTCTTTCAGGGCAAATGTTTTTGATGAACCGTTTCTTCGACGGCGCCTTCCTCACGTTTGGAATCAAAGTAATCAAATTTATGGACGCAGACGAAGAAGATCGCGTCGATCCGATGATTCAAATCTTTCCAAGAATGACCAAATGCACCTTTTACAAATACGGGGTTTCCGGCGAAATCGAACGTCACGACGCAATCTGCATTTTACCATTAAACGTCGTTAACGAAAAAATTTACGTTTTCCTTTGGTTTTGGTTCATCATTTTGGCTTGTTTGTCGGCGGGGATTCTCGTTTATCGAACGATTATAATCTTATCACCGCGAATGAGAGTTTATTTGCTTCGATTTCGATTCCGATTGATTCGCAAAGAAGATCTCGATTTAATCGTGAAAAAGGGTAAAATGGGCGATTGGTTCTTGTTCGTGATGTTGGGCGAGAACGTCGATTCCATTATATTTAGGGACGTTATACACGAATTAGCGACCAAATTACGAGCGCAATTATTGGAATATACTCCGGGGTTCCGGATGCCGGAGCCTTAATCGTACCAAACATGTGTTCTCAATTAATAATACCAAAGACGAATATTAAAAAAACTAAATATAAAAAGATATCGTTTATTACGTTTTGTCGGAAGTTGTTGTTTCGTGTACGAAGTTTTTTTCGGTAAATAAAGTATTTTTCTTTTTCTAAAATATTTTTTTTTCGTTTACAACCATAAATAGACAGAGAAGTTGTAGAGTGATTTATTAAACGTCCGTTGTAAGACAATGGTATCACATTTCATTGCCTGTATAGACCACATAGAACACCTACTCAATGTCTGAAGTCGAAAAAATCAACGAAACAACCACCGTGTTATAACAAATGATTCGAAGAGAGTTGATTGATGTACTGATTATATCTATCTGATTATATCTAATAATTTTTAAATAAAAGTATGTTTAAGTTATTATATAATGTATAAATAATTTGATTCCCATAAATAAAGCAAAAATCAATAACGAGATTAAAATGGTTAGTTGAAATTATAAAAACATTCCTGGCAGTTTTTGATATATTTGTACCGTTGATGTTACTGCATCCCATATCTCCAAAATCCCGAGAAGGTGCCTCAGGACTTGATTTGAAGAAGAACTGGATGAGGAGCAGACGGGTTTCAGAGCAGGACGACAAACACAATATCTCATTTTTTCCCTGCACTATATAATTGATAAGTAGATCAGCAGAGAGAAATCTGCATACCTGACTTTCTTGGATATGCACTCGCGTTTGATGAGGTGCCAAGGCAAGTGGTTTGCAAAGCACTAGAAAAGAAAGGGGCTTCCCCCATAATTAATGCAAGCCATCAAGTCCATGTTTCAAAGAGTGGAGGAAACGATAAGGCTTAACAGCAAAACCTCTAGCATAATCATCATGGAAAAAGGACAGTTTATCCCTATTGCTATATGTACCTTTAATAGATGAAGTGATGAAGACATTCAAGAAAATAGCAGAAACATCGGTGGTCGGCATGCTCAATCTCAAAACCATCATGTGACAGGCTCTGATATATGCAAACACTTCTTATGGATCTGGACGTACCACGAAGAGCTGCAGCGTACTGGATCCTGAAAAAGAATTTGCAAAATTATTTTATATTAATGTTAGAGTTTTAGGATTAGGCTTTTGCATGGATATGAGGTCATACAAAGTAAGAAACACCTCTCTGTATTTAATTATAGATAATAGCCACAATTATACAAAATAATAAAAATAAAAATTCTATAAAAAAAATAACAGCTGGTCGAATTACGCTAAAACCTACATATTTATGCCAATTAGATAGAGACTGAACAGTGAAATTGATTTCATAACTATTGAAGAGAGTAATAATATTTTTTTAATATAAATTTTGTGTATTCCGGAGAATTTGTGACGTCAACTATGAAGGTGTGGGGATAGAGCACACTCCGGAGCACGTCACCAGGTGTACCCAGAATGCTCGGAACACCTTCAAACGCCTTGAAAGGCCCCACCGTGGTACGTTTTGTTAGTCCGCGAGAAGAGTTTGTTTAAGAGAGAGGTTCGCGTTCGGTTCCGTTCGGTGTCGATTAATTCTAACTACACATGTATGAAGTCTATTACTACACAGTTCGGTTTAAATGTTTCATCACTTCCCCTTCAATTTAACGCGTTCAAATCGGATTAAAAGAAAAAGTTACACTTTTTGAATGCACCTCGTTTACGTTTAAAGGTAAGAAAAAATTTTAAAGAAAATCAAATTAATTGGAAAAGAATGCGAGTGAAAATAATTAAAATTCTCGTCATGAAGGATTTTTTTTTGAATCATGACGTAAAGATTAAAATAGCTATCAAGGTCTGGTGTAGAATACGAAATTAAAAAGCGACAACTAAACAAGAATAACAACGAATAAACGAGAATTACGGGGACGTGACGGTTGGATACGAAAGTATATGTGTAATATATCAAGCGGATTGTGCGTCGAGAATAAAAATAAGATGAGAAATATGATATATAAACTTCTCCATAACCTTGGTACTTTCGATTTTATTTTGAAAAATAATTTCATTCAATAAATTTCCATTATTATAGATTTAATTATTTCAATGTCGTTCCGATTATGTAAGGTACCTGAAGTTACCTTGAAGGTTCTCTCCACCTCGCTGATTTTAGTTGGTTATTAAAACGGGTTCGATGATTATAGATTTGGGCCGGCGAATCGATTATCGTCGTGTTCTTTTTGCACTCCTTTCATAACTGACCTTTACTAAACGAAGATGAGTTGACGTCGTTTTCATGCAAGGATTTATAATAAATTTGTAGTGATTAATTTAATTAATTGGGTTTAATTGGGCATAACGAAAGCGAAGAAAGTGATTGTTTTCTTTTTTTTTCTAATCCACTCAAACGAGAAAAGAAAGAATAACATCGGAAAGACTTTAATTGATATATTGTGTGTTAAAGAAACGCTTGGGCTACTTTAAAACAAAGTTGAAGGAACTTTTCCACAACTTTAAATAACACATCAACCTTTAACTCCCACTTATTATTTCTCTTTTAACTTTTAGTTTCCATACTGAAAAGAAAAAAAAAATTAAAAAAATTACGAAGAAGATGTAAATTTATCTTGATCGTTTTTTATCGAATCCTTTCACATTCTCTGCCCACTTAACCCGTTTTATTTGTATTTTGCAAACGTGAATCGCCCACACATACAGTTGTGAACATCGCAACTGTATCTTTTGCAAGATTCTTGCGCTTATTTGGTAGCACGAAAAGGTCTTCTATTTTGTGTGATTCCGACTGATTTCAAGTAGAGTGAAAGGTTCACCGTTTGGTTTAATATCAAAATCTCCGACCGCGAGACTCGTGGCCTAACGAACTCGCCTAACGGGTCACCCTGTGAGATCACAGTTAAATATACTTCTCTATACCACTGCACAGAGACACGACAAAGTCGGTGACCTCGCCATTTTCCTACATAAGTTCTATGCAAAATGGCCGATTCAACTTGAAAACTGGTTGTACAAAAAGAGTCGTTATCGTTTCGGCAAATGTACCACGGTTACACAATTTATTCGGGTTATTTATCAAGATTAAAGGTGACTCATATGAATTCGCTCCATGTATTCATCTTAACCTTAAAAAAATCATACAAGTTTTATTTTAGAACATTACTAACATTCTAATAAGTTGTTTACCAAAAGAACGTCTCCTCAAACAAAATATTTCCGGTTTAAACATTTTTACTTCTAATTTTAGAACCAACAGCGCATAAACCATTTATCTTTTCTTACAATAACATTCAAGGTAAACGTTTATTTTCCAATTAATTTATAAAGAAATTAATTTGCAAGAAATTAATTTGCAAGAAATTAAAATAGGGCTTTAAACTAACGGTAAGAAAAGTCTGGTTGTTGTAATTTAAATAATAAATCAAAGGCGAAACGTTAGAAATTCCGTCCATTCCTTCGGATGATTTTACAGTTACTTGAAGTAATTGCCGGTTCACTTAGCTTCCTGTCGGACTCGAGAGCAATATAAGAAACGATTTTGTTTAAAACGTTTTTATACAACGAGTGTTCACATCGCCTAGAGATCCTTCTTGATTATTTGGATAACCTAAAAATTTGATAAAACTTTAAGTTAATTAATTTATTGAAATTTACTAAAAAGTGACTATTAAATAAATTATTCAAAACTCTCCATATAACTGTTAACATTGAGAAATTAAGACATTCTATTTTATCGACTTATCGCATATTTTTTGCGTTTGATGAGGTGCCAAGGCAAGTGGTTTGGAAAGTACTATAGAAGAAAGGGTCTCTCCCACAGCTGATGCAGGCCATCAAGTCCATGTTCCAGCGAGTGGAGGAAGCGATGAGGCTTGGCGGGAAGACCTCTAGCATGATCCTCATGGAAAAAGGACAGTTTATCCCTATTGCTATATGTAGCTTTTATGGATGAAGTGATGAAGTCATACAAGAAAAGAACAGAAACTTCCCATTTTTCCATCGTAAACTTTCCTAAGAAATTAATTTTTGTGTTTCTTTGTAAAAAAATTCTTCACGCTGCGCGCTGTTGCTATTAAGTATGAGCACATTCCAATAAGCTGCGTTAAGTGCTCGAAATCATCGCTTAAATCTTAATAGGTACTTTGAATACCTTTATGTCTTCTTGCTTAAACGCATTTAACAGCTAAGAATTTCAAATAAAAAGGTTGCTGCTAGCGTAAAGATTTTAATTATTGAAAAAAAAAAATTTTGAAAATTCAATTCGAATTCATTTTAGAATTCTTTACTCTTGAATAATAAAGTGAAATCGAAAGTCGTTACGTTGAACCTTATTGAGGTCAAGCTCGGTGGTAACTTTCGTTTTCTGGCTGCATTCGAAGCTGGTTACATCAACTAAAACTTATCTCAAACTAATACCTATTAAATATCATAAATATTAATTTTTAAATGAATTAAATCAATTCGAATTAAATGTTATTAATTTTTTTCTTTTTGTTTTGTTAACAAGGATGTAAAAAATGTTTAACTCGAACACAGAGAGCAGTCGTTATCCTTGAAACAGGCGACTTTTCGCGACATTCTTCTCAACCAATTCATTCGGTTTTCTTTGCCTTTGTGCAAACCCGACACGCTGAAAGGTTGTTTTATGGTTTTTAGTTTGCCGTCAAAGGTTAATAGGCATTGGTGAAGAAACGAACAACTTGGAAAGAATCGCCTAATTAAAAAGGGATGTTTAATTATTTTTTTTTGATTTGACCTTAACCTAAAACTTAAAAAAATTACCTTGATCTTTTTGTTGAAAATTAAAGATAAAAACCCCACTTTTCGATTTTTTATTTCGACTTTCATTCGACCTTCCTTCCGTCCAACGCGCGATTTCAACCCGACCAACGCAAAAATGTCTTCTTGTGTCGTTTTCTTCAGTTGGGCGTTTAAACGTGGGTTTGAGGCCATTTCTTGTAAATTAAAAAGAAAAGATTATGTGTTCCTTTTTCTAATAATAAACCCGCATAGATCCACAAACGTGTTATTATCTTTTAAACCTTACGGAATTAGAAATAAACCAATAAAACAAAAAAAAGGAGGAGATCCTCCTCTGGGGTAATTTCAAGTCGGGATGCCTTCAGCGAATTTAATTATAAACCTAGCCGGATCGCAAATCGGTTAATACCGAAGTATAAGGGGCATAAACATAATGTATCTCCCGGCGGATCTGTATGAAAAATCTGAGCCAAGTCTGCGGGCTACGATGTTAAAAGTAACTAAGTTATGGCCCCAAGACGACGACGAGCGGCTTTCAACGATAAAACGAACGATATCGTTTTGTTCGTGTGAGATATCGACATTATTAAGTTTGTCTTTATAAAATTGTTTAAATTATTTCAGTTTCAACTTTAAAACCTAATATAAATCACCCTTTAATTCCAATAATCACCATTTTTTGTATCTTTCAATATCCCCTACATTACAACCACCCATTTCTCATCGTTTTCTTCATTTTCTAAGTCTCGTTCTGATTTATCGCCGTCTCTCGTCGATGATTTACAATTATAGAAACTCCCCGTAAGCTAGTTTTCTTATAAGTAGTGAAGCGAACCAGCTCGCGGTTAGATTTAACTTTAACTTTGAAGTTAAAGTTCTTGGTGTATTCACGGTAACGAGACACCAACGGCCTTTGGTGACCTTTGGCTTTGATTTGTGGTGGTCGGCGAGTTTCTTCTCCTTCTTCACTTCTCTGTGTGTAGTGTATGTATGCTTGGGGTTTCATGATTCTTCATGGTGAATTTCACCAAGAATGTTATTTTTTTGGAATAATTAAAGAATACCTGTCCCTCTTAAAAATCGATGATTTTTTTTTTTAATCGGTAGGAAATGACTCAAAAGATGTGTTAATGATAAAAAAAAGTGCGGAAAAGTGTAGTACTTACCGAAAAATCACTTTAAAGTTGCGATTTGACGTTTCTTTTTGGAAGTTCAAAGCAAATTAATTCTTTATAATTGTCAAAATTGACAAATTAAGGTTATGATGAAATTCTATTTTATCGACATCTACTAGCTCCATCTTTTGATATTTAATTAAATTTATGTTGGATTCAAACTTTATCCAACTTTTTATTATATATTATTATTATTATTATTAAATCGCGTTTTCAAAACGTTTGGAGATTCTTTTTGATTACTGGAATAAAGCATCCTAAAAATAGAAAAGATATTTAAATAAATTATTATAACTGTCATAATATTTTATGTCTCCATCTTTTGATATTTAATTGAATTTATATAAACTTTAACAATTTCTTGTAAAACTTTACTAAGAATTTAAAGTTAAAGGTGATTAAAATGATTTTAATCTAATTTTTATTTCAGATGTCTTCACTTCACTTTTTCTTTCTTACGTTCTGTTTTGCTGCTTTCTTCGCGAAATCATCATTTGGTCAATCTAATTATGCGGATCAAGCGAATAGCATAGAATACTCAAACAGTGGTTTGCCGGAATACGCAACTTTAGATGGAAAAGTGACGCAGTTAGATGAATTGAGTCCAATAATAGCTTTGAATCGTACGAAAGCTGCGTTAAATTGCGCCGACGGAACCATGCAGATTCAACTTAAGTTCGATGAAGCATTTCACGGCCTTGCTTACGCCGATTTCGATCGAAATTCGGCGTGCCACGTGTTTGGGCAAGGTGAAAAAAGTTACTTATTGGAGTTACCTTTAAAAGGTTGTGGAACGAAACAAGTAAAGAATGTTTAAAATGAAATTTTTAATAAGATTGTTAATTCGAATTTTGTTTTAGAATCCTCAACGTGTCTTCACGAATAACATCGTTGTAAGATTTCATAAAGCCTTAGAAATGGATGGGGATGAAATCATTACTATTGTTTGTAGATATCCACCACCTGTAGCACCAGCGCCTCCTGTAGCAAATCCAATGTAGGTTATTACAATTCGGATGTTATTGATTAATTTTATTGTTTTCTTTTTGAAAAGTAGTGTAGAACAACCCCCGGTTCTGGCTGCGATAGAACCCCCACTGGGTGGTTTTCAAATTTTATTAATAATCTGTGCGATCCTCTTTTTATCACTCCTTCTTTTGGGGTTGGGATGTTCTTATTACTGTCTTAGAAGACGAAACATGACGGTGATTAGACGCCATCCCTTCTCATCGATTGGAACCGAATCCGAAATTACTAAGATTTCGGGAAGTTCTTTGGGTAAGTTCAATTTTTAAATTTGTATGGATTAAGGATTAATTAATTATTTAACTAATTCCTCATAATCATCACAAATAACCTTCTAATATATCCTTCTTTATTAACAGGTAACCTGTCGTTGTTTGAGGGAGTTAAAATCCCTCGAGCTCATGCACCCGTTGTAACAACAATAACCAGCTCGGGAAGCGAGGGGCCCTTAATTAGCGATACTCTTCCTTCAGATTACCCATCGGAGAGCCATTCGGAACCCGATGACGAACGTTCTCTGGCTGCATCATCATCAGCTAGTTATGAAAACAAAGTTTTCGTACACGATGAACCAACAATTTTCGAGCCGCCACCACCCCCACCGAAAATGGAGCCGAAATTCGACGTTGAAGTTAAAGTTAAACAACGACCATCACCACCGTTGAGTTTAAAACTTTCGGATGACACCGAAAGTATGTTTAGCGAAAAGAATCTTTCGGTGATTATGGAAGAAAAAGAAGATATTCCGAGGGAAACGCGGAAACACCACGTTCAATTAGCGCCGAGTTTATTAAAAATTAAAAGAAAACAACTCGAAGAGACCCCAAGAAAAAAATTGGAAGAGTTTGAAAACTTAGAATCTTTAGAAAGCCAACACGAAGAATTAGTTGAAGAACCAATTTTAATCGTGCACAAACCCGAAATTACCTCGCATGTCGTTGACGATGTCTTTTTAAGAACGATTACGGAGAAGAAAACCTTTGAAGACGTCGAAAGACATAAACGATTAGTCACCGAGTATTTAACGAAACCTAAAGCTGTTGAAGATTTAAATTGGGATGTACGCATCAAAAATTACGAAATCGAACAAAAACAACCCCCGGAATGGGAGAACTTTTCGGATATCTCCTCAGCTTCCGGTTTAACTTTAACACCTAAATTCGAAAGAAGTCCTTTATCTTTAGCGAATATCTCAACGATTTACGACAACAAATTACCGCTGAATTCCCCAGAATTAGTCGGAAACTTAACCCATCAAGATCAAAGAATCATTAAAGAAGAATTTTATTCTACAAAAAAAGAAGAGGAAGTTTTAAAAATTTTACGAACTTATGATATCCCGTTGAATAACCCTGAAGTTCCTAATTGGGATGTTTTAATCCGAATTTTCGGGATTCACCATACCGAAGAAAGTCTGGATACTTTCGAAATCGATGACGATCTAAACGAAATGGATAAATTTAAATGGAAACAAATCATAACGAACGAATCAACGTTAAAAACCCAACTAACTCAAGCTGTAATTCGGGAGGATTACGAAAAAATCCGCTATAATTACCCGAAAGTTTACGAACCACATAAATGGGACGTTATCATTCGAGTTTTAACCCCACCGCAACAACCACCTCGCAAATCAAAACGATCCGAAACGATCCGTCGCAAATCTTTACCGACTTTATACGAAAACGAATCCGAAACAACATCCGAACCGGGAAGATCTTTAATCCCAACAACAATTTCGATCCACAAACCCGACATGGATCTACGGTCTATGTCGGAAACGATCGTCGATTTTGTCCATCATCCCGACAATCAATCGGAAGTTTCATCCTCGTATTTCCACACATCGAGATTTTACGAAGAAGATCGACATTCTTTACCGAGATCTTTAAGCCAACCGAGTTTGGCTCGATCTGCAAGCGAATTCACTGAAAGGTGGATTGCGCCATCGAGATATGATACGGCGAGTGAATTTACAACGCCCGAAGGAACCCCGAAAAGTCAAAGAAGTTCGAAAAGCTCGAAAATTGAAGCGATGAGGATGGGGAGAGGTGTTTCGGGATCGGGGGTTGTGCCAAGAAGAGAAATTATCGCTGAGAAGGAGTTTAGAAGCGAGATTAAATCGAAAATAGCGTTTAAAGGAGGTAATAAAGATTGGTTTAATGATAACGATAGTGATAATGATTAAAAATAAAATCATTTTTATACTGCCCTATTTTTTACCATAATAATTAGATGTTTTTTGATTTAATTAATAATTAATAATCCTATTTTACTGCCTATTTTTTTTATATGATAAAAATTATTTTTTTTATAATCATTTTTTTAATAGTAACTATTTAGCTGTGATAACAAATCGATTAATTTTTTTTATAGAGAATTAATTTACAAAAAAAATGAGGTGGAGGGTTTCAAAGGGCTTTTATGTATAATTTTTATAAACGAAACGAATAATAATTTAATGTAGGTGCTATTTTAGCTTTTTATTACGATGTAGTTAAAAAAATAAATAAATAAAATCGCTTTTTCCTTACTATTTTTGTTATTTATCTTTATAAATTTAAAAATTTTAAGCCGTTTTTGAGTTTAAAAATAAAAAGCGATTTAAAACAGATTGAAATCTCGTATCTGGAGCGGATGTAGTCCAGATTAAACCCTTTGAAATGACTTTAGAACAATGGGGGATCTTCAATTACCCCGATTTCTTTTTATTTTAAATAAAAACTCTGCCCAGATTGAATTTTAGTTTTAAAAATTGGGTATAAAAATATTTGCGTTTCATTTTCGTTCCGATCGATAAACGCGTGACTCACACCACTGATTAATATTAATATTTTATTATTAACGTGTTAATATCCTAAAAAGGAATCAATATCTTGTTATTGAAATTAATTCGATTAATAATAACTTTATAAATATATTTTTTAATTAATTTCGTGTTAAAAAAACAGTTTTTTGACGTCGATCGGCGGCAGCGTCGCGACGTCGCACTCCACAGGTTACCAAACCCTTCTACTTCGTCGTTTTCAGTCTCTCAGTAGGTCGCCGGATGTAACGTGTTGCGTCACGCAGTGTTTTCCGACGTGTTAAGTGCTACAAGTGTTACTACTTAAAAGAAACTCTCAAGGGTTCTTAACAAAATTAGAGTTGTTGTTGCAATAACTTAATTAATCAATGGAAATTAATAATACATAAATTGGTAAGTAACTTTTAAATAATACCTTTTTCGTGACTATGATTAAATTAAAACTTAGTTATAAAATCATTTTAAATAAACACCATAAAAGTTAATTCAAAAAAAGAACTAATTTAATGAGGTCACGTAGAAGTCGTTCGTTTACGTTTTATTTGTGCTCAAATTTATGGGATTCCCCAAAGGTCTCTGTTAAAAAATTCAACAACTCCCTTTTTAATAAAAACCTTTTCAACGAAAAAGAAAATTAAACGAAATAATGAATTTAGCGAATCGTTATTTAGGTACATTTGTTTCTCTTTTGAAACGTTTACGTTTGTTAATTGAATTTTGGCAATGATGAAAACGTTCGAAAAGTCACGGACGCCTGAAATTGTGAATGTATCTGTCGGACAGGGCAAAACACGTTCGGTCACGTTTTACCAAAATTGGTTACTCTCGGAAAAACGAACAAGTTAAATCAATGAACGAGAAATTGAAACCAGAACACGTCAAAACGTTTCAAACAATTTTAGTTTTGCGTGACTTCAAATGTTTTAAACTTTTCACCTTTCAATACAATAAAAAATTTCGTTTTAAGTTGATTTAGTTACCAGTTTTGTAGAACGATTTGCACTTGAGAAATTTCCTTCTATATAAGACATCAGTGATATTAACAGAATTAGAGCACCCAATATTCTCTTTTAACCTTTCTCCTTGTAGTTTTGAACTTCTACTTCATTGGCAACATGTTTGAGGTCCTTCATTAATGATGTGTAATGAACGTAATGATATCAAGTAATTCCTAGACAATAAAATGTTCAAAATAATCTTACTACTTACAGTATAATTAATAATGAACGTTTCAATACTTGTTTGAGTTAGCTAGACTCTTCTCCCTATGCGCTGTATCATCTCCGTGTCCTAATTTTACAATAAAAGTAAATACACATTTATTTAAGGTTATGTTGATAATCTGACGTTTCTTTTAGGTTACATATATGTAACATTAGGTGTTTTTACCAAAGAAGACTAAAAATTTTTAATTTGTATCAAGATATAAACTAATCTGAGTCAATAAAGACAAACTAAATTTTACATTAATTTACTCTTCAAAAAAATATATTTTAAAGGTAATCATGTCAAAAAATAATTTTTTTTCAAATTTTAGGTTAAAAATAAATTAGAACAAACATTTGTTTAAATTTTATTAATTAACTATTATTTCCTATACATGATTATTTCAATCTTCTGATAAAAACATTATATCCAAACTAAACGTTTAATACAAAAATAATACATAAAATTAAGTCAGAAATAAAATGTTTGGTAGAAATTTATTTAAGGTTATGTTAATAGTTTGACATTTCTTTTAGGTTATATTGACCATAATATTGACATTGACAGTTTTTACTTAAGAAGCTTTTAATTAATTTTTGATAAGATATAAATAGATTTGAGTCAATAAAGTCAAAATGAATCTTACATTAACTGTTAAACTCATCAAAAAAATAAAGTTTAAAGGTAATCATGTCAAAAAATAATTTTATCTCAAATTTTAGGTTGTCGTTTTTAAAAACCTGTTTCTAAAAAACGCCACAAAAATCCAAGCTTTATCCGAGTTTATTCATCGTATCGAATAACCCATTGTATTTGGGTATTTTACCAACACTGTAGCAGTATCAAACTTTTTAGCTCGCTTATCTCGACGTTTTTCAACAATACTTTTTGTTATCTACTTTTTTTCTAATTTATTTAAGGTAAAACTGAGTTTATTCGCTTTTAAAATCCGAACTTTAATATATAAAAGCTTTTTGGTAATGAAATACGTATTAAATATTCAATGTGATACAAGAAAAATGCATTTATTTTGGGGGTTGTTTTCATTTTAGGTTATGTAACATTGAGTTTTATGAAAATCCGGAAAAATAATTTTTTTATAAAAAAACTGGGTCAAAATTAATGTCGGAGATAATGGTCTTTAGGGAATCATCTTCTTTAAAAAATTCTCGAATAAAAAGACTTTGAAAAAGACCCAGAAACTTGCTAACAATAGCTATAGGGAAACTTTTGTTCTCTAAAAACTAAAAGAATTTATTATTGCATTTAACACGAAATCCGTTTTTTTTCTTTTAAATATTAAATATGTTTCAAAAGATCTAAGAGGATTTCCATACGAGAAACTTTATTTAGAAATTTAACGATGAAAAGGATAAATTATTGCACCGGAAATGTTCCGTACTTTCAAATAAACATAATAATCCTGTTAGATCTAACATTTTCAGTGTTCAGTCGAAAGAGAGACGAGAAAATTAAATTTCATTCATCTTTCGAAATGTAAATGATAAATTTAAATATTTTTTTAATTCCTATAAATAAACCCCTTATTTTTAACAAGATCATTAATCTCGCACCGTTTCCACACGTGTTAACTATAATTACGACCAACTTTACGGCATCGAGCTTTGTAAACTTGACAAACTCAAATCCGCTCGTTAATCAACTATCGATCGGATACTTTACAAAGCTTCGGGTCCGGAGTAATTAACCATCCCCCATTTATTTTTTTGTGGCATTTAAGGGTCTTTAATACCAAACTTGTATTTTAATGAACATGTAATTTTCTTTAAAATCTCATTTTAGGCGATTTCGAAAAGTTAACAAAATGGAGAATAAAAATCTTCGTCCCACAAGACCAAGACTTCAAAGATCTGAAAGAGTTCTCAGCGAATCCCATCTGACATCTTGGGAAGTTTTCGTTCGAGACTCTCTTTTGACATTAGCTTGGCCAGAATTACTTAATGTTGTATCTGGGTGAGTATGTTATTATGTATAAATTTCCTGCGTTATCCGAACGATCACCAAAAATAACCTCAATCACCTTCCTTTGATGATCGCTTCAGTGAAATAGCGCATGCCAGGACGGGAATTTTCCTTTATCTAGCTACGAGATACCTTTAGTTATGCCACAAACTTCCATCAGTAAACTCAAATATTTTTAAATCATTACCAAAACTAGTCACGTTTTACCACAAAAAAAGTTCGATATCGGGGGATGTTTGGATGTTGTTTTGAAAGCGAGAAATCAGGTCACAGCTCCCCTTCGGCGTCCCCAAAAATGAATTTATACTCTTTTCCTCGACGCCGCCGGACCGATTCTTCGGGTTGTTTACACCCGAAAGTTTAAACGGGGAGCAGTCGAAAACATTCCTTCGAACAAACAGCATTGAGGAAGCTCTCTCTAACAAAGAGACTTTCTAATATAACATTTTTTTTTTCGTTTTAATAAAAATAAATAAAAATGAGTGTCATAAATTTAAAAAATTCCTCGTTAAAATCGAGTCAGTTCGATAAAAATTCGAAAAGACGAACGTCGGGTGTGATTCATTCGTACAAGTGTTTGAGAAGTTCTAGTTTAGAAGTTTGGGGACATAATGGACGGAGTTTGGATAAAAGGTAAATTATATTAATTTATTTATTAATTAATTCATTTACCAATGTTTTATAAATTTTATAGTTTTGAGACTAATAAAAGACTCTGTAAAGTGATTGACATCGATTTTGTTCTTGCAAATCTTTAAATTTAAAGATTATTACCCCACGATTTGGTTTGTTTGAGAAATCAATCTGCACGATTCTATCTGTAACGTCAGATTTCTCGTCAATCTGCTAGTTTCGAGTACCTTATTGTTCAAATGAGGCATATTTAAGCAGTCGAATGTTGAAAAAAATCCCTATCTAAAATTGAATTTTTATTATGTCACTCTATAAAACTTTTTCATCATTCAACGAAGGCACAGCAATTTTTCTAAGTTATTCAAAGGCGCTTTCCCCCAATTTCCCGTTTTTCCAATAAATAACGAATCCATCTCGACTCGTTTCAAAGCTCTTTCCCGCACAGAAGCGTTGTAAATAAATCATTTTTCCCGACGTAGATATTACGGACGCGGATTTCCAACACATGTTGCACGTACGACTACGATTTATTCCTTATTTTCAATTGTAACAAAGTAAACTGGGTCAAATGAACGAGAAAAATCGATAAAGTACAACTTTATTTATTTTAACTGAAAATAGTGTTGAATTGAAAAACTATTTTGTAAATTTAAAAGTTACCCCTATCGGAGAAAACGTAAAATAATCGTTAAATTTGAAGTTTTCCCTAAAAGATGGCGCTCCAAGTGGAAATATCGACGATTTTCCTCGACTTTTACGTCACTGTTATTGCGTTTTCTTTTATGAACGGAAAACCGTGGCAAAGATGAAACTGCGCGTGCGTTAGGCTTTTATTATAGTAGTAGCAACGTCTCGTGCGTGTATGCGGAGCTTTGAAAATGCGCGAAAGCTCGAGGTTCACGTTCAGTTCAAGCTTAGCTTTCGTTCGGGGTTAAAGAGGGTCGTTTACCCGAAAATTATTTTACCTTAACAGAATAAAAAAAAAGATAAATATATTTAGAATTTTAGTGAAGTGATGGTGATTATTTTGTATATATATATATAATTTTTAATTATTTATTTTAATTTGAAACTAAGAAAAACTTTGTGATAATAATTTTTTAAAATTACCACAGAGATTTTCTTTGAGAATCTTTGTAGGCAAAGAAATGAGGCGAAAATCTCGGATTCTTTTCAAATCCCCTAACGAGATTTTATTGCAAGGTTGCGGTCATCTGGAACCCTTTGAGAGCCCTTTTGGGACGGGTAACGTGAACAAGAAAACACTAGAAATTTAAATCGAAATGAAAAAGTTAAAAACTTTTCATGATAACTTATAAATAACAATTTAATTTAAAAAAATAACATTTAATTACCTTAAATTAAAGGTAAAGTTCTATTAATCAAGTTCTATTAACTGATTAGTTTATTATTGAGAGATAACCGAAAATATTTCGATACAACGTTGAGTTTTAGTCATCGTATTAACCCGAACAGCTGGTCTCGTTTCATATCATAAACAAAACTTGCCACAGTATCTCTTGATATTTTATTAATTTACGATCTCGTTATTATATCAATAATACAATTTTCAACGCCTTTATTAAAATAATTCCTTTAATTAAAAAAGAAAATATATTTAGATAAAGTTAGTTTACATATTTTTGTTCGTCCCAATTTGATACACATTTTCGAATAAATTAGCATTGGGAATGCCAACCTGCTGGTAGTTAAGTCATTTTGAGTAGTTAGTTATCAGTGACCTAAAAATAAACATTCATTTTTGCTCGTGTATACGTTACTTTGACTTAATTTCAACGCATTTAAACGAAATGAAACTTTTTTTAACGCCAATTAAATACTTTGACTCTTGGCAAAGTGACTTAGTTTTAAAAATACATCTCACACAATCAGATTAATTAACCGTTCTGCATCACATCAAAAATAATTTTAAAAAAATAATAAATAAAAATAATGTTAAAGTGATTAATACATAAAAAAAATGAGACTTGTTCAAAGACTTCGAGGTGAAAGACACGATGAAGATGCAGCTTCCGGTCCGCCACCGGGTTCATCAAGAGATCGTTCTAAAAGTGTTTGCGTCGCAAATTTTCCGCAAACAAAACAACCAACGAGAATTCAGACTGGAGATGTTAGTGCTATTAAATTATTTCATAGGAGAGCTAGTAGTGCTATGTAAGTATAAGGAAAATAAATAAGAAAATTTGACTTGATTTTATTTTTATTTACGTACGAGGTGTGCCAAAAGAAAATTACTTTTCGCATTGTATGTATTGTTTTGAAATATACGTTTCAGCTTTAAAGTTTTAAATATATCAAAGCTGTATCAAATCTTGATCTATTAAATTAGGCACAACCTGGCTATGTCCCTGGTGTCGGCAACGATGCATTTAAACTTCTAATATCACTATTTAATCTTCTGCCAGCAGAATTTAGCCATATGCGAGTAGTATAAAGTGTTGCTTGTCTTCTATAATACGGATTTGGTCTGGTAAAATTAATATTTGCTTTTGGTAACTTTTCTGCCATCTCTATTGTGGTCTCTCGGGATCTCTTCTACCAGCTGGCCTTTGATCTTTAAATTTAAACATGGAAATAACTCATTCATATTTCACCAAAATTCTTTTCACATTTCAAAACTATGAAGCTAAGAAAAAAGGCGTTGACCGAATTTCTTCTTCTGAAATTGTCACATTTTTTTTTTGAAATCCTTTTGAAGATTTAATGTATGTTTTTTCATAAATATTATTGATTAACTTCCCTTTAATAAGCCTTTGAAATTAGACACCACAGCAAAGAGAGGTAACAAGCAGTTTAATAAACTCTTGGCGTCCCTAAATAATCGATTTCACCTCCACTGAATAACCGTGGTGAATTTTACCTGTGTTGACGCTAAAATCAAACCCCGCATAGTGCAGAATTTGGTTAAGCAACTTGCTAACAGTTTAAAGAGCTTTGCAAAGTTGTTCATAATAGGTATTGACCGGTGTTTAGTTAAACAGCATATCGTTCAATTTGAAAACGAAGTTCTGTTCTAAATTAAGTATTTAGAAGGAAGTTTCTTGATAATTAAGATTAAAGACGTGCTGTTGTACTAAAAAATGAAAATCGAATGACCTTCAAATATAAACCGCACCCACTATAAACGAGGTCATTAAACAATGGTATTATAACAAGTTGTAAGGTATTATCACGTTGCCACTGCGACAAGAGGAAACTGAAAGAGCGAAGAGGAACGAAGGGCTCAAAGTGAGAATGTCAAGAGTAGTACAAACGCGTGGAATATTGTTCAAGGGTGGGTTTTGGGATAAGTTTGCTTGGAAATTGTGTCGACTATTAAAATCGATATCATCTAAAACATAATTTAACTCGAATAAGTAAAGAACTTTTTTTCGGTATCAATCAACCTTAATTTCTCAATTACCAGTTAAAGTGATTTGGACGAGTTTCCGGTTTAATCAGATTCCGAGACGCTCCTGAATTTCCGTACGAACTTGTCAGGATTCATGAATTTCGAAACTAGCTACGGGAAAAACGAATCAAGAAAATTTTAAATTGAAACAAATTTTTAATTAATTTATCTATCGATTTTAGTTACCTGTAAATACGCAGTTTACAACGCAAATTTTTGCGTCGACAATGCAGTGTGTAACAAACCGGAACGAACAATTATCGAAATGAACGTGTTCGTTACACGTTCGTTAAAATCGAACGAAATTAATAATGACGCAAAACGATGATAACACTGACTTAAATTAATAAAACGTTTTCGTTATAAAATATCGTTTTTAATGAGTATGTACCATTTTAACATCGCTTCATCGTTTATTCTTTTAGTTAATGAGAATCCGGAGTTAATTAAGGTTCAATTAAATTTTTCATTAAGATTTTGATTTTCGCGTTTATAGAAGATTTCTCGTTTCCTCATTTTAAACGGCATCCGAGATTCGGTTTTAATGGGATTCGGAAACGTTTACTTCCTAGTTTACTTAATAAAATTGTTTTTTCTCTATCTATTTTAAGATTTATTAATTGACGAAGTCTTTTTTTTTTTGTTTTTTTGTTTCAGTTCAACGGCAAGTGATCTTATTTCGAGGAGAGGTGTCTTTTCGAGGCGTTATTATGGATCAGTTGAAGAAGTAAGTAAAATTACCCTAAATAGACTTTACATGATATTTTTCTCGGTCTTATCTAAGTAGGTCGACCTTTTAGAACCTTAGGCGTTCAATGTAACGCGATTTGGACTGAAAAACTTGAAGATTGGGATCCCAGCCAAACTATACACCCCAATATAGTTAGTTTAAAAGATAGCAAGAACCGTATTTCGCCTGGAAATATCGCGTTTATAAATATTTAAACATCATCCGACCCTGCGAAACTCGATACAACCATTTTTTTTATTCTTTCGTTAGTATTCTTACCTTTTCTTAGCTCGAGTCAACATACATTATGTATACGAACACTTCCAAAGCTAATTTAGCAAGTTTATTTGTATATTTAGTTGCATAACTTAATTTAATTTCAGCTACATCAAAGTGAAAGTGATGGACACGAGCAAGGTAGAAGATTTAGGATTGAAAATGGGGATTCGCCCGGTGAAAAAGATGAGGTAAAACACTTGGTTTTAATTTAAAAAAAATGTTTTGTGATGAATTTTTAGATGTTTGGATCTCCGAGTACTCCAGTGTTGGAAAATCCGGAATACCAAACGCGATGGTACTTCAAATATTTCCTTGGAAAACGTAAGAATTAGAAAAGACCTCAAAAACTGATTGTTAATTTATTATTGTATTTATTAGTGCATCAAAATTATGTAGGAACCGATTCAGAAAAATCCCCATTTTTTCTAAGCGTCGTTGTTAACGAAAACTCCAATCAATGTGTGCCTCTTTACAGAGCTATTTTATTCAAAAAAACCGTAAGAAAAACTGTACCACATTCAATCTTGTTAATACATAAATTTTTGTTGTTTTGATTTAGGGAGCACAAAAAATTTCGTTACCTTACACACATAATAAAGTCTTAACTGTAAAACAAATATTATCGAACTTCCCGAATATGGAAAAAGTGGAAAAAGGGCCGAAAGAAATTTTTTCTCCGGAAATACAAAAAGATCTGCTGTTGCTCGAAGAACAGGAGGGTTCGGTTAATTTTAAATTCGGGGTGATTTATATGAAACACGGCCAAACGAGCGATGACGAAATTTTAAGCAACGAAAACGGGAGTGAAAAGTTCGATAAATTTCTACAGCTTTTGGGCGAAAGAATACGACTTAAAACGTGGGATAATTATCGAGGTGGTTTAGATGTTAAAGGTAAACAAATAAAATTAATAATAAAATAATAAACTTTTTAAAATAAAATCAGTTTCGAATCATTTCGTTTATTTTCGAGTACCTAAGATCAGATGAAAAGAACTCTTCAATGAGATATTCCAATATTAATCCAATACGTTTAATTGTTTTAAAATAACTTGTTGTTCTATTTTTGATACCATTCCAGGTGATATGACCGGAAAATATTCGATTTACACCGTTTACGAGGGCCACGAAATCATGTTTCACGTGTCGACTTTATTACCTTATTCCCGTGATAATAAACAACAGGTCGAACGAAAAAGGCACATAGGAAACGATATCGTAAACGTACTTTTCGTTGACTGTGAGGACGATGAAATATTAGACGCACACGTTGCATTTAATCCCACGTGCATTAAATCACAATTTACACGTATCCTTATTTAATTGCAACCTTATTTTAATGCTTTATTCGCAATTTTTTCCCTTAACATCGAACTCTTTAGATATTTTTGCGGTGATAACTTTGGACAGTCAAAACACGTACAGGATGTCAATATTTGCGGACGAAGCGGTCCCATTATTTGGGCCAAGCCTGCCCTGTCCCCCCGTGTTTGAAGAGGCCTTTTCATTTCGAGATTTCCTCCTTGTAAAACTCATCAATGGCGAAAAAGCGACTTTTGAAACACCCACTTTCGCCAGGAAACGAGAACGTACCTTGGAGATGCTCATCAGGGATTTATATACTGAACATACAACAGATGCTCGAATGGTACCTAAACAATCAAATAAAAGCGATTCAAATTTCCCATTTTTTTTTTTTTTTTTTTTAATTTTCAGACGATGTTGAATAGAAGAGCTTTCTCAGATGTTTTAGCTGAAACACCACGACATTCTCGATTAAAAGAAGATTCGAGACAAATCGAATTCGTTCGAATCGGGCAAGCTTTAAAATTGGAAGCTATCGTAAGAGGAGATGCACCTACAAGCTTGGTTTCAAGTAACAACAGCAATCTTCAAGGAGGGAGCGTTTTCAAACGATCCCCTTGGGAGGCTAATTGTTTCTATCCAGTGTTTCCTTCAACCGTAATTTTATGCGCCGACTCTTGGGGCGATAACAAACTCCTCATTGGCACGGACGATGGTGTTTTTATCGTTGAAGGTATACTATACTCTGTTTTTAAACCAGGAGGAGTAAACTAACCTTACCTCACATTCCTTCACGCTATAATTGACATTACAAAAGAAAACTTCACGCTATAATTGCCATTACTAATTGCCAAAGAATACTTCATGGTATAATTAATGTTTGTAAACAAAACTAACCTTACCTAACATTCAGCGTCTGAAGACACAGGGCTAAACCCGAAACTTAAAAATATACAACTTAGCGCTGAATAACAATTAAAACTAGAACTAACACTTGCACTAGAACTATACTCTGTTTTTAAACCAGGAGGAGTAAACGCGAAAGTCAGATTTACACTGGAAAAAATCACCAGAAAATATCACTAGATATTTTGGCGGTAAATTTAAATTAATAATTATTATTTATTTATTTACTTATTATTGTATTTATTTTCGTTTGTTATCGTCAACACTATACATACAAATTAACATTGAAGTTATGAGTGTATTTATTTCAAAATATAATAAAAAAGGGTTTAAGAACACAAAATATACAATAATGACACGAAACTGTCGAATTGTCAATAACCTAACCTTCAAATTCAAAATTGCCTATGTGTGAACCTTCCTCGCATTCAACCAATCACGTGCAAAGTCAATCTGGTGACAAATTTAAAATATTCCTCCTGGTTTAAAAACAGAATATAGAAAAGAACAAAATCTTTTTGACGTTGACCTTTTCAAATTTAACTTTGAATTCAGAAGCACCAACCTAAAATTTCATAATAAAAAATTCTTTATGTATTTATGAACTTCATTTTTAAAGTTAATAAAACACATTTTCATTAATGAATAAAGTTGGGGTATTTACAAAAATAGGTACTTCTATCATTACAAAGTTTATTAATTAAATTATATTTAAATTAAAATCTTATTGGGAACTACCAACATTAAAAAAATTTAAATTACTAATTATAAATATTCCAAATTTATTTAATTTACAATATTTTTATGAATAATATCCATAACATTAATAAATAAAATTATAATCAAAATTTAAACATCCTCAAATTTTATTTTAAATAAAAAAGGTGTTATTTATTTATTTAATATAAATATTTTTTTATGTTTTAGAAGGAAATCTTCATAGATTAATTTTCGATAAAACAATCCAACCGAGACAAATAAATGTAATAGAAGCGCATGGGATTGTTTTAATTCGAGTTGGACAATCGGGGAAAGAAGGAAAAATTTACGTTTTCCGTTTAAATCAAATTGAGCGGATAAACGAAACGAAAACGAAATTTGAAGTGAAAGAGCATCGATTAGAAAGAAGTAGAGGAACTCATCTTTATGCTATTTCAAAAACAGGTGGATCTCGTTTAAGAATGTGTTGTGCTGTCGGACGGAGGCTTTTGATGTTTCAATGGAAACATTCAGCAGCTTGGACTGCTTGGTGTCCAAAAAATGATACGGATACAGTGGATGGGTTTAGTTTTTTATGGGTAAATAAATTAATATCAAAATAAATTTAATTTTATTAAGTAATTTTTTAGGAAATAACATTGAATGAAAATCCAAGTATTTTAACAGTGTTAGATGGAAATTTAACTCCCACTCAAGACATTTTAGTTTGTGTTGGATATAAAAATCATTGGGATATAGTAAATGGGCGATTAGGAGTGTTTAAACATTTACATTTAGTTGATTTACAAAAACCTCATTTAGTAACAGCTTTGGATTTGTACGAAGATGACGAAATCCAGCTCCTTTTATGTTATAATCGTAAAGTGGTTAAAATAATGTTATTTTGAATTAATTACAAATTTTATTTTAGATACTTGCCATTTTCAAAAGATTGATGATGCTTTTTCTAATTTAAATTTCGATTTTTATTGGAATTCAGTACCAACAAATATAGGTAAGTATAAATGGCGCCTTTGAAATGTGTTGATAATAAAGAGATGATTTTCAGTGTGCGTTTTTCCTTACATAATTGGCTTCACTTCGAATTCAATGGAGATACGTTTGATTGTGAACGGAAATTTAATCCATACCATCACCATGCCTAAATTACAGTTAATCGCTTCAAAAAATGATATCTTTTTTGCTACAACCGCGCCAGAATTTTTTTCAAATCAGCATGATCAACCTTTTAATTTAAAAATATCACCTCCATTAAGCCCTAATTGTAAGTAAACTCCGATTAATTTAAAAATAACTTAATATAAATTGATTTTAGCTTCACCTGAAATGAAACCATTAAGAATTTATCGAATTCCACTTCAAGCATTAAATAAAACAACCCATAATGATCACATTTCATTAAGGAAAGAATCTCCGAATAGTTGGAAGTCGACGGATGTAAAATTAACAGTTCCAGAACCACCAAGGGTTTCAAGAAGTGCGACCAGTTCTCCAATTCCACCAAAATCAAAGGGTTGTTCCGTAGCAAAATTATAAATAAAATTATGTACTTTTCTTAAATTCTTCCTCTTTGCACTTCACTTGAGTGAAAACGAGTGTCGCAATCGGAGTAAAACGCGTTTTACAATCGTTAAAAGAAATTAACTTAGGACGATTAAGAAAGGTTTAATTGAAATGGTCTTCACGGTTTTAAAATCAAAAAAGTATTAATAAAAATTAAATATAAGTCATATCATTAAGTCTCTATTCTCGAGTGAGTAATAATAAGAGAAATGTTGATAAATAAGAGAGAATTAAAGATATTAAAGATGAAAATGTTGTTTTATTTTTGTTAAAAAATTAACATTTAAAATTTTTGTTTAGGAAACGTTCGTAAATTTTGACATTCAATGTAAATTTATTATTAAATATAATTTAAAGGAATCAAATACAAATGATTATTTCGTTCATAAATTAATTAAAATATTCTTGATTTATGTTTTAATAAATTATTTAAATCATCTTGTAGAAAACCGTTCTAAAACGTACCCAACTTCACTTTATACACCATTTTCTTTTTGACACAGTGTACAAAACATTCGCTGTCAAAAAGATAGTTTTGCTTTCGAAAACCTCAAATAACTCTAATTAACATTAAAGAAACACAATTAATCCGCAATCTTTTCGTCCGCCGATGTCTTAACCGTAACGCTCCACAAGAACAAAGGTATGAAAGAGTTTTTTAAAAACATCTTTAAAACGACAATGTTACTTGCCCATTGTTTACATTTTTATGAATACTTATCTAAGCAATAATAAAGTGTTTGTGTGCTTGTTTAGAGCGGATTTACGATGGACGAGATATTCGGGAAAATCAACGTCCTTCCGGAACTGATTGACAAGTTGAGGCAGGAAAGATTGTTGGTGACGGAAGAGAAAAGGGCGATCCAAAATTTAAATGAACGGATTAATGAGTGTATTAATAGTCTGGCGCAACGCGCGTGGGTTAATTCGCAACAAAGAGTTAATTTAAATTCCTCAAATCGTGGTGATTTTACGATGGAACAGTGTTATAGGAGAAGTAAATATGTAAATAGTACTAATTTTGTACAGGCTAAGCAAATAATCGATCAGCAAATTATTCTTCAATATGGGGAATTTTTCAAGTTATTAAAAAACCAACCCGAACAGTTAGCTCATTGGATTGTTATGGGCGAAAAATTGTTATCGGGGGGACAAGAAACGAATCACTTTGAAGTTTTACACAGTGTTATTACCGGTCTTTATGGGTGTTTATTACTACCAGAAGATGTAAACTTAACGTTGATCCTTTTAAAACAGTTAGCGTATTTACAACTTGTTTCTTGTGATAATCCGAGGCGATTATTAAGACAAGGTTCTTGTTCGTTTGCGAAAATGTATTATCTATTTCATGAAAATTTACATTCTGCAAGATTATTTTTATTGTCAACTCTTCAAAGTTCGATTATTAAGTTAATTGCAAACTCTGATTATTATTTGGATATTGATCCTGATAAAACGATGGCTAGATTCACAACCGGCGAGGCTTTAGAGAAATTTGGAACAATCGGCAGTAAAGAATATGAAAAAAAGGTTTCTGAGTACCGTACAAGAATCGTTAACACCTTCCTCGAATTAACAAACTCTTTCGTTTTATCTCTACAAGATAATTTACAATGTTTCCCAACTTCAATTGGTTGGTTAATTTGGCAAATTGGGAAAATGATGTCGAAATCTTTCGGGGAAAACTCAAAAGAAGTGAATGCGATCGCAACGGACTTAATTTTTACATCATTTATTTGTCCTGCAATAGTTAACCCGGAATATTATGGAATATCAGATGCTCCAATATCAGAAATCGCTCGCCACAATTTAATTCAAATCGCACAAATATTACAAACTTTAGCACTTTATCGATACGAAGTACCAGACCGGAAATTACACGACCTTTATGGATTATTATTTACTGATAATAATTCGACGATTGTTGCTGATATTGTTGATAGTTTATTGCATCAGCGTTGTTCGATGGAGGATAATCCACCCCCATTTCAAAGTATCCCCGGGGTTAATAAACCGTTTGTTTTGTTTACAGAACAGGAATTATTTAATTTGGTAAAAATATAGTCCCTCTGTCCAGAAATAAGTGTCTGATATCGATTTTTTTTCAAAAATTACTTGCTTTTAAACGTCAGTTACCGTTTTAAAACACTTATTAAAAGTTAAGTTTTTCACTGCCATTAAAAAGTAGTTAATTTTATCTACAGTATAAGGTTTTAATCTAAAAAACGCGACCCCTTTTGTGTTTTTGGAACCTGCTAAATGAAACAGGAAAAATCGGACCATTGAAACGAAAGTGGTTTCTAATGTCGCCAGAGAAGAGTATAAGAACATGATTATTGAAAAATTGTTGCCCAAAATTCAAGCAAAATTGCCCAAAAAAAAAAATAGACCTGATGATAGTTTCACGAAAACGAAACGTTGGAGAAAATTTCTAATTGTGTCATGACATTTTTCATAAAAAGTTGCCTTAAGAATGTTTTTTCAGATTCACGAACAAACGAAAAATAGAGAAGTTATAGGCAAAAAACGAAAAAGTCATTTTTTTCTTTTTCGGCCATATTTTAAAAACTAAAACGGCTAGATTCAAAAACGTTGTTGAAAAATGATGAGCTCTAAGATACGCAACTTTGCCCCCATTTAACCATTTCTGTATCTCTTATGGTTTCTGAGATCCCAATGGTGGGGGTCGAATTTGAATTACCTGTATAGTAGAAACCATGAAAGTAAATGGAGTAAATTACAAAGTCTTCCAGTTTCTATAAATTTTGATTTTGGGCTTTATCAACATGTAAATTCAATTAGCTGGCCATACACAGACGTTATTTCACGCGGTTTATCGTGCCAAGTGTGTGGTATTTCAATTTATTAATGTTTACCAGAGAACATGAAACACCTACAGAGAGTTTTGATAGTATGGCGAACAGTCCCTCGCCTCCAGAAGAGATTTTCGCTTCTGAGACCGTTGACAAACTTGAGATAGAAAACAGCAAAACTTCTGTCGAAGAAGGATTTCCACGTGCTGTCAGTATTTGTGATTAAAATAGACAACCTAAGTCTTGACGTCACAGAGATAGGGTAAATCGCCATATGCATTGTTGTTTTGTAGCCCACCAGGGGTCGGTTGCCCGCACTCTACGTCACACTATTTGCCACGCCCAGTTAAATGTCATTGGGTTTTATGCGTTTGCTGTGTGTTTTTAGAGGTTGCTGTGATTTATTATATGACTTTTTTATGGCGATTTATCGTTAGTAACGAAATTGTTTGGAGTCTGTGTAAGCTCCGCCCATCTCTGTGACGTCAGACTTAGGCAGTCTATTATGCCACGACTTACAGAAACACCTGTATAGTTCTAAAGGACGGTCGTCGTGGATGACCCTGTATTTAGAAGCTCATCAAACGTCAAATTCCAATCTCCCAAATCTCGTAAAAGCAACATGTGACAATATTTTTCTATCAGTCAGCCAACTTTTCTGCCATATGCATGTTGTTTCTTTTTGTCTTTAGAGATTATCATGGCCATAACTGCAACAATACAAATTTTTCTCTTTTTATCAATCTCTTACCAGTCAACAAACGACTTGAAGGCGCAACGTGCCGATTCAAACACATACGATTTTTCCCTTAAAACTAATGTATCACGCACAATCACATACTAAATCCTTTACTTTACCAAGTGTATGAAACATGACGCTTTTTTTGCCATGTTCTTTCTCGCATTCCAACCGCCACATCTCAACACGGTTTCGAGTTTCTAAGAAACGATATTTGTAGTTATGTTTCAATAAATTAATTTTTAAGTAAATCGGATACTTATTTCTGGACAGAGGGAATATTATTATAATTTTTTGTGTGGAATCAGGCGAAAAATAAATTAATTTAATGATTTTAGACGTCGTTTCTACAAAAAGTTCATACTGATAACTCATCGCAACCAACGTTAAATAATGGATTAAGTTACGATCGTGATGCAACCTCTTTAGATCATTTAATAGCGTTACTTTTGAATTTATCTGAATCTCTAGGACATATTTTGCATCAATCGTTTCGATCAATTCCGAATAGTCCTAATGGAATTTCAAAAAGAAACATTTTAAATCGAGGTAATTCTTTATTTTATTAAAATAAATATTGTTTATGATTAATTTTTATTTTTTAGCAAAATCTCTACGTTCGCCTTCAAACCCAACTGAATTTACCTCACCCTTAGTCTTAATAATTCCAATAAATTACGAAGAAACTTACCCATTCGGTCTCCTTTCGGAACAAAAAGTTCTTAACATGCATACGTGTTTAGGGAAAGATGTTCCGACATTACCTAATGGTGATTTAACTACCGGCCAAGAAAAACGAACCCGTTTCTCAATTTCTCATGATGATGGATCAATCGGGAACACTTCCGATAACTTGGAAGCGATTTCTGAAGCTGCAAGTAATCATTCGGCTGATAGCAGTTTAGAAATAATGGAAAATGAGGAGGATCATAACGATCAAGATAATTTAAGCGATATGGTTTCGGCGAATGTTTCCGGTCGTGGATCTCCGAATATTTCTGGTAGAGATACCCCCAGTTCTCAGGTGACTGAAAACGAGGATGCGGTGAGGCAACCAGCGGGGGAAGTTCGGCATCAAGAAGGGTTTATGGAACGTCCGAGTAGGAATAGGATTACGGTTAAACAGATTCGATCGGAAATCGATGACAAATTTTGTAAATTTGAAATTAAAAAATTACTTGAGGGGGATGAAACAGTTTCTATTATTTCCGATACATGGAGTACGGATGTTTTAGCTTCGGATAGTGAGACATTAGATGCTTCTGATAATCAAAATCATGTTAATTTTTCACCAATTATCGAGAGGCAACAAGATAATTTAGGTAATAACCCATTATTGGATATTTCCGAGACTCATAGTGAAAGTGCGTGGAGTACGGATGTTTTAGCGTCAGATACGGAACGTTTAGCGGAAGTTGATAATGACGATGTGGCTAGTGTTGCCCCATCTGATGATACAGCAAGCGTTGCGCGATCAGACGACGTCGCTGCTTCCGGAGCCGATTTTGAAGAAAACGCAAATGGTATAATAAACGATCGAAGGTCATCCGCTCCAGGTTCCGCCACTAATTACGATGAATTCCACGATTTAATTGGGAAACAAGAAAATAACAGCCCTGGAGGAGGCGGGTATCCAATTAAAACTGGTACGATCGAATACAACAACAACGATGTTTTATTTTCAACCGGGCGCGATGTTTTGGATTCAAGCATCATGAAAATTAATGATCTACAAAATGCTTTATTAACAAAACGGATCAATAAAAGTACATCGGAGGAATCGATGTCCTCAGGGGGGGCTATTCCAAAAACGATTCGAAAAAAATACGACGATGATATGCAGTTGAGTAATTCTAGTTTAAATTCAAGTTCGAGTGGAGGAAGTAGTAGCTCAGAAAATAATCGGGCCAAAAAACCCGAGCAACCCCCACCACCATGGAAAACAAAAATTTGGCAACAAAATAACGGATCAGAAACTCCATCATCGAACGTAACATCAACACCATCAGAAAGCACGAGTGAGTTATCATCGGTGATGAGTACAAGTACTTTAGTATCCCCAACAATCGGAAACATTTTTCTTGATCGTAAATCAGCTACTTTAAACCCAAAAATTCTAAAACCAACTGTTTCAACAGGAGCGATTCCGAAGAGCATCAGCTTCGACACAACCGCAGATAAAAATTATAAAGAAGCCATTGAAGATGAACAAAAAAAACGCGGTGGTGGAAGTGGATTTTTCGGCAAATTCAAAATGGGATTTAGATCCCGGCGGGGATTAAAAGCTTATCGTTCCGATGAATTCGGCGTAAGATTCGGTAACGGCGATGGTAATCATCATCATCATCGCGAGGATGATAATAACCGAACCGGATTTGTTTATTACCCGAAAAAAGATGCGAGCGGTGGTGATACGTCCGAAGATATTTTAGCCAAATATCGCAGCAAATCGAACAACGAAATCAATAATCATAATAACGTCGCTATAAAAACGAAACCGATTGAAATTGTTAATGATCGCGATTTAAAAATCGATTATAACATGAACAACGATTTTATGCACACGGATTGTAAAAGAAAATTGAGATTAGTTTTGAGTACGTCACAAGAACAACATTATTCAGTTTTTCAGGTAAGTTTATTACACAAGCATATAATATTGAAATTGATTCCATAAATTTATTTTTTTAAATAAAGTTAAACGTCAATGTGACACAAATTCAATGTTACCAACTGTAACCAACTTCACAACAATTTGTCAAAATTAAATGTCAATTTTATATAACATGTTTTTTTTACAAAAATTAATTAATTTATGCTTAAATCATAGGAAAAAAGGAATTTGGTTACGTTGTTTTAATGTCAAACCTTTAGAAAATCCTAAAAAATTAAATTAAATTGACGTTTTTTGAAATTTTGACGTTTCAAATAATTATTAGTCTGTTAGTTGATTACTCTTGAATAATGATTATTCACCGCTATTATTCACTCTGTGAAAAATGACTACCCTTTTGTTTAACAAAACTCATTTATAAATTTATTTTTTTAAATAAATTTTTGAATAAAGCTTAAACGTCAATGTGACACAAATTCAATGTAACCAACTTCACAACACTTTGTCAAAATTAAATGTCAATTTTATGAAACTTTTTTTTACGAAAATTAATTAATTTACGCTTAAATTATACGAAAAAAGGAATTTGGTTACGTTTTTTTAAGGTCAACCCTGTAGAAAATTCTAAAAAAATTAAATTAAATTGACTTTTTGAAATATTATAATTAAATTAAACATTTTTTATTACAGGAAAACTCAAATGGAGATGTTAAAAGGTATTTACAAGTATTTTTACGGTTAGAACTAGCAAAAGCAAAGAGTTTAAAGCAATGGTCCGTGGTTGCAAGAACAGCGGAAGCTTTACGTTGCGTTCAAACCCTCGATTCAGTCGCTTGTTGCAAATTATTTGAAGTATTACGCGAAGAATATCGCCAACGCTCCGTTTATATCGATTATTTACAAAAATCTAAGCAGTTATTATTAGGAACCGAAGCGTATTTACTTGTGTAATTATACATTTAATTTTAAAGAACTACATTTGTTTAAATTATTTTATTTTTTAGGTTACAACAAGAACTACAAAGCGATAAAGATTTGTGCGAATCAAATTTAATCGAAACGTGCGTAAAACTATTCCTTGAAAAACAAGAGTGCGAAATTCGAACTTTTTGCGAGGAATTTCGCACTTTAACATTAGTCGATGAAAAAAATGACCTGTTAACGAGTTTTCTCGAGGAATTATATGCGATTTTACGCAAGGATTTGCTATTTCAAGACTCAACTAGTGCTCAAATCGAATTAGCATTCGAAGCAATTGAAGAATGTGTCATCACTAAAGTGTATTCGCATGCTTTGTACCCCAATGGAGATGGCGATCGTCATAGAGATGAGTAAGGAAATTAATCAAACGTTTAATTAATCAAATATTTAATTAAATTTAATTTAGGCTACTTCAAGATCACCTTAAAAAGCTTTCGACAATAATCACACCGAATCATAAAGATGTTTTAATCAACAAAATTTATTTAAACGAATGTCCATGGTTGCCGGCTCAAGAAGCGCTTCAAACTATGGCTGCTTATAAAACACCTAAAGATAAAGTTGATTGTGTTGTACGATGTGCAACAGCGATTATGGATTTGTTATCGTTGGCTCAAGAACGGGGATCAACTGCGGCTGATGATTTTACCCCTGTTTTAGTTTACGTGATTATAATGGTTAATCCGCGTGATCTTTTATCAACGATTCAATACGTAAACAGTTTTTATGGTAATCAAATAACGGGTGAGGATGAATATTGGTGGACTCAATTTTGCTCAGCTGTGGAACATACGAAAACTATGGACTATTCCTACTGACAGGAAATAAAGAGCGGTGTGCACGCCGCGCGAATTTGTTCGAAATGTTGCGATTATTTTGGAGCGTATTGGTAGAGAGAGCTTTTTTAATTTTTATGTTTAAATTAATTAAAATTAAATAAGTCATTTGTTAGTCAAAAAGGCAAATACTTTCTGTTTCTACTTGTAAACTAGTTTTCTTGTTTCTTTTTATATTTAGTAGTTATTTTTGTATTAATAATCTTCGTTTATAATTTAAAATTTTTTAATTACCCCATCTCCCCATACATAACCTATCTTTCTCTTTGTAAATAGTAATTATGCATAATATATATTTGTTTATTTATAATGATAAGAACTTGTTAATAAAGAAAACATATAGCTATCCCTTTATTTATACACCGCGTAGTTGTTTAAAATAAATAAATAATTAAAGAAATACGTATTTTAATTTTATAACCTCAAATAGTTTTTTTGACATTGACAATAACAAAATTTTAGGTTAGGTTTTCATAAAAATTATTACTTATTCACTTTTAAAGCTATGTTCTCTCAAACTGACGATGATGATTTATTTCCAACAAATATAAAGTGCGTAAAATAACAATAAATTTTATATTAAACTAAACAATAATTTATTTTATAGCTCAAATTTAACGAATTTGTTTGGAGGTGGATCAATTACAAATCCACAAACGGATTTAAAATACACAGCCCCCCGACAACCCAGACCTACAGATTTAATTCCAAAAGAATTAAATAATACCAATGTTAAAATGGAACCTGAAAAGGTCTCGGTGGTTTGTGCCAAAGTGGTTATAGCAAATAAACTAATAAATGATGAAGTAGTTAAAGTTGGAAAATTCGGATTTGCTATTTTAGGCACTAACAAAATCATAAAAGAGTTTCTATTGTATCGTGATAGACAAAACGTTTTAGCAAAAGCTAGTAACAACGATCAGTTTAAATTTATCGAAGAAGGAAACGATTGTTTAAAATTCACCGATGATTCTGAAATAATTTGGTTGATTCAATTTATTAATAATGATGAACACGCAGAGTTTATTAAAGAAATTAATTTACGTAACGTTCGAATTTCAAAATCGCAAAAACATCCTTTAAAAAAAGATAATTTAGAAGAGGATTCGCAAATTCGTGCCGATATTTTAACTCGAATGGCGAAAATGGGCCAATCTGTACTTCCTGGACAAAAATTAGATGAAAATAAAACGAATGAAACTAAAATAATCGAAAATCCAAGTCAAATTAGTGATGTAGTTAAAGATAAACACCCCGAAAACACCTCAGTTGTACATCAAAATCAGTATTTAAACACGGCCCAAATTCAACCGTACATTCCATTACAAACTTACCAATTCCCTCAAATCCCATCAAACCAAGAATTTAATTTATTTATGAGCGAGAATCGGACTCATAACAGCGAAATGAGAATTAATTTAACTTCAATTTCAACGAAATTGGATTCTGTGCTTTATGAAATGTCTAAAATAAAAGTTTCTCCGAATACGGATCGATTAGAAAACGAATTTTTAAAATCAAAAATATACGATTTGGAGGAAAAATTAAAAAGGTGCGATGAAATAGGTAACTCTGAAAGTCTAATTAAAATTAAGGAATTAGAAGAAAATAATCGCGATTTAGAGAAAGATTTGAAACGTTTGAAAATTAAGTCGGAACGTGTTGACGATTTAGAAAGGAAAGAGTCGTTGATGTTGGAGGAAATCGATAAGTTGAAGATTAAATTGAAGGAGAAGGATGTGAAATTTATTGAAATTGAGAAGAAAATGATTGAAAATGAGATTTATTATAAAAAATGTTTAGAAGAAAGTGTTAATAAGAAAGATAAAATAGATAATGGAAATGTTATTAAAGAAAGTATGAATGAGATGTTTCAAAATGTTCTTGGGGAATTTGATGAAGAAAATGTACAAATTAGTTTTAAACAGCTCAAAAATTCTCTTTCAAAACATTTAAAACAAACAACTTTTAAGATAATTGATTCGTTAAAGTAATAAAACATATCTTTTTTTATAAACTTGAATTTATTTACAATATTTAAACAATCCAGTAAAAGTGTATCGACTTTATACTAGTTTTTTTTTATTTCTTACATATTTTTATAACCTATTTTTATATTTATAAACTCCTTAAATCACGATTTCCTCAACGAAGAAATAATTACGTGTGCAATAAAGCCAAATAAATAAAGCCTAAATAATGTACAGGTTCTACAATGTATCAAAAAATAATAAAACAAAATGATTAAATTAATAAATTTTTATCAATATTTTTAATCGAACTTTCTTGAATTTTTCGCGATGCCCCAAAATGAAACTTATAAAAGAAATGAAGATTTTTTTCAATTGCTAATGGGCCATCGTAAAACTGAGATCCATACATTTTCCATCGGATGTAGATTCGATCTTTTTATTTGAATCACATTCTTCTAAGTAATTAATTACTTTTTCCGTTGCTCGCATTGCTGCCATACTAGAAGCTTCAGTCTGTAATAAAAAAAAAAGACTTAAAAGAAATTATTATTAGTATAAAGGATTCATACCGAAGCGGTTAAATTCATAAAATTAAAAAACTTCTTTAAGAGCTCCACCATAATTGAAAAGTCACCGTTTCTTAAGAATTTTCTCACTTCTACTTGGTATTCAATGTTGTTCATGATTAAAAATCCCAATAACATTACAATGTAGGAAGCCAAAAAGGTGTATTCCATATGTGTACCAGCTTTTTGTAATACTAAAAAATAAATTTAATTAATAACATTTAAACTAATAACTTAAACGCACATTTAGCGACGGTTTCCTCAATAAATTCTTCGTTGGTTTTATGTTGAGTTTGACCGTTATCGCCTTTCCCATCTAAAATAGCATCCGTGTGGCGTTCTTCTAAACGGGCCGATTCTTCCCATTGATAAAATTGTGCAATTAATGCTTCAACAGCCGTTTTATCGCCTACGATTTAATCTAATTACATAAAATTAATTACTTAATAGCAAAAACGTACATTGAAATATGCTTTCGCCTTCCGAGGGCGCCTTAGCCGATATTAAAGTTTGTTTATTGGCTGTGTTGTCTTGAATTAAATTAATTAAAAGCATCAGAACTAATACGCCCAATTCAAATTTCTTTTGATCGGGGATATATCGGGGTATTTGTAGCAGTAAATGAAGGCTCGCGTCGATTATTCCTTGTTTTGAACCAATCAAACTACTACCTTCATCTAAAAATTAAAAAAAAAAAAATAGGACAGTTACAAACGTCTAGATGTAGTGGCTCATGCTGCCAACAAGTTGGCAGTCTATAAAAAAAGTTACAAGCTTCCACATGAAATAGCTCATGCTGCCAATAAGTTGGCAGGCTCTACAATATAGAACAGAAGTTCTGAGATACAACAGCTCATGCTGCTAACAAGTTGGCAGTCTATAAGGAACGTTACCAGCTTGCAGATGTAGTAGCTCATGCTGCCAACAAGTTGGCAGCCTATAAGGAACGTTACAAGCTTCCAGATCAAGTATCTGATGCTGCCAACAAGTTGGCAGAGCCAACAGTATAGAACAGAAGTTCTGAGATACAATAGCTCCTGCTGCCAACAAGTTGGCAGTCTATAAATAACGTTACCAGCTTCCAGATGAAGTATCTCATGCTGCCAACGAGTTGGCAGGCTCTACAGTAGAGAACAAAAGTTCTGAGATACAATAGCTCATACTGCCAACAAGTTGGCAGTCTATAAGGAACCTCCCTTCCCTGTATTAATTCGTTATATTGAGGTTTTTACTGTATTCATTAAATTGTATTTACCCGACATATTAAAATGATGCGTTAAATTAATTAAAACTTTTAATGTAACCAATAAAGTCTCTCTGATCACCGTTCCAGTTGATTCCTTATCGTTTATATCGGATATAGGATAAAGTGGAATTTCCGCATCACATAACCTATATAATTTTACTAAAGTATCCAAAATTAATCCGCTATCATATTTTAATAAGTACTGTTGGTTTTCTTCGTTATTGTGTGTAACCTTAAAATAAATATTTTTTAATTAATTTTATAATTAAAATGGAGTTATTAACAAGTTTATTACGTTCTCTAAAACGCGCAAACACCGATCCACCTTTCTCAATTGATCCAATAACGTATCAGTCCAATTCACAACGTAATCGCTTATTTGGCGACAACACTCACAGATTGTTTTAACAATATGCTCGATCCCGCCCAATTCTCTCAGTTCCTCTTTAAACCATTCACCTGCACGTTTCGATGTTAAACTTAAAAGAGTTTCCATCGCAAGCTGACCGACCGTAATATTCTCCAGGTTTAAATGCACCGCGAGACCTTGACTTTGTATTTCCGCGCACAATTCCCTCACTTTTAGTTTGTTCTTTTCGAGTTGGGCGCTCGATAATCCGCAAACGTCCAAAGCTTGTTGATAACTAACGTCCGATTCGAGTAGATTTAACATTAACTCTAAACAATCTCGATCTAAGTCCATGTTAAGACGATCTTGACTTAAAACGAACATAACCGTAGCAGTACATAAACCTAAACTCTAAAATAAATAATTGATTAATTTAGAAATAAAATAAAAAGATAATTAATTTTACTTGATCTTTAGCAGCATCGTGTAACGCCCGAAAGAACTTTGCGACTGTCCCATGTGCGCGCACGTGCATTCGAAAAGCAGGGGCCATACATTTCGATGCGAGAGTTATCGCCGATAAACACCGTGTACTAATCGGGTTATTATCTTGAAGCGCATCCAAAATGTAATCAACATCATCATTAAATTCTTGAAATTCCCCAATTTCTTGCATCTCATACGCTTTTTTCACGTTTTTCACTATAGTATAATACTAAAATAATACAAAATTAATTTATTAATGGAATACTATACTTTGTCCACGACTACCATTGAAATTGATTCCATAAATTTATTTTTTTAAATAAAGTTTAAATGTCAATGTGACACAAATTCAATGTTACCAACTGTAACCAACTTCAGGACAATTTGTCAAAATTAAATGTCAATTTTTGAAATGTCATGTCTTTTTTTTACGAAAATTAATTAATTTATGCTTAAATCATAGAAAAAGTTATATTTTATTTTTTGATTAGTAAGTCGCGTCACAACTGTGGAATAATGGCTTCATTATTCAACACTTGTCAATCATGCGAGTAATGCGTGTCATTACCCGTCAAAAATCAAATGTATAGATAATTCAATAGTAACTTATTATTCACTCTGTGAAAAATGACACTACCCTTTCGTTTTAAAAAACTCATTTATAAGGTATATGTATATTATTTAAATTTTTGTATAAAGTTTAAACGTCAATTGTCACTAATCAATGTTACCAACTGTAACCAACTTCACGACAATTTGTCAAAATTAAATGTCAATTTTATAAAATCTCATGTTTTTTTTACGAAAATTAATTAATTTAAGCTTAAATCATAGGAAAAAAAGGAGTTAGTTTAAGCTTTTTAATGTCAAACCTTTAAAAAATCCTAAAACAATTAAATTAAATTGACGTTTTCTTAAATTTTGACGTTTCAAATAATTATTATAAATCTGCTATTATTCACTCTGTGAAAAATGAGTACCCTTTCGTTTTAGAAAACTCTAAGGTATAAATATATTATATATTATTATATTATATGATAAGGTAGTTGTGGACAAAGTGGACAAATTAATTAATTAACTCACCCCTTTATCACTTTTAGTACATTGAACACTCGTATATCCATTTTCACCTTCATCATTTTTATTTGAAATCCTGGTTAATGGATCTCCTTGGAATTCGAAGTCATCATAAATTGAGGATTCGCTGGGACCGTTGTTATCGCCGGTTGCTGTTGCAGCTTGATTCTTTTGATCTTTATCATCCGACGACCATTTATGTCTGTAAATAGCGCGGCCTTTTTTACTGCCGTCTTGAACACGGCTCTTAAAAATGCTCCCTTTTTTCTTGGAGATGAATAATTTAACGGGGGCTTGCATGGGATGTTCCAACGACGGTTCTTTTTCTAATATTTTTTCTAAAATTTCTTCTTTGTGCTCTTCAATCGCTTCTTTCATCGTTTTTTTGGTTATCTCGGGGGCTGTGCTGTTACTATCCGAGTCATCTTCATCAAAAAATTCCTCACTCAACGGTTTATTTGCGTTATTTTCAGTAAAATCCATTTGTTCTTCTGATTCATCCTCAAGATCTTCATTTATATTATCTTTGTTAAGTTGTTTTTTATCAACTTCTTGTTCTTGTACTTGTTCGGACGATTTTATTGGTTGCTCTGTATCCGATGATTCCATTTGAGCTAATTTTTCTTCTATCGTTAATTCATGAGTTGGTTGTTGCGCTGATTTTTCCACAGGAAAAGGTGATGGAGTCTCAAACAATAAAGTTTCTTCTTTATTTGTATCGCTACATTCACTTGATGCGCTACTCGTATTAATTCCTAAAGATTTTTTTAACTTTAATTTATTATTTTATTTTTATCATAAAAAATTACCTAATAAATTATCATACATAGCTTTTCTTTCCAATTCGTATTTCTCAGCTGGAATATACTGTGGTGATAACTCTGGATCTTTCTTTGGGGACGTAAAATTACTGGAAAATGATTCGCCGGCTGTATCTGCCGTTGCAGGACTACTACTGGGGTCTTGTTGCATACTTCTTCGTGTTGATCTCGTTATTCGCATTGAACTCGGCGATTTTTGTTGTGGGGCATCTTTTGTGTTTCGAGGAGACGTGGATGTCGAAGGGGTACTTGACGGTGTGGGTGTGCTTTCTGATTCATCTGAACTATTGTTAATCAGCTGCGACTTTCCGCGGCTAATCCGCAACACTATAGGTGGCGGCTTTGCTTTTTCAACAACAGTTTTGCTCGAAAAAAACTTTTTACTTGGTCGTTCTGAAGATGACAAAGTTTTTTGTCTTTTCGTCGACTGCCCAATTCCGTAAGAACCCCCAAAGTCAGGTTTGTCGTATTCCGAGGCTTCCGTGATGTCTTGTTGGCCTGTATTTCGGCTTTTAAAAAACTTTTTCGGTTTTGGTGTGATGGTGGCCGTCGTGGTTGCCGTTGCTATTTCTTGTTGCTGTTGGGAATTGGTCCCGGTTGTTGGAGATTTTGCATTTTCACCGTTTAACGATCGTATTGATGTGAACGATGTTATCCCCCATTTACCTACAGTTGCCGCGGATCTAGCGGCGGAAGGTCGATTGCTGTTCTCTTTAAACAAACTATCAAATTGAAAACTCGGGTGATGATGATGCGAATTCCCACCGCGTCTGTATTTGCCGTACCCTCGAGACATTCTTTACACCATTTAAATTAGTTCCTACATGGGTATGAAGAAATATTCAGCTTTAAATGCATGTAGCTTAATAATAATAACAAGTACGTACTCGTTTTAATTAAAAAATCGTCGTTTTCTTATAAACACCACGTAGAAATGGCTAAAATGTAATATTTACTTGCCATTTTTACTGTTCGAATTATATTCGACGATGCGGCATTTAAATATATAAATATTTCCAATCGAATCGGCCCCGATAAGACATCAAATGGGACCCCCTCATCGTCGTTTCATTTACGCAAAGTCTTGATAAAGAAAGTTTTTCCAAAACTTGTCAAAAAACTATTTAGCTTTATAAACACGCCAGGAAATAATGGCGACCCAATAGTTACTAAATGTCACTAAATCAATGTAGCCAACACAATCGTTTATATTAAAACATATTTATTTATATTTTATAAAATAAATAAAATCATTAATAACATTAAAAAGAATTAAATTTTTAATAATTTATTTCAAAAAGTATAAATAAAAATTATAAGAACAGTTATTTATAGTTGTCATGTTGACATTACATAGTCCCCAACCTAACTCATCAAAAAAATAAGTTTTTAATTTATTTAACAATGAAATACTTATTATTATCAATAATTATTTTTATAAACATATTAAAATTAACAGAATCTCACAATAAATACTCAGCGGAAGCGAATCAACCCGATGCGGCGAAAGCCTTAAAAAACTTGGAAAATCCTTTTCGGATGCAAAAAGTTAATCTTCTTTGGAATAAAGCACGAGTAGTAAGTCTTAAGCAATAAAATAAAACTAAAATTTCTTAAATCATAAAATTTATTTAGAGATTAAGTGATCCTAAACTCAAATCGTTATACACATCATTAAAAGTTCATGATAAAGAAGAGTTAACCTTAAAACATGTTAGATCGGAAGGTGGTGATAAAGATGGGATGAAAGAAGCGGAGTTACGAAAAAAGTTCATATCGATAATGAGCCAATACGGACTTTTAGACTATTTGGATGAAGCCGCGAAAAATGAACGAGGAAAAGCATCTAAATATGTCAATGATGATAAAGCGATAAATAAAAGTTTGTTTAAAGATAAAAAATTGAACAAACTTTGGTCTAAAATTGAAACGGCAGGATTTTCTACCTTAGAACTTGATGTTTTAAAAGAGGAATTTGAACATCACCAAGATAAAATCGACCAATATTACACGTTATTAAGCGATGTTAAAGAGAAAAATGGCAAAAAAGATGATAGCCACGAAAGTATTTATTTAGTAACAAATAAAATTAATTCAAATAATTTCTTTGATTTACTTTTTAGATTCTGTTGATGATTTAGATAGGTTTAACACTTTAGAACTTGGTGAAGAACCCCCGAAAAAGGATTATCTCGATAAAACTAATTTAGTTAGGGATAAACACACGGAATTAAAACAAGGATATGATCGACTACAACTTTTAGCATACAAAGGTCCAAATAGTAAAGAATTCATTGAACCTAAAGTGCAAGAATTGTGGAAAGTTGCTTTGGAGGCGAATTTCACTCCGTACGAATTGGAATCATTGCGAGTCGAGTTGTTGCATTACGAAAATCGATTATTAAAATTACGACATATGCAAGCGGAAGCTGCTTTAAATGCGGATCATCGAGCTGAAAAGATTAAAATCCACGGGGAGAAAACGGATGGGATGATTATGATGGAAGAAAACATTAAGAAGCAAGGGAGAAAGGTTGAAAAAATTCATTTAGATTTAGAAACGAAAATTATGCAGAAACGCATTGAGCTTTAAAAATATTTCTAGTTTAAAATTAATTTCTTAAGATTATAGGTTATGTGTATGTAGCAATAAAAACTTGAAAAATATACATATATTAGTTGATATTATGAAAACATTACACTCTAAAATGATTATCATAGCGAATACTTAAATGGTAAATGATTCAACAAAAAAAATCTTCCAAAACTTTTTTGCACTGAAAATTTTATCACAATTTTAACTGTATGAAGGTTAATTAAAATAGATAAGTAGAAAAAATAAGTAATATATAAAAGTTACAACTATATAACTAAACCTAATAAGTAAAAAAAAGTTTTTTTCTTAATAAGATTTTAAAGAAAATCATGAATTTGATTTTTGACATCTTCGAGTAAAGGTCGATAAACATCTTCATGTCCAGGTTGCAACATCATTTGCCCAGCGAGTATATTATAAACACCTTCGAGAGCAGCTTTTTTTCCTTTCGAACCAACCACCTTGAACTAAAAATTGTTTTTAAATAATTTTATTAATCATCAGGCTAAACCCGAATGATTCTAGTTTATGGTCTAGCACTGCATAACAATTAAAACTAGTACTAACACTAAACCTAGAACTAGAAAGTTTCGGGTTTAGCCGCGCGTCTTAACAGAAGAAAACAGAACACTATGATATTTTATGCTAACTAGCGCTACCTACCACCTACAAGCCGTCTTAAGAGAGGTACAGCTAAACGGAATGTTTCTAGGTCTAATGTTAGTTCTAGTGTTAGTGTTAGTCTAGTTTTATTTGTTATTCAGCGCTACATTGTTGTATATTTTTATTGAGCTATAACGGACACTGCGTTCCCCGTATTCGAGGTTTTACTGTAATGTCAAATTATATTGACATGTTGCATTTTATGTGAGACAAAGTAAGTAGGTATGCCCTGGTTTCTATTGTATATAGCATCTTAACACGTTGACTGCCGCAATAGTCACTAATTTTATCCATTCTGGCCGGAACAATTTTAAAATTAAATAGGCTAGTAAATTACAAACCATTTCTTTTTATTACAAAACTTATGTTTTTTATTGTTTTCAATCGAGAAGCAGCATATGATTCACACAGCCCCACAGATAAAAATTGCCGTACTGGCCGTGTTAATCATATCGTGATCATTCATAAAAAAACAAGTCTGTTCATGCAAAAATGCAGTGCTATATAATGATACGTTTAGTCGTTTACAGTTTGTGGATATTATATGTTGAATTCAGGTGGTAGTGTTTAGTTTTTGGTATAAAAAGTATCTGCGAAAATGAGTTATGAAGAAGAACAACAAAAACTGTGGCAGGAGTGTCTTTCAGACGAAGAAGATAATGAAAAATTTGAGGATTCTGGTGATGAATTTGTTCATCATAATAATGAAGTTATTAACGATTAACATTCAAATAAAAAGTGAAGGAGACATGGTTACTGTACTAAATGCAGGTTACAGAGGTGGCTTTTTAGAAAATTGCTTGAACACGAGAGATAAGCTCATCTTTAGGAAAAGATCGTGCCATTTTTGCAGCAAAATACAAAAAGATATGTCGTGGATGATCTTCTGTAGAATAATTTTGAAGTCTTGCGACTTGCTCTTTATCACTGTCAGCATAATGCAATTGTAGTAGTTTGGGCCTATTGCAAGACCTATTATAATAATCATATCAACGATTCAATGATGTCCTTCAAAGAAAAAAAAAAAATCGTGACAGTAACGTATGCCACACTGCTTTGTTAAATTGTACAGCAGAATTTTTCAACAATTGTATAAATCAGGTTGAAAACTTAATTGAATAAGGCTGGTATAGTAGAAACCACGAGAGCTGGCAGTGACAGATCGCTTAAAAATGGTATGAATCAAGATATGGACGTACGACTTAGATTAGTTCACCACATACATTTAAATGAAGGTTATGTTAGTAATGGAGGTTATATGTCAAACATTGTCAAAGATATTATTTAATGATTTTCCTTTCAACATTTTCGGCTTGTAAAAACACTAACAGAGTCATGACAACGCTCACAAGACGTTTCGATTTGAGGTTATAATTATAGAGTTACATGCCTTAGAAGAACAGACGTACTTTTTCGACGTGGCCATTAGAATTGTACAGCAGACATATTAAACTAATGCTATCTCTTTCTAACACACATTACTGGCTAGCGGTTTGTGAATTACGTATGGCATTTGTAAGAACGGAAAACGATGATTTACTGCCAGGTCTCGTGGCGTTTACTATACAATAAATATGTACTTCGTTAAAATCGTCTTTATCTAAAAATGTATTAGTATTTTAACCTCAACTATTTAGTTATTGAAAATGTTACTAAAAATCAGAAAGACAACGTAAATTTTATAAGGGACCTAGGTAATACCAACAGAAACCCTAAAAAATTTACCTTGACAAGTATTATAGCCATAGAAAACTAGCCATTGACCTAATCTTGGGTGATGGTTTGGTGTATTTTGTATCAAGAAGTTGCAAATGAAAAAATGTCAATAACAAGATTCAAAGATCTTATTTGGAAACTAACCAAATAGGACGTTTTTCACCACTCATCATGTTTTAGAAGACATGGGTTCTAAGAACTGTCATAGATGTTTTATTTGTCACAAGAGACTTGCAAAAACTGACCGAAAACAAGCGCAAACCAAGTCTACTCAGTCAAGATATCGTTGTGCAGAAAGCTCTAAAAACTATACAGGTACAAAATAATAACATTTTTCTATACTTCCAAGTATTTTTTCAATAAAAAAGTTATTTCTGCACGTCAAAGAATGTATTTGAATTTCGTGCAAATATTGCCGTGCATCAAGTTACGCTTCTCATGGCAGTCAAGGTGTTAAGTGAAATTCACTGTATAAAAATTTTTATTTACGGTAACTGTATGGACTGCAGTATCTTTATTTTCGTCTTGCTCGATTAATTGAGCTTGCATTTTTTTAGATGTCTTCCTTCTTTTATTTGGGGGAGGTTGCCCCAAAGGAGCCTCACCAACTTCCGCTTCTTCCTTCTCTTTATCACGTTTTGGGCAAGAACAGATTCGTACATTTATTGATTTCCGACCGTGCACCTCACCACTAAAGTTGTAATAAAATTAATTTCATCAAATACATCCGAGATAACCTTACCATTCATCCTCCAAAGTAAAAATAACCTCAATCGGTCTTCTATTCATACCCGAAGCGCAAGAACTTTGGCAAACAAATTGATAAGTATGCGCAACGGAATCAGTCCCAACTTCCGGTTTAGTTAACGGAAGACAAACGCTAAAATGTTGATCAAAACCTCCTTCATACAAGGCTTGCGTATTTTTGCACCGCAAAATATGATGCCTAATAGGAGCGTTCTTATCTTGATTTGAATGATCGCCCTCGTGTGAATGTTGAAGGCAGCGCTTAACCGCTTTGTTTGCATCTTCGCTGTTACTAAAACGAGGTTTGGCTCGGACGAAAAGCCTTGTAAAGCGAGTGTGGAAGTTCCAGGTGAATAAAACAGTGAAATCATTTGACATTTTAATGAAAAGTTTTTCCAGTTTTGGGGAATACTGAAACAATAATATCATGACTGGAACAATTTTAATTACTTTTATATTATTTACCACTAAGCTTTTTGATGATGGTATTAAAACATCAAAATTATAATGACCCGAAAAATTCTCATTACTTGGAACTACATCATAAGCATCGGGAATAACCTCATCAACTAGTTCACCCTAAAATCAAATTTTTTTAATCTAATCTTACTTTAATTACACGATAATTAGATAAGGAGAGGAAGTAAAGATATTTTAATAGGATGATGCAATCAGTTTAGATAAGAAGTTGATAGGAAGTTAATTCTGCTAAATAAAAACTTTACCAATAAAAGATCCTTTGTATCGACATTTCCCAGAAATAAATTACTAAAAAATATAATTTCATATATTAAAATAAACACAAATTTCATGAATTTAAAGAAAAACTTACAAATCTTCGGAATTCATCTCATTGGGAATCTCGGACATAATAAATCGATTTATACTAACCTAAACTAAAATAAACGATTAACAAGCGTTTTAAAAACCTTTATTTTATATTAATTTACTCAAAAATATGATGAATAAAAAAGAAAAACTAAAATAAGGGGATGTTTTAAACACCTGCAACAACCACAAACAACCTGTCACTCACAACACCACTTTTCGACTAACAACCCTAACAAACCTGACAGCAAAAAAAAAACATAAATCATCTAACTTCACGTTATATAATTAAGAAAGAATTTTAGAAACATTTTAATTTTATTATGCTTCAATTCCAATTTTTTTAATCAAAAATTAAATCAAAATTAATAATTAATCTTGATATTTTTTAAAAATAAATTTAAATTATTATTGATTGGACCACTATGACATATTAAACTTAATATGGTAGCCATGTTTTAAACGTCAAATTAAACCGTCAAGGTAACAATCAAATACAAATAAACAAATTTAACAATTAATTAAAATAATGAACGTCTGTTTAACTTTCGAAGTACTTTTGTATTTAAATTCATATTATTTCGGTTTGTTTGCGATTTGCGAGATCGGCATGAACATTGTGAAGGAAATTAACCATCCCTTACCCACTTTTAAGGCGGATTTTGGAATATTATTAATCGTCTGTTTGTTGGAATTGGTTCGATTAATTATCGCAAGGAAAGGAAATTTAACTGAAAAATGTATGTTGTTTAAACCCCTAGTATAATCGAGGGTAACCAAATTAATTCTTTTTGTTTTAGGGTGGCCGGTATTTATTGCAGTATTATTTACTCTTCCATCTGCTTTTGGTATTGTTTATTTTATTGTATGGCAAAGCTTTGTATTACGTTTCGAATATATTATTTGTGCTATACAATTAATTTTACAAGCTACTGAAATTGTGTTTGGCGTACTTTGTTTATTACCTATATGTAAAACGACTGAGTATTATTAATTAAAGCTAAAATTAAAACAGTATTATTTTAAATTGTTGCAAATATTAATTAAAGAAAATAAAAACAAAATATATTCTTTATTTAGAGTTTATTAAATTTTATTCAGCATTAATACACATTGAAATTCAATTATTAAAAACTAATTGCTAACACATCGTCTATGACTGATTTTTCGTCTTATAATTTTTTCATTTCAAGACAACAATTACTGTTTCTAATCGTAACCTACAGTTTATGATCATTACAATTTTCTTATATGGCAGGGTGTGTTTCTTGTTTGTCGATTTTTCCCTCTCTCTTTAGTTGTTTTTAGAAACGAAATCCTTCATTCTCAAAGATTGATGGTAAAGCGTCTTTATTTGTCTCTATTGACAGACCGGAGTGTTTTCGGAAATGCTCTTTTCCAAATAGAATCTTTTTCGTAAACACAACACAAGGCGGGGAGTGAAAACTAGTCTAACGGGAACTGAACGTTTCACTCGGATCACACAACCATTGCAGCACATTTTTTCAGTGCCGTGATCTGTCCATAGATGACGCATCAAACAACTTTTTTGGGTTCAGAGTGCCAAAAAAAATAATAATAACAGGAACTCAAAGGGCTTAATTTTTACCATTTACAATTATTTTTGCTTACTTAGGTAAATAAAGGGATTTCTAGAAGGTAGAAAGAAATAAGGATAAAAAGAAATAAAAATGGACTTAAAAAATAAAAAAGAATTAAAATCAATTGAGGCGAAGCACCTTGGGTTGTTCCCATGCAAATCCATCCCGTCCAAAATGACCATAGGTACTAGTCTTTTGGTAAATTGGTTGTCTCAAATTTAATTCTTTAACGATTTTACCAGGTCTCAGATCGAAATTGTTGCGGATTACGCTTAAAAGTTCTCCTTGGGATAGTTTTGAAGTACCATAGTCGAAAACTGTAATCGATAGCGGTTCTGCTACTCCAATAGCGTACGCGACTTGTACCAAACACCTTCTGCAAAGACCTGCTTTTACCAAAGACTTTGCTACCCATCGAGCTGCGTATGCTGCTGATCTATCAACTTTAGTAAAATCTTTTCCAGAGAATGCACCACCACCGTGGGCTCCCCATCCACCATATGTATCAACAATTATTTTTCTACCAGTTAATCCAGCATCACTCTAAAAAAAAATAATTAAAAATAATTTAAAAAAATTAAATTAATAAAATTAAGTTATAATTAAAATAAATTAATTTATCAGAATTGGTAGTTCACATCATGGTACTTCAAGAGTAGCAAATACTAAAGAAACATCATTATATTCAATATATTTTTTATTTACAATAATTTGATATATTTTTTTAATTACCTGTGGTCCACCAATAATAAACAATCCGCATGGATTAATGTGAACGATGGTTTGTCCATTGAGATATTTCGTTGGTATAACTTCTTTGATAACTTTGTGCAAAACTTCATTTCTTAACTCGTCCAAAGATATTTTCTCACTGTGTTGGAGAGATACAACCACTGTGTGAACGCGTTGTGGGATACAAGCTCCATGTTCAAACTTGTACTCACAAGTAACCTAAAAAAAGTTTAATTGTATTAAATAATATTTCAAAATTTCGATTTATTTATATATCTTAACAAAAATGAGTTGTAAAACTTACTTTATTAAAAATGTATTAAATAATTTTTATAATAAGTTAAAAACATCTATTATCGTTTTTTTTCTATAATACTTGTCAATGTAAATTTTTTAGGGTTTCTGTTGGTATTATCTAGGACCCTTATAAAATTTATGTTGTTTTCCTGATTTTTAGTAACATTTTCAGTAACTAAATAATTGAGGTTAAAATACTAATAAATTTTTAGATAAATACGATTTTAACCAAGTACATATTTATTGTAAAAACGTGCTACATACTAATTAAATAGAACAAAACACCTTTTGTAGGTAAATAAATGCCAAATAAACACTCCACAACATTTTTTTATGCACGTTTTCTTTTTGAATAACGAAAGCTTAAACGTCAGTGTGACATATTTATTTCAAAACATCATATAACAAAACTCCCTGTTAGTTTTGCCAACTTTACAACAATTTGACAGGTATTATAGAAAGAAAATGAACATTATGTCAAATGTTTTCATTTAATAGAAGAAGGTTAAGTATAATATTTTTTGGGTTCGTCTTTTCATTTTTAATGCAGGACTATTACAATAATAAGATTTGAAAGAGGATATTGAGGAAGAGCAGATAAGCGAGGACACGAAACGGGAAAGTAGCGAGTGACTGTAAATGAAAGTAAATGAAATTACAGATATCGAGGATAATGTAAATCTAAAGTGTTTTATCAGATATATTGACGAAGATACCATACAAGAAAAGATGAGATTTTGAAGCTTACCAATGATTTTGTCACTGGTACAAGCACATGCAATGGTAAGGTTATCATAAAGATTTGTTTAAACAAATTCAAGAATTAGAATGTGTCAAATTTGTAAACTACATAAAATCTCGTCCATTAAATAGCAGACTTTTTATCAAACTATGCAAGGAAATGGGAAATGATCATAAACACCTCCTTTTGTATTGTAGTTACTATGCCTTTCAAAAGAAAACGTTTCAGCTAAAACTTTGTTATTTCTGAATCAACACCCAACATTTAAAAAATATGCTATTTTTCCATTTAACGATAGATTCCACAATTGGAGTGGTTAATAAAAGTAGCATATTTGTGCGATATATAATGCTACATTCAATGAATTGAATTTAAATTTGCAAGTAATGCTTTAACAACGTAAATCTATAAAATAAAAAAGATTCTGATGAAATTAAATAATAAAGATGATTTTGCACCAATCTGGACTAAAAATAAATTAATTAATCGTGATTTATACACAAGAATTATCACGAAAAACAACCTATAAATGATTACTTAAGTGTTTATCAATTCTTGATTTTAGCCTTGAGTATAATTTGGGATATTTAATAAATGTTTGATTAATTATACCCCTTTTTGATTCAAAAAAGAACCAAATAGGAACGCCTAGTTAATCAAATTTTTAATTTAGCACACTTTTGGAACGTTCCAAGCAAAATAGAAAGTTGACTTTAAAATTGCTGAAACGTGGACATTTTTGTGTGCATGTTTTTAATCTTTTTTCATAATATTTAACTTACTTGTGTTTTTGAATCTGGTCTCGCCCACCAAAATGTTCCTTCTCGTCTCAAATCGGCGATTTTCTGATTCAATCTGTGCGCCAAAACGACCGTAAGCGGCATACATTCCTCCGTTTCATCAGTTGCGTAACCAAACATTAATCCCTAAAGATTTAATTATTATCATTGATCATATAATTATTAATAAAAAAATTTGAAGCAAAACATTAATTCAAGCTAAATGTACAACCACAAATACCCCTTTTTAGTTTAAATAAATCTAAAAAGGAACACCTCGTTAGTTGAAAAATGATTTAGCACAAATTATGGAACGGTCCCACAAAGAAAAAATTCTTTTGATGTAGAAACGTGGACATTGTTATGTGCGCAATTATGAATAAATAAAAAAAGAAGCTACGATAATTAAATTAATGATAAGAGTTTTTAGTTTAGATGTGATGTAACAAAAATAATGATAAACATAAAAAATAAGAAAAATATGATAAAGAGTCAAAAGTCACTGAACCATTTCAATAAACAAAAATTAAATAAGTAGAAAAAGATCTACGCTCAAACAAGATTAATAACTAATATGGTTAATTATTAACCTTGTTATTTATTTCTACATAAATTACAACGCAAAGAAACAAATCAGAGCAGGAAGCGGTTCATTATCGTATTCAAACCTGATCTCCCGCTCCAACTTCTTCTTCATTTCGATTTTCATGCACCCCAGCAGCAATATTTGGAGATTGTTGATCCAAAGCGATCATGACCGAGCACGTTTTGTAATCGAAACCTGTTTTAAAAATATTTTAAACCCACATTCAAATATTAACTTATTTAAGAATCCCCCCGAAATATGAAGAGACAATCACATAAAGCGTAACATAACTAAGCAAAAATAAGAATAATAAAATACGAGTCCAAACGATAATAATCCCAATGAATTTAATTTAAATTATTTTATATTAATAAAATGTCCTTTTTTTTTGTTATTTTATGATTTAATTTTCCCCAAAAATTTATTTCAAGTTATTCTTTTGAAATTTATACCTGATCGCCCGCCCCTACATCATGTTCTTCTCGGTTCACATGGACACCGTCCGCAATGTTGGGCGATTGTTGTTCGATGGCGACCAGAAGGTTGAAAGTGCGCCAGTCAAACCCTACATTGTTTCTTTTTTAAGTAGATTCATCTTTTTTATTTAACTTATTTATTTAATTTTTTTTTCTTTAATCGATTAGACTCAAATTTTGGGAAAGAATAAGAAAAAGAAAAATTCAAATATTACAATAAAAACAGCTGGAATGTTTGATTTAAATCCAAATCACGTTTTATCTTTTATCTGGTACAATAAATAAACAAAGTATTATTTATAAGGTTTAATTCTTTCTCCTTATTGTCTTTATTAGAATTGTCAAGGTCAACTCTATGATTAAATTATTATCAATTTCAATGTTATTTAATATAATCAACTTTCCAAGTGTTTATGAAAAGAAAATTAACTTAAATGTAATTAATTACCTTTTGAAGAATCATCGTAGCCAATGTGAGCAACAGTTTGTCGAACAATTTTTTGATAATCAACGTTAGCTTTTGAAGTAATCTCACCACATAATAAAACCATTCCAGTTTTTGTAACAGTTTCTAATTGTAATTAGAAAAAAATAAATTTGAGGTTATATTGAGTTTTGTGCTTTTTGAACTTACCACATGCAACTTTTGCATCGGGATCTTGTTCCAAATGCGCGTCTAAAATAGCGTCACTAATTTGGTCGCACATTTTATCTAGAAAAATTAAGAAAATTAAATTAAGAAAATAAAAAACAATTGAAATGAAGTTAGGGGCAAATGAAAATTTGAGGTTAGTTTAAAAAGAAGTACAAAAAAAAATACCACGTGGTTTATTACATAAGATTGCGTAAACTAAATTTAAACCGACCAATTCAAAGAAACGTTAAAAATTAAAAATAAATTTAACATTCATCAAATTGTTATTGATTTTTCACCAAGAACAAATAATCTCGTTTCATGAATTGCAATGGAGAACGACGCCATTTGAGGGACGCAGGAGCCTCAAAATGACTTGATTTATATCTTTTTTACCTGGATGTCCCTCGCCGACCGATTCCGAGGTGAAAAGGAAATTCGAACCGTCCTCCATGTCGAAGGGCATGTGTCCGTTGGTATATCCATTTGTTAAAGCGGTATTTGGCATTCTGAACCTTATTTATCTTCACGTCCGCGTTTTCTATAAACTTAACCACGCGACCGTAAATAATAAACCGTTTATAATCGGTTTCGTTCCGTTCTTCGAGAGGTACTTATTGGAAAAGAGACGCTAAACACGGTTGCGATTCCTTTTATAACCTCCCTACAAATCGTTGCTATCTTCTTATTGGTTGAAATTGAAATAACAGCGCACTCCCGCGAATGAATTTTGTACCAACAATGACGTTTTTTTGTATTATTTATAGATGTGGTTGTTGCTAATGGCAACCAACAAAGTTTTTTTGAAAATACTAAAAATTTGGAATTTAAACAAATAATATTAATAATTCTTAAATCTTATTATTACTTACATTAATATTTTGTTTAATTGAAACAATTTTGAATGATGCAATTTTTGGGTTTTTTTAAATATGTCCTTCAAAGTCTTTTTACAATTATCAACTATAATAAAAATAATAATAATAATTATTTATATGTATTAAAAAGTTTTATAAATAATTTCGAATAATACTTACGTTCTTTTCCCAAAGTTACAACTTTTTAAGTTGAGTGAGGATATCGCGTAAATGTACGATAACGGATTTGAACGTGTTCTTTTAAAGCCTCCCCACTTTTGTTGGTTTTCGAAATTAATCTCTGCGAATTCTTTCAGGGCAAATCGAAGTAAATTGTTGCAGTTAATGAACGATATACATACATATATTAATGTTTTCTTAAAGTTTTATCTATCCCTTGTTAACATTTTTTCCACTTTCTTTTAAACCAATTTACTTCATTATGATTTTTAACTTTAAAATTACATCACTTGTCTTAGCAACTGTTAATATTTTGTTATCTTGAAATATTAAGAAATGTTTTGATTAAAATTTTGAAATAGTTCCTTTATTAATTTCTCAACCTAACCTCACTTGTCAATAAAAAAAACATAACCTAAGTAACACCCCAAAAAGATCTCGTTTTAAACCCTAATTAATTTTTACTCATTATTTTTATTAATACACTTTTTACAAGGTTTTTAATTCTGACGTTTTTTCCTGTTTTAAATTTTTAAAACATACTTTATCTTCCAAAACAGATAACCTCTTAACGGGGGAATCTCACCATTTTTTAGGCTCAGTTTACGTCATTAAACGCCTTATTGGATGTTACCGTAATAAATGTAACCTTTAACACATTGTCGTCTTATTTTATTAACTTATTTCATCGTTTGCGCAAATTTTATCTCGACCAAACTTTATTGTAGGCTGTTTTTCATCATTCGATTGGGTCAACTTTAAATAAGAGATCGTCATCTTATTTCATTCTAAAAATTAAATTCATTCTTGATTTTAAAAAAAGAATAATCTATATAAATATTTATTTAACCCATTATTCTTGATCCATTGTATAAGTCAAGAAAAAAAGGAGCTATTTAGGGTTACAAAGAATCTTATCTGTTTCGTTTAAAATAAGAAAAGAAACTTATTATAAGCTGACGCAACATTTTTAGTCCTGTAGTTGAAATAAAACTACATGACGTAGAGTTTTTGCGTCAATCCCATGATAAAATAAAAAACTTCACTTCTCAAGGAAATTAACACAAATAATTTATTCAAAAAATTGAATTTATTTTCTCATAATTATCCACACTGTCAATATACGCTTATAATTAATTATTTTTACATCATCTAAAAAAAATTGCTTTTAACTCAAAACTATATGACAAAAACTTGAAAATAAAAATAGATTCACTGATTGACCAAACTTTTAATTAACTCTTCTCGATTTTAATCTCTTGATCTTGTTCTATTCCCGTTGAGTCTTCCAGTTGTTCTTTAATTTTTTCTTCTTTGGGCTCTTTCTCCCAACGGCTTTTACTTTCATCGTGCTTTCGTTCTTTCTCCAAACTTTCTTTGCTTCTCGTCTCTTCTTTAACTAAAACCGTTTTTAAAACCGGATCGATTTTATCGCGAATATCGGTTAAAGTGTGTTGAAATAATTTTAGGTTAGTCTAAAACGAAAAAAAATATTTTTAGGTTATGTTTAAACGTCAAAATTAATTTTTAGGTTAAATTTTTAACTTACGGATAATCTACTTAAAGTTTCTTCATTAATCCTTAATTTATCTTTGGTCTCTTTCAATTCAGAATTTAAACTTTTAATACTTCCGTTGCATTTCATATTTTTCTCCGTCAACTTAATATTTTCACTTTTTAAGTCGACCATACGACTCTCAGTATCAATTCGAGCTTTATTACTACGCTCCAATTGAGCCATCAATTTGTTAATATCTACTAAAGCTCCATTAAACATAACTAAACCATCGTGTTGTTCTGATTCTTTGTTTTCGAAATTTTTATCTTCGATTTTCATTTTCTTAAACATTAATTCATCGTCTTTAAACACTGGTAATAATCGTTTATTACCGGCCGCTAATTCTTGTATGTTAAAATCTTTTTCTGAATCATCTATAACAATTAAATCGTCATCTTTGGGTTTATCTGTTAATTTTCGATAATGTAATGAGTCACGCGTGATTACTTTACTGACCAATTTGCGAACTTGAGCGCGAGATAAACTCAAACCTAACGTGTAAAGTAAATCTTCAATATCTTTTTCGAAAATGTAACCGCAATGAGTTTGGTCAAAATAAACAAACGATAATAATAAATTTCGATCTTTTGTAAACATTTTTGGTCGATCCCGTTTCTTTTTATCCGATTTATTATCCGATGATGATTTCTTTTTGTTATCACGAACGTCTTCGTCATCATCAAAATCTTCATCATCAGAATCACCTTGTTCGGAATTCCCCATTTTCTTCGAATCTTTTCTTCGCTCCTCTGATTTTTTATCATCTTTATTTCTTTTCTTATCATCGTCCCTTTTATCCCTTTTCGTTTCATTTCCGTCCAAATCGATTTTATCTCCATCTCCACACTCTTTTTTATTACTTCGTTTTGCATCTTCTTTTCCGTCCTTCGGTTTTTCGGGAAGATCGTAAAGCGCTTTGTAAATGTTAAAACCAAAATCGCGCATTAACATTTCGTTGAAAAGTTCGGCAAAAAGAGATACTTCGAATGAGTGTTCTTTGGTGTCTTCCGGACGATAATCGAGAAGAAGAGAAATCGACATCACTGTGCAATCAAATTTACCGGATTTTGCTGTTTTTGAGGGGTGTACGAGAATGTGAGGTTGATCTGGGAGGGTGTAACGTTTTTCCAGGAGGGCTTTTTCTTTCTCGTCTAATTTACGATCTTCTATCTAGAATTGAAATAAATTTAAGACGTGAATTTTATAATAAAATGAAATTTACATCAGATTTTTTTTCTTCAGCACTTTCTTCCAAATCCATTTCCATCGATGATCCTTCTTTGCAATCTTCCCCCCTCTCAGCTTCGGCTTTAAGCGATTTGCTAAGTTTAGCAATTAATTGTGATTTTAATCCTTTCGAATTAATTCCCCTGGCGTTCAATTCGTTTCTTAAATCGCCGAGTGTCATTGCTTTGGGGTCGAGCTGTGAGTAAGGAGTTGGTTCCAATTTGTTCTCCCCATGGTGTTGGCCCTCTTCTTCCTGTTACCAACACAACAAATTGAAAATGTTTAATTAGAATTTTGAAACTAAAAATATCTTTGCACGTTTTTATTTTTTAAGAGACCCGATCATTTGAAATTAAAAAACCTAATCTTAGAACTTAAAAATGAAAGGCTTATTCTTAAAAGGCTGCTTTTATAGCTTCAGCGTGGACACAAATCGTGTTTCTTTCCCCTAAATAACAACAACTAAAAACTAGAAGAAAAAAAAATAAATAAAAAAAATTATTTAGATGCCTTTTCATCTGCGGCTTGTTGTTGACTGGAGTCATCGTGATCACCACCACCAGGTTGATCGTTTCCCTGATCGGATTCAACCGTTGATGAAGTAGACTTCTCTGCCACAGCCGGAGAAGTCGTTGATGTTGCTCCTGCTGCGGATGAAGTTTTGATCGTAAGCCTGCGATCCAGCTGCCTGCGATAACCGAGCTGCAAGGCGTCCCACTCGAGCCGTGTCGACAAACAGCTCCAAACGTCCGGCAAGAAGACGACGACGGTCTCGACGCGGGCCGGCACCGTTTTCCCCCTGTGGGTTCCCTCAGCCCTGCGGTAGTACAGCTCCACGAAGCGGTACCTAAATACGGAAGAAGACACAAAATACTCGTCAGCTCGGCTACGTGCTCTGCAAAACTTCTTACCAGGTCTATAAAAATAGATGGCAACCTCTTCGGATTTACTCGTTATTTTTTTATGAGATCTTATTTTTCCCTACCTTTAACTCCTTGGGATCTAAGTATTTTTTGGTCTCCATGGCAAGGTTGCCAGGTTTCACGATTTATCGCATGATATTACCTTTAATCCCACGATTTAACATGTACTTCTCACGATTTTATTACAAAAATAATATAATAATTAGTATTAACAAAATTAAAGTAAAATCGTAACATTTTCAACTCGAATTGTAGGTTACTGTAAATTTCTCTATTAGTTACATCTATTCGCCGCTAGATAGCGCTAAGAAATTACTTAAACTGTCATATTTTATTTCCTTTTAATTATATCACTTTTATATACAAACGTTGTCTAAACTATTTTACTTGAATCCTATGCCTATATGTAACACATATTATTAAAATTGAGTGATTTTGATGTCATGGCTCATGACATTCTGTGTGTAACCTGGCAACCCTGCTCCTTGGAATGAAAAAAAACATTTTTTTAAATTAAATGCTGCTTTGAAAATAATAAAAATAAAATTAAATATACTTACTTCATAACAAAAAAAAAATCTAAACCGATTTTAGAAAAGTAAATCAAAACAGCATTTAAACAGAAAACTTTTTTTTATGAAAAAGCCAATGGAACTTAACTCACCATTTTGTACAACTGGATAAGTCAATTCCAGTTAAAGCTTTACAGGTCCGAATAGCAGTTTTAATCAATACTGAAGGATCAGTATCCGGCTGTTCGCCGTCCATTGAAGGACTCCATGGTCCCCCGATAGCCATCGTTTCATTTTTGCCACGTAATCCAACCAAGAAATTAATAAGACGTGTTGGATGAACATAATCACGATCTTCGCTGTCCCGGTCCCTACGATCCTTATCTTCAGCCATTGCACAACACTTTTGATAAAGTTCATCCGTCCCAGGCACACTCATCAACATCACTTTAGCTGAGAAGATGTAGTCAGCATCAGGTGGCTCGAGGACGGCGTCGTTTTCAATGACTGGCTCAACATCTTTATTAACAATGTGAAAAACGCAGGGTTTGTTCAAACTGAATGGTTTATCGGCTGGAAATGCATTTATCCAACGAAAGGAGCTTTTAAAAAAATCTGAAGGTATGTAAAGATTTGAATAACGACGTCTTATTTCTAAAACATCAGCATCAGAACTAAAACAAAATAATTAGAATTATAAACACAACAAAGATTGTAATTGTAACTTACAGATCAAGTGCAATTTTTGGTATTTGAACCATATATCTTGGCACAATTCTAGATCTTCTCCTAGATTTTGGTGATCGAGATCTACGCCTTAACGGAGATTTTTTCTCCTCTTTCTCACGTTCTCTAATTCTTTCCTCACGTCTCTTCTTTCGTTCCATATCTTCATCTTCGCGTTCGCGATCACGGGATCTTTCGCGACCTCTTCCGCTTAATGAAGCTTTGTTTCGTTGATTGTTTCGGCTAAAACTCCCTTTCGAGTTATCTCCCGGAGGAGGGACGGCGTTGTATCCGCTACTATTTCCGGAATTGTAGCTTTTAACATTGGAATTCCTACTTGAACCGCCTTGATTCATTGGTAACACTTGTATTCGAGTCGCGTTCCATTTAAACGGCATGCTCGGATTAAATGACGCTTCGACGAGAACTCTATCTCCGACAACTGGATTTGAACCTTTTACGCAAGCGGTTGTTTGAAAGAAGACGTCTTCATCAACGAAACCGAAATTATCGTGGACTTTTGTTACTGTTCCGGTAAAAACGCGTTGCTTTGTACTTGTGTTACCTTTAATTTAAGATTTTTTATGATACATAACCTAAAAATAAAATGTATCTTTACCTTGTACAGGTGGAACACCTGATACGTTTTGCGTTTGAAAAGCTGTAGGGTTTAAGGCTCGTGGATTCGGGTAAGTTACAGCACCAACTTGTTGGAACAGTTGATTTGAAGCAATTTGTGATCCTAATCCTGCAGCACTCATAGCGACGGCTGAGGTGTTGGCCATTTGTTGGAGCCCTAATCCTAGGTTTTGTTGTTGCATGGTCATCGCATTTTGAAATACTTGCTGCTGGTGCTGTTGCTGAAACGGCACCATGCCGCTGTTGTTGAGGTTGTTAAGAGCCCCCTGATTCATAATTTGTTGCTGAATAGTGTTTGTTTGACCGACGAGATTTGTAGCGGCAGTATTGGTGACGGCCGTACGCCACGGGGCCGTATTTTTCGATCCGAAAGGGCCGATGTTACTCATAATACTAGCGTGGTACTCGCGTGTTCAAACGAAATTTCACATAAAATTCGACATTTTTTGTTTGGACAGGTTTGGAGTACGTTCTATAATTGGTTGTCGTTACGTCATAAACGAGCGCCATCTAGATGCGAATTATTTATTCAATTTTTATAATTTAAAAATTATTTATATTTATTTAAATAAGTATTTATTAAAATAAATATTAGTATAAAAATGAGTTACACAAGCTTAATTTCTTTATTACTTATTAATACCTTAGCTACACGCTTTATTTCAGTACCACCATTATCCTCAAAATGCAGTAAAAACCGGGTTAAAAAGTTTCTTGGAAGACATGTATCATCCGTACATATAAAAACGTTAAAAACAACATCTATAGATTTAATATTATTTTCAATAAGATTGGATTGGCTTAAATCTAACGTAACATCTACATTTTCAACATTGTCCCCAGACCATGTTTTATCTAAACCGTTAATAAACCACCTTTGCGGAGCATCTTTATTTAATTTAAACCCATTTGCAAAACTTAAATTAACTTTTAAACTAAGTTTACAACCACTTACATGACAAATAATCGTTTCCGGTGTTAAAATAACATACTTCGTTTCATCTAAATACTTTTTTGTATCTAATTTTAGGTGCAACAACTTTACCTCTTTTATATTTCCGTTTCTTTCATCTAATTCAATCAATTTAACACAATGATTGTTTGTATCGGCGACAAGAAGTTTACCATCAATAACACATAACCCAGATGGTTCATTAAACGAATTTAAGCCACCATCAATTGTATCCACTGTTTTCGGACCTGATAAAGATATTACTGAGTTTTTAGATACATCCAATTTCTTAATTTTGTGATTATAAGTATCTGCAATAAATAAAAATGATTCGTCTTGCGACAGGGCTACGCCTAGAGAGTGTTGGAGTTTAGCATTGGTTGATGTTCCATCGATATCACCAAAAGCAAATAAATTCTAAAAATTAAATTAGTTACTTATTTAAAATTAAACGAAAATCAATAATTACATTTGGATCTTTTTCACCTCCAACAATACCCGAAACTTTCCCATCTAACAAAGATAACTTCCTAATTGTAGAGCTTTCGCTGTCAGCGATAAAAACAGCTTTATTTTTCTGACTTAAAGCTAAACCGGATGGTTGTGCAAACGCTGCGTTATGAGGATATTGATTGTTTCTGTTTTCTTCTTTTCCGCTACCAGCAATAGCAACACAACAATCTTTTTTATGCACTTTTGATTTCCACCAGACAATATCATCAAGGAAATACGCCCAAATTTGATGAGTTCCCGCCATAGCAATAATTAAAACATTTTTTAACGCTTTATTTTCCACTTGGTTGTTTAAATCATGGGTTTTGAATAAAGCTATATCCCATGGGGAAGATAATCGTTGTTGTTTCCCAAATTTTCCGCCAATTTTATCGTCACCTTGTTGACCATCACCGGCAATAGTTTCAACAATTTTTAAAATTAAATCTATTCTTCTTATTGCATGATTTTCTGTATCAGCAACATATAAAGTGTTGGCGTCTTTAAACACCAAACCTTGAGGAGAATTAAAACACGCCTCGTCAAATCCACCATCTTTAAATCCTTTTAAACCACCAACAATCGTATTAATTTCCCCATTTTGCTTTAAAATAATTATTCTATGATTTCCTGAATCAGAGATAGCAATAATTTCATTTTTGTCATCGTCAATAAAGTGAGTAACTTTTCCTGGGAACATTAAAGTATTTAAGGATGATTTAATACGGAAATCAGGTGAAATCGGCAAAGATAAATTTACAATTTCATTTTTCGATTTAAAAAAATCTAAAGTGATGCTAATGAATCGTTCCAGTTGATCTAAATGAGTTTCGCCCATAAACATAATTAACGGACGTCCTTTTGGGTCAATTAAAAGCAATGTAGGCCAACAAATAATATTACATTTGTTCCACATATCCATAAAAGGGTCGTTAACAACTGGATGTGTAATATTATATCTTTGGATGGCGGATAATACGTTTTTTGAGTGCTTCTCATTGGAAAATTTAGCACTATGTACTCCAATAACAACTAAACCATCTTCAATTCCAAACTTTTCCTCGATTTTCCTTAATCCAGGTAAAATATGCATGCAATTAATACAACAATAGGTGAAAAAGTCGAGTAAAACAACCTTTCCTTTTAATTGATGTATGAATGATAAAGGTTCGGAAGTGTTGAACCATTCTAAGCCTAAAAAAGAAAATTATAAAATCGATCCTAACCTCACTTTGGGGTGGAGTTCAAAATTACCTGGTTTAAAGTCGGTTACGGCGGGGTATTTAATTTGTTTAAGGTATTCTAGGATGGATTCGCTCTCGGTTAACCCGCTGTTGTCGATTATATCTGTTAAAACTTGGTGTGAATCGATTAAATCTACAAATTCCATTTTTGGTTATGTTTCGATGACGTACTTACAAAAATAAAAATATGTAAAGGTTATGTTATTGATGAAGTTTAAATTAATAAAAAAATTTATTTGTAATAAATTAAGATCAATAATACAATAATTAAGATAACTCGTTTGAATACAAACTAATTAATTTATCATACGAATATTTATTATTGATGTATTTTGATAATCTTTGAGATTTGCAAAACATTGATTTGCAGTTTATTGATTCATTATTAGGTTGGGAAAATTTCTGTATTGAATCTGCAAGAAATGTAGAAATATTTTCGATTTTTTCGTCACCTAAAAATCAATTTAATGCTTATTTAGATATTGTTTCTTTAGACATAGATTACCCAAATTTTTCGTTTCAAGACTTCGAAACATATCTTCACCTAAATTTCCGCCACCAAGGAAAAGGTGCTTTTTCTTTAAGGATGGAATAAACAATAACAAACATAATATTCCAATAAATGAGACGATTTTCTTGAAAATAACTAATTTAAGGATTATTTTACCAATTGTTAACAAATCAATTTTGTATTTTATTTTATCCAACACCGTCAAAAGAGCATGGGGTAAAAATTGGTCTTTAGGCCCGTAGGGTTGTTGTGGAGGAGGATGTGGGGGATAACTAAAAATAATTTTATCATTATTATAGTGCTAAATATTCCCGAGATAGGCAACCTAAATCGCATCTAAATAATCTAAGTTGCCTAAATTAAACAAAATTAACGAACTTACTTTGGTTCTGGGTAATATTGTGGTGGTCCATAAACCTTAGGTGGTCCATAATATGGTTTTTCATACTCCTGATACCCACTCGGGTGATATCCACTTGGAGAATATCCGTTTGAAGGAAATCCATTTGAAGAAAATCCATACTCACCAGGATCGGATTTTTTATTTAAAACTTTACTTTGATCATAGGCTTTTATGTAAGAATCTTTAACATTTGTTGATGTTTCACATTTTAAAAAATGTAGACACAAAAATAACGTTATTAATTTCAAAATCATGGTGAAGTTAATCGAACGACCACCGAACGTAAAATGATCGATTTCCATCAGTTTAGGCCTATTTTTTAAAACTAAATCTAGATTAAATTACTTAGTATTCAAACGGAATTTATCGAAATAATGCGAACGTTCGTTTGGTGAATTTAAATCAATATAAAAGTGGTTATTTAGTTCCTAATTTGAATGCGATAAACAGTTAGTTTTCAGCGACATCTTGTGAAAGTAATTTTGATTATTCGAAACGTCATCTTGATTTTTTGAGGTTAGTTTTCAAGTTTCCCAAAAAGAATTAATTTATTAGTTAAAAACGATGAGTGTATTCGATCGAATGCGTTATATGAACCCATACGATTTCCATAAAGCGCTTATAAACGAGTACGTTTTAAAGAAACCTGGTGACACAAAATTCTTGCAAAGGGATACATCGAATGATAAATCAGATTCGGACGTTTTAAAAAGTAATCATAAATTTTTATGGGATGATGATAATGTACCAGAAACTTGGGAGGAACGCTTTGCAAAAAAATACTATGATAAACTCTTCAAAGAATATTGCATCACAGATTTAACTCTATACAAAGAAAATAAGGTTAGGTAAAGGTTTTCTTTAATTTAAAATGTATTTAATGGTTTTTTTCCACGAAAGATTGCATTAAGATGGCGTGTTGAAAAAGAAGTTGTTTCTGGTAAAGGTCAATTTATTTGTGGAAATAAAAAGTGTGATGAAAAAGAAGGTCTACGATCTTGGGAAGTTAATTTTAGTTACGTGGAAAAGGGTGAAAAGAAAAATGCTTTGGTAAAAATACGTAAGTGTTTTTTAGTTTTAGTCTCTTTAAAAACAGGTTGGAAAATGTGAAAATTGTTTGAGGGTTATGTGAAAGTTGTTCAAAAAAGTTAAATTATCATACAAAGAGAAAGGAAGTTAAACGCTTAAAATCAAAGAAGTTTAAAAATACTTCTATGAAAGAAAAGAAAAAGAAAACATCCCAGAGTTGTAGTAGCACTGAAATTGTTGAGGATAATAATGAAATCAATGAAGTTGATAAAGGAGAGACATCTTTATGGGCAAATTTAAAACCAGTAGAGATTAAAAGTCGTGAAGAGGAAATCGATGAGTATTTAGAAGAGTTATTATTATAAGATTTATTAATAAATAAATAAGTCATAATTGATTATAAGATTTTTATTGAATGCAATTACATTAAAAAATAAAAAAGATTCTAATATTTAAGGAATATTTGCCAAATAATCTTTAACATGCGATGGATCTAATCTCCTAAACCCATTTTGATCGCAAATACCCACTTCAATATTATCGGCGGTCATTTGACCCTCAAAGCTTTCTTTCAAAGTTAAAATAGCGGTATGAACAGCATCATCTAATTCTAAATCTTCACTGTATCTTTTTTCCAAAAAAGTTTTCCCATTGACAAAGTTTTTACCCATAGCAGTGGCTTTCCATGCAAAGTACGCTCCAGAAGGATCACATTGGAACAAATATGGGCGACCTGTATCCCAGCCACAAATCAATAAAGAGACCCCGAATGGACGAACTCCCCCTGATTGAGTATATTCTTGCATAACAGCAGCAACACGTTGAACTAATTGAACTGTCGGGATAGGTTCTCTATAAACCAAGAAATATTGTTGGGCCATTTTTCTCGCTTGTTTAACAAGAAGTCGATAATCAGGCCCCATTCCGGAATAAATCATCCCAATGTGGTTAGTTATCATTTCAACTTTGTTAACACTGTGCTCATCATACAAAATTGATTTGTGTTTATTTTCTGTGGCAATAACAACTCCATTTGAAGCTTTGATTCCTACAGAAGGAGCTCCGGCGGCGACTGCTGCTAAAGCGTATTCAATTTGAACTAGTTTACCAGAAGGGCTGTATAAAGAGAGAGAATTTTTAATTTATTGCTCATTAAAAGCGTTTGAACTCACCTAAAAGTAGTTAAAGAGAAACTATAACGTTCTGTAGCCATGATTACTTTGCAAAACACCTCTTAGAATGAATTTTGTAATGTCACTTGTCAACGTCTAAAAGTATTAAGCGTCTTTGTGGTGAGATGGCGCTATAAATATTAATTTAAAAATGCTTCATTTTAATTGTTTAATTTATGAAATTGTTTTAATTAATTAAGAAACGCCATATAAGCGATGCTAATTAAGGAAATTCGATAAATATAAATTAAATTTTTATCAAAATATCCCAATGGCAGTATGTATTTTTATAGGTTATGTGAGGTTATGTTAAGTTGTTTACAGATATCAAAACATAATTTAAAACTTTCAAAAATAATGTCTGCAACGTTTAAAAATGCGAAGCAAAAGCTTAAACAAAATGAGTTAAGGAAGATAATGAGCGAGCACAAAAATAAGTTGCAAAAATCAGCGAAGAAGATAGAATCACCTTTAGCAAAATATCCTTTTTTATTGTGTAGTATATTTGTTATTGTAATTTTAGATTTTTTCCTTAATTTAATTTTACATACAACGAATCGGGACAATTAACCTGTATATTATGTAAATCTATAGTAAGATCGGAAGCGGTGTGGAATGTTCACTTAAATTCAAAACAACACAAAGAAAATGTCGAAGCGGCAAAGAAATTAAAAGAAAAAACTAATAATTTCACAACGGCAATAAAAAGACCAGCCACACCACCTTTAGAAGTACCAACAAAAAAACTTAAAGGAATTTTAAAAAACTCCACTTCAAAAACTGAAAATAATGATACAAATCAAACGGATCAACTTCCCGATGATTTCTTTGACACAAAAAAATCAAACTTAAATCTTCCACAACTTGGGCAACAAAACCAAGATAAAATTGAGAAAGAACCAGAGAAAATGGATGTAGAACAACCTGATTCCGCTTTACCCGAAGGATTCTTCGATGATCCAAAATTAGATGCAAAAGCACGTAATTTAGAGTACAAAGATCCTGTTGAAGAAGAATGGGAAAAATTTCAGAAAGAAATTAGAGACGCTGACTTTGAATCAGCTGCTATAATAGCAGAAGACCAAGAAGAAGCCACCAATGAACGACAAATCGACGAAATTGATGAGCAAATTAAGAATTGGTCTAGAGTGGTTAATTTGGAAAAAAAGAAGGTTGAGGTTATTGGGAACGTAGCGGAAAAAGATGAAAATATGATGAGTGTTGGGGATGATGAAGAGGTTAACGAAGAGGATTTTGATGAATTTTTAGATTGGAGATCGAAAAAATCTTTTGTATGAAACATCTCTTAGGTTAATTTTTTTTTATTTGATTAATAGATGGCGTGAGTAACTTTTAATTTGTAAATATTTTTTTGAAATAAATTTTAATAAAGTTATAAAAATAAATTAATATAAATAATTAATCCTTGGAAGATTTTTCGAAATCATTTCCGCTTAAATCGGATTTTTAAATAATTTTTAATCTTTGTGTTCAGTCTTTTGAAGCATTACAAGAAGCATCCGCTATTTTGTGTGGGAAAATACAAATTATAATAATTATCATCTTTTGATTCACTTTAACATTAATATATTAGTTTCTAAATGATTTAAAAAGTAAATAAGTTAAATTAAAAATACACATGTATAACCTAACCAGTTTTAGTTTGACGTTTATTAATAAAGGGATTTTTAAACCTTTTTAATTGATTTTTAGGAGGGATTTTAGGGCTTGTCCGAACCCAACCCTATTTTATATGTATAGAAATCAATATATTTTGAAATTAATGAAGCTGGTTTTAAAATTGCTTTTATTTGATTAATTAAAAATTGTTTATTTTTTTTAAATACTTTTTAGATAATTAAATAGTGAAAATAAACGGATCCAATTCTAAATATAACCACACCCTTGACATGAAAGTTTTTTATATTCGTGCCAGATGTTTCCTATTTCCTACCTCCAGGCCAAACGTTTTAGAACCATACAAAGGAAGAGGAACGGAAAAAAGGTGTGTCCCATCCGTTTATTAAGAAGCAAAAAGAAATTTTTAAAAATAACTCTGTTGCAACTATTAAATTTGTAGTTTATCAAGATAAGAAATGTTTAAAGCGATAAGAATTATTATATTTGTGATTACAACATTTCTCTTTCGACAAATAACCTTTGGATTTGGAGTCGTTTCGGTTATGTTTACATTTTATTGATACGTCGCGAAATTACTAAAACGATTATAAATGGCAACGATAACGTTAGAAATTCTTTGGTAAATTAAATCGAATGTACGCAAATAGGATTTATTGTTCGTGTTGTTGAGGATGCCGAAGGTCAAATTCCGTTGTAAATTATTTCTTGTTTAGTTAACACGAAATGACTTTATTGCGATGATTAAATCTAATTATTAACAAATCTGAAGTAATTTATAAAATGTATTTAAAATTTGTTTGTATTATATAAAAATTAGTTTAAACTTGTAAAATTCTTTTATTAGTTATTTTCGAAAATGAATGTTGGTACTTTTGAAGTAATTTAGTCGTTTTGATAAATATCAAAATCATATATCTTCATTGTTTTCTATCCTTAAAAAACTTGTATGTACCATCCTTGTCTAATCATTCGGTTATGAAGTGTATACTTCTTTGAGAAATCTATGATTACCCCCACCCACACTCCCAATCGCATTATGGCGTCCATCTAACCGTGGCAGTTGTGTTTTGGAATTTAGTAAGAAACGGGGACGCGTTTTGTAAATCTCGTCCCGTTTATTTACGTTAATATTCCTCGGGAATACGAACTTTACTTCTTCCTAAAACGTTTCGCGAAGTGAATAAAGTTAAAAGTATCCGGGATGCGGAAACAAACCGCCCGGAAAGAAGAAGAGAAAAAAAATTGTTTTAAAAATAATGTTAAATAACGTTTGGTGGTGTATTTCGAAACATTTACAGCTTTCTTTTTATTACTCCTAATAATTATTTATTAAAATTTAGTGCTTTTTAACAATTAGTGATTTTTTTTATTATTTTTTTTCTCGGTCGGTAACAAGTAAAAAAAAAGAAAGTAAACAAAGTTTTTTTAATGACAGCTGTCAAATAGGATTCGGTAAAAAAATGTGTCACAAAGATTAGAAAATTGAGTAAGAATTGCGGTTATTTTGAACGGAAGATGTTTTTAATTATTTAATGCGAAAAGAAAAACGTGAAATAGTGATTTTATTTGAATGGTGATGATGATGGAAAGTGAAGTGAGGGATATGGCTCAGATGAAACGACAAAAATTCACCGTTTTAGGTCGTGATAATAACGTTCCTTCCGTTCATGGTAGACCCAATTCGGTGACTAATGTTCGTACGAGACTCAGTAATCACCAAAGGAATTTAAGTTTAGATTTTAGGTAAGTTAATTTTTGACGTTTCTTATCATTTAAGTAATAAATTCCATTTGTTTTTATCGGTTTTAAAATCAATTTGCGTAATTTTTAATGTAAATATTATTCCAGGATCCCTCTTCACTTTCATTTAAAATTTCTTCGAAACAATGTTACTTTTAATGCATCAATAATCAATAATAATCCTCTTATCGCATGTTTCTATCTGTAAAAACGATTAATGCAATCTTAATTTGTAAAAAAAAACGATTTGGCATTTAGATTTGAAGGCCGATTTTAAATGAATTTTAACAGAACAACTTTTTATATCTCTCCCACACTAAAAAAATATATATATTACGGTTACAAAATCTAAATTGAGCGATTACTTAATAATTTTTAAACGTAAAAATGACATACTGTGTCGCTTTAAATGTCAAAGTGACGTTTTTAATTAATTCGATCCTCAAATATTTTTATGCCAACCTTGAGAAGGACAATTCTAAAACACAATCTTATCAAAGAGTCAGTTTTTGTTATCTCGATTGGGTTTAGATAATAAATAAATAATAATATTCCTATCAAACCCAGTTAATTTAATTAGTATTAAATTAACCATGTCGCAGCGACATCAATAACTTTAATTTTTCTTTGTTTTCAAATTTTCAGATCGATGGGAATCCTTTTACCACCTGTACCATTAGTAACGAGCGTAACCAATAACCATTTAACGTTGCATCACCGAAATCGTAGTTTGGATTCGGCTCTACAACGAATTCCGGAAGTGGATGTAACGCCGAGTCCCGAATGCGAAACGGCAACCGTGACATCAGAGAGTAATCCTGCGACGGTGACGTCAACGTCGAAAACGGAAGTGGTTGTTTCGTCGTCATCAAAACGCGACGAATTGGCCAGTTTGGGTTCGGATGATTCGGGAATTTTGTGCGGAAGCGATAGTGGTTCGAGCGTAGATACGAATACGACCGCGACTAGCAGGGAATCGAGTGTTGAACATCTTTCGGACGCTTCCGAAAAAGACGAAGAGAAAGAAATTGATTATCGGAGGTTGCAGCGGGAAAAAGAGGCGAAAGAAAAATTCGAACACGAGAAACAACAACAGCAACAACAGAATTTCGGGTTATTGCGTTTGTTGGAGAGTAAAGTGTTTGATGTGCCCATGGCGATGCATTATTTGTTTAAAAGCAAAGAGCCAGGCGTGCAAAGTTACATAGCGAATAGGATGTTTGCTTTCGAGGACCATGAAGTGGACTTTTATTTGCCGCAGCTCGTTTGTATGTATATTCAAATGCAAGATGTTGCTGAGGTTATTCATCCATATCTTATTCATAGGTAAGTTATTAAATAAATTGATGTTGTGTCGATTAACATCGGATTAGTTCAAATTAATCGTCGATTATTACTCGGTTAAGGTCAAACACATTTTTGACTTAATGTATTTATTATTTGATTTACTCATTATTGATTAATAATCATGATTCGATAAGGTATTTGATAAAGTCTTTGTATCAAGTTTTACCGAGGTCGCTTGCGGCCTCACACTTTACAGCGTGATTAAAGATACTTATTCATAAAAAAATACAAAACACAAATCGCTCAATAGCTACATAATGGTTGGTTTACTTGCCAAATCGGTTCGGTTGTGTTTTGATCATAAATTTCATTAAATTTGAGTTTTCTCATTGAACTGAAACATTTTTGTGGTTCATTAGAGAATATTTCTTGTTATGTGACTTGTTTTATCACATCCTTGTTTCCTGGTTCTAGTGATAGAAGCTCGATATTATCACAAATTAGTTTCTGACATCTTTTATTTTAAACTAAGTTTGTTGGTTTTTGAACGAATGTAATACAGGGAAAGCTTTTACATAGAATTTTAAACTTTCTAAAAGTATCTCTTCGTTGACTGGGTCGGTTTGTAAACAGAATAAGAACACCCATTCTTTATTTATTTTTTTTTTGTAAAAGTTTTTAAACTACGCATTAAAATAAATCATTTAAAAAATTTACCTATTTAGTGGAAAGAAAAAGAAGTTTGAATAGATAATTAAGTGAAAGAAAAAATTTAAATTCTCATCTTAAAAGAGATCTCTCTGAGCTTTCGATTTCTCATCGTTCCCATTCAAATGTGAAGCAAATTAATTATCCGTTACGCCTAAATTTTGAATCATTTTCCTTTCGAATCGTTAATTTTATTCCGGATTGAGATCGTTCTTGGAAGTGTATCAGCCGGGTTATAGTCTAATTAAAACGTTACGAATGGGAACTTTGAGAGTCGTTTATTTTGTTGTTGCCGCTGCGACCCGATGAAGTAACCGCGAAAGAATGTGGCGAGAATAATGCGAATTGCAAGTCGCTTAAAACTCGAAAAAAAGAATTTGTTTGAGTTATGTCTTCGCGATGCGATAACTCATCGACCTATTATTCATTTTGATAAATAAAGTGACTCTTATAAAGCGGTTACGTCTCGTATCTGAGTGCCCGAGATAAATCGAGTTACTGGGAGGTTATTTTTAGATTTTTTTTTGTTGGTGTTTGTAATCTTTTAAATAAGAAACGAATAATTTTATTGTTTGGTTTGAAAAAATGAAATTATTTATAAAATTGATTAAATAAATTAAATGTTTATGTTTTCCGTGCCAAGACACGATCGGTAATATTTATTTTGACCGCGGTGACTAAACAAAACTTTTATTTTTGGCAAAAAAAGGGAACTAATAATAAAAGTGAGATTAACTCTTCGCCTTTCGTTCATTCATCGTTTTTATTTCTTTATTAATTACAAATAAATTGTTTTATTAATTTTTTAGATGTCGAAAGTCGGTGGATTTCTCCTTAAAATGCGCCTGGTTATTGGACGCCTACAGTTCCGACGCTTCAATATCCACAAAGAAAAAACCTTTAGGAATCAAACTGCGCAATTTAATCCTTTCGGAAGAACTTCGACCCAAAGGACAAAAAATCAGCAATCCAATCCCCCCCCAAATCGAATCCTGCATTACAACATTAACAACATCAACTTTAACAATCAAAAAAGCTCATCATCGATCTCAAAGCGACGCCTCGGCTCTTTTGGCAACACCATCCGGTTCAATTCGCCGAGGAAATAGCTCAACCAAATTGTGTTTAGGAGATCTAAGCTCAGGCAGGGCTTTCGATAATGGATGTATTTGCTTTGAAAGTTGTCAAGGGGTTGTTAATGATCTTAAAGGACAAAGAATCGATTGTGGATGTATGGTAAGTTTTAAAAAATATTTAAAAAATCTAGAGCGTTTTTGTCAATCACGTCAAATATCCTTTAATAAATTTATTGTGAATTAAAAAGAAAAAAATGGCTTCAAGACCCAAAGATAATTCAACTTTTAATCAATACTTTTCATCATATTTACAAAGAATTTCTAATAAAGCTGGAATAGAAACAAATAAAACGATTCGTTTAACGAAAATGTTAATGATATTAACTAACGTTTTATTTATGGCGTTGGGATTGGTTTTAATAGCGATGGGTGTATTATGTAAGCTGGGTTTCTTTCGAATTGTTGGAACGACGGTCGATACGCAAACGTGCGGGTTTTTAAAAACATTCCCCACTTTACTTCTTGTGATTGGAACTGGATTATTTACAATGGCTTATACGGGTTGTTACGGTGCTTACAAAGAAGACACAAAAATCTTGAGCGTTTACACGTTAATTTTGGGCGTTTTATTTTTTATACAAACTTTATTAACCGTTTACGCTAGCTTCCAAATGAATCCGTTTAAAGGAATCGAACGCGAAGCGAAAAATAATTTATTAAGGACATTCGGCGCTTATGGTAAAGATCTTCAAGCGACCGCTTTCATCGATTCGTTTCAAGAAAATTATAAATGCTGCGGAATGTATCATCCGGCTTGTATGAAGTATTTGAACGCTACGTTTCCGATTAGTTGCTGTAGCAGTCGGGGTCAAGAATGTCTTAAACCGTTTCAAAAGGGATGTTGGATCGATTTTTACGATGTCACCTTTCGTACGATTCACATTGTAACTAGAGCGGTGATGTCTTTGTTTATTGTAGAGATTTTTCAAGTTATTTTAAGTCTTATTATGATTATTACGATTATTATCTCGCGAAAATCTATTGTTGTTTAGAAGATAAATTTATTATGAAGACAAATTTATAAATATATAAAATATTTTTTTTATAATGTTATGAAGATTTTATTTCATCATTTATTACAGGAAACTTGACCCACACTTCTTGGAACACTGTTAATGTACACTTTTCTTTATTTTATTTCAGGCACCAAGATTAGCACCGGAATTAAAATTCATGGAAGCATTGATATCGATAGGCAAAGTATTGAGTTCGATTCCAACAAAAGAGGCAAAAACAACAAGATTAGTGGCCGAATTAACGACTTTAAATTTAAATTTGCCGGCGAGAGTGTGGTTGCCATTAAACAGCGAATCACCTCATCATATCGTTCGGATTCCACCTCAAGTTTCCGCAGTTTTAAATTCAAAGGATAAGGTAAATTTAATTTTTAATTTAATCGTTTAAAAAATAATTATTTTAATTTTTAGGCTCCTTATATAGTTTATGTGGAAGTATTAGAAGTAGATGATTTGTATACATCACCAGTTCCCCCAAAAATAATGAACGCCCTTCGACATACAAAGTCAGAAGAAAATTTGGGTGGAGATACCGCATCATTGTCCGCCTTTAGTATGTGTGGGATTATTTGCGATGATAATGATCCCGATTGGAGTCAAGAGGATGATGAAATTACTCAACAGGTGAAATATAATATAATAAGCGTTTTATTGTTTATAATTTACAAATCCTTTCTACACAGCCTACACCACCTCTCCACGTCGTCCGCCCAGTACCTGTTCCCTCTCTCCTCATTGCCACAGTGGAATTTGGCCACCAATCTCTTCCCTTCATCATCGCCCTCCATCAACAGATACTTTGGCAGTTCCTCTATCACTATCTCCCCATACCTTACATTATATCTCCCTTTCCTGCCTCTGTATGTTCCTATCTCTCAGTTCTCTCCACATTTCACCTCTCTCCACTCTTCTGTTGTCGATCCTAGTTAGTGAATATCTCACTATCCTATAATATCCTTCCCTATCTCTCTGCCCATATATCAGCCTCCTCTCCTTAATTTCCCTCCAGCACTCTCCCAGGATCCTGCAATGCAGGCTTCCTTCTATCATTTCCTCATACTTCACTCTTCTCCCAGCCTCAACCCTTACTGCAAACCCTAGTACCCATCTCCAATACCTTCTTTGTACATCCTCCAGCAATCTTTGTTCTCTCCATCCCCATACATAATATTTGTATTCCTCTGCTGACTTCTTCTCTTCCCTTCCTCATCCTTTTTAAGTATCTCCATACCTCATTTTCCTCTTTCAACTTCTTAAACTTCTCAGCCTCCCTCTCCTTCAGCTCCCTCTTGCATTCTTCTTTGTATTTTCTCTCTGCCACTGTCTCAATCTCCTTCTAGCCAGTAATTAAAAATAATAAAATTATCTTTTTAGTACACCCAATTGAAAAAACCGGTTGATAGAGATACAATATCGCAATTGAGTCAAGAATCGAGCGATTCAAGAGAACCACCGCTTTTTATAGCAGCGGGAGAAATCCGAAGACGACTTTCGGATTCATTCCGGGAAGGTAAAAGTAAAACTTTTACCCACGATCCTGAAGATCCTTCAGCTGCCGCTTTGAAAGAACCATGGAAAGTATGTGGAAATTTTAAAATATTTATTTAATATTTTATATTTGTATTAAAATCTTTTTCGTTACTTAGGATAAAGAAAGAAGAGTTAGGGAAAGCTCCCCGTACGGTCATATGTCAAATTGGAAATTGTTATCGGTTATTGTAAAATGTGGAGATGATCTTCGACAAGAATTGATGGCTTCGCAACTTTTGCAAATGTTCAAGAAAATTTGGACCATGGAGAGGGTACCGCTTTGGGTTCACCCATACAAGTAATTTTTTGATTATATTTGATTTTTTTAATTAAAATTTGTTTTTTATTTCTAGAATTTTATGTTTATCAAGCGATAGTGGTTTAATCGAACCAATTTTAAACACCGTCTCGCTCCATCAAATTAAAAAGAACTCTCAACTATCACTTTTGGAGTATTTCACCAGAGAATATGGACCACATACTTCCGAAGCGTTCCTAACTGCACAAAACAATTTCGTGCAAAGTTGCGCAGCTTATTGTCTTATTTCTTATTTAATTCAAGTCAAAGACAGGTTAATTAATTAATATCAATTAATTCCTTTTTAGTATAACCTAAAATTTATGCTTTTAGACACAATGGAAACATTTTATTAAGTAGTGATGGTCATTTAATCCATATCGATTTCGGATTTATTTTGTCTACATCACCAAGAAATTTGGGTTTTGAAACGTCACCGTTTAAATTAACAACGGAATTCGTTGAAGTGATGGGTGGAATGGATTCGGATATGTTTAAATATTTTAAAATATTGATACTGCAAGGATTATTGGCAGCGAGGAAGCATCAAGAAATGATTATACCGTTAGTTGAAATTATGAGATCTGGGTCGCAATTGCCGTGTTTTAAATCAGGCGCTGCAACCGTACATAACCTAAAAAATCGCTTCCATTTGAATATGACGGAAGAGCAACTTCAATTGGAAGTGGATCGAATGGTTGAAGCTAGTATACATTCGATTTCAACGAAATTGTACGATAATTTTCAGTATTTCACAAACGGCATACAATCATAACCTTAAATGAATCTGATTTTTTTTATGATAACATAAACAAATTAAGAGTGTATTTGTGATTCGAGATTTTTTTGTTTTTTTGGTGATATTACAGTTTTCTTTTTTTAATTTAAAGGTATAATATAAATATGTATTTAATAATAAGGAGGTAGGTTTTTTTGTTTAATTATCATTTATTTTTTTAAATAATGAATGCTCAAATTCGATCGGAAACGTAAATTAATTAATTGGATCGATTAATTAATCGCAGTTTTCCCTTAATTATTAAGATCTGAAGAGTTAAATGAAAGAAGGATTTAAAATTGTTGCCATCAAAAATCTTTAAACACTTTGTAATTTGTAAATAATGAGATTTTGTAAATAATTAACTTTTTTGGTTACCATGGTTTTAATCATTCCATATTTAAAAAAATTAAATTAGAAAGAAATCATTCCAAGAAATTTTTAAAAAAATTAAAAATACATCCTTGTATATAATAATTATAAACAAAATTTCTGTTTAATATTAAAATTTAGGTTATATTTTTTACTTATTAATATAACCTAAACAATATCATAGGATTCGTAACAATCTTCATAATAATTAATGTAAATAAATACTCTTTGATAATAAGTTGTATATATTAAAGAAAATTTCTTTTTCAACTAAAGACGATATCCATCCATTAAATAAAGAAACAAATGTAGCCAATTAGGTGAATTGTAAGTAAATGTAAGTCGAGAGGAAAGAAATACAGAGTGAAAGATGAGTTTTAGGTTAAAAATAATTAAAATATACCGACTGAAAATTAAGAAGAAAATGTGGAAACAAAAATGCAAAAAGACTGATTGATTCTTAACAAAAAAATAAATAAATAAACGAAAAATAAAAAAATACAAGAACGTAGGCTTTTTGCAAAAAGAAAATTAAGAAAATGTAGTTTTTGTGGATTTTTAATGTTTGTAATCTTGTTTTCGTCAAAATCCATAAATTAGTTCTTTTTTTACAAACAATGTACTTCTTTTATTATAAAGAAAATCGTAATGTACATAACGAAGATAAATGATTGTAAACGTTATTTCTAATTATTCTAATTGTGCATGAGGTTTTTTTTAATCATTTTTTTTTCATAACAAATTTAGTACGTATTTTTATTATATTTATGATGTGTATTTATCTTAAATTCTTAATTAAAAAAGAAATTGTAATTCTATACGTAAATTCTCTTTTCACTATTTATGATTATTTTAATATAAAAAAAAATAGTGCTGCCATCTCTATTATATATCTTTATTATCATCTTAATTAGGTTTATTTAAAAAAGTTTAAATTAATACACATATCCAAATTTAATCAAAAATATAATTTTGCAAAATTCCTTATTATTTTTGCAATAAATAAAAAGTATTAATTTAAATTTTATACTTTATTAATAGTGGTGCCACCTGTTGTCATATTTTTTTATAAACATTCAAATTGTCAAGTTAGAAACGCCAACTTTCGATCATAATTAATTTTCCTCACTTTGTCAATTTAAATATTTCATTTATAACTAAATATATTTATTGTGATGCAACGTATAAAAAAATATTTAGATTAATTCTAAACGTAGATTTTGATAATTGATGAAAATACAATCTTTTGTTTTTATTGTTAATTTTATCAACGGTGGTGCCAACTATTGTCATATCTTTTATGAATATTCAAAATGTCAAATTAGAAACGTCACTATTAATAATTAATTTAATTGATAAACACCGTGATATATCGTTTAAGATAAAAGGTAAGTAATTAATTAGCTCGAAAATTCTAATCTAAAATGATTTTTCTTAGAATCTTAAGATAAAAACTTAAAAAAAAAGAAAAGTGAGGTTATGTAATTTATTTTTATAGTTAAAAAAAACAAATTGGTATAAAATTAAAAAGAAAAATTTATTTATAATAACAGTTATATAAACCTCTTCTCTTATTTATTTTTTTTTTATCATAATTTATTTTAAGATTTAATTAAAAAATATACATTTTATACATATTTCCTCATTTTAAAAATAACAAAAGGAAAGAAACTCAACGTAAATGTACTTCAATATTGGGTACATTTTGATCAGGAAAGAACATACCCAAAGATATGATACCAAAAAGTAACGTAATAATAACCAAACCAACCGTTGAAGTAATCGTGAATAATTGGGGATAATTATATCTCGTGTACCACGCCAAAGATAATAAAACACTTACAAGTACCAATAAAAGATTACCTAAATCCCAATCGCGTTCACCATTTCTCCGTCCTGATCTTGAAGAATTTGTATCCGATCCAGTCTCTAATACGGGTCTTGTTTGATGAATCAAACAATGAACGACGCAATTATCAAATAAACCGAATTGTTCTAAAGTTTCTTCTTCACGTTGCAATAAGTGACCATTAAAAATCAATTTAATCCGTTTGTTTTCAGCCATTTCCGTTGAGAAGTGCCTTTGTTTAAAATCCTTTAAGGACTCATTTAATTTTGCATCGACCGATTTTAATTCATCGTTTAAATATTTCAGTTTTATTTTAATGTTGTTTGAGTCAACATTGGGGAGATTAAAACCGTACGTTGGGGGTGCTTGTTGAGTTTCATTTATAAACGGGGCGCTAGGTTCCGGATCTGAAGTTGTTTGATTTGAACTACTCGCTCCATCTTGACTTATTTCTCGATTTGTTTCCGCGTTTGTTTTATTAAAGAAAGCTAACCTTCTTTGCCTAATTACATTATTATCCGCATCCATTTTTTTAATTAAATTTTGTCGATCGTCTTGAAATGTGTTTTCGACAGTTTGGGTTGATATCGTTTCTCTATTATTATTTTGGGGGGTTTCTACAGTTTCTTGAGTGCTCTCAACTAAAGTAGTTGCTACTGTGTGGTTTGTAAGTCTAGGAATGTGTCTGTTCCTTCGAAATCGCCTATCGAAAACGTAAACGGCTCTTATTTGACGATTATCCGGTGTATTTGTGGATCGCCAAGCTACTAAAACTACGAAGAAATACTTTAGTTTAATCTTTTTTTATTATTAAGAAGGGTTGTACTTGCCTACAGAAACGATTATAATCGCTACGAATAAGTGGGTGAATTCGGTAAAAAACTCATCAATGCACAGAAGTTTATAGAACCTAAAAAAACCAACCAATCAGCTGATCACCCCTTTCTTTTTATGTGGCTATTTTGTTAATAAATAAGACACGTACATTTTACCACCTAACCACTGTGTTTTTTTTTGTATTGTTGTGTAACGTTACGAATAATCGTGACATTTATTTTGCAACATTTCCTCTTTATTACTTTTTGACGTATGATTTGACATATTTGACAATGTCAATGTCGAACAAAACATAAACTGACATCTATGAAGCAATAGTTGTATATTCTTAAATTAATTTATTATTTATTTATTAATTTAATTAATTAAAAATTAATTTTAAGTGATTATTTAAACCTTACTCTAACTTATTAATTAAAAAAAAAGGAATGTTATTTGGGTTGCCTATAATAAAATTAAAAGAAACCAATCAATTTTATTTAAATTGTTTTAATTTTCACAAGCGCAATAACAAGTTGTATGATAACGAAAATTTTCAGTTATCAACTGTCCATTTTCCGTTACAGCAATTAACGGCAGTTCAATGTATTCTTTATCACATCTTGTATTCATGGTGCTAACTGTGATTTCACCACAATTATCTCTGAAATCAAAAATAACCTTCAGATTTGGGGTTCAGTAAATCATTTTTGATTAATTTACTTGCCTGCATTTAACTACTTCTATTTCTTGTCTTAGATTTTCAACGTTAACGATAAACATAGTTTGATCGTTGTTGTTCATAGCAGCTTGAGGCAACAATTTTCTTTTGGTTTCAACGCAGTAATTTTCAAATTCTTCAGCAAAACGTGTCTGTACTTGTAGATATGCTGTATTGTTTAATTTAGTAATTAATTCCTCGATTTTTTTATAAGGATAATTTGTGACATTGAACCAGAAATTTTCAGAATTTTCTGCGCCATTTAAATCTGGTGTGAAAATGCCTTTAAAAGTTTCATAAAATTAATTTCAAATTATGAAAAAAAAGAAAATTATTACCTTCACAGATTGAGGTGGATGTTAACATCATTAACATCATATAAATAATTAATATCGAAGATGAATTAATCATTGTTGATGGAGTTGATTCTAAATTGAACTGTGAAAGAATTAAATTTTTTTATCACTATTTATACCTTGCTCTATTTTATATTAACGATAAGAACAAGCGCTAACCTTTTAATTATTATCATTTAACATTTTAAATTCTAAATAAAACCACAAAACCACATATAAAAACGTCACCTAATAAACATGGATATAAATATAAGCGAAAAGTTACTTTATTTTTATAAACCGCTGAAAAATGTTCGTTAATAACTTCATTTTCGCCTTTTTTATAACAACTTTGGTAAGCTCAACAAATTTATAATTTCATTTTTAGGTTCACTTTTTCTTTTTTTAGATTAACTTTGCTTTTACATCATCATTAACCATCTCAAAAGAAGAATTAGATCGATTAAAAAGTAAATGCAATAAAACTAATGAAGTTTATGATTAAAAAAATGAACTTTTTAGGTAGCTGCAAGGAAGATTTTTGTGAATCGGTGGAAAATTACCCAGAAATTTTAATTAATCAACTTTTAAAACAAAATGATGCCATTGCAAAAGAATATTTCAACGGATCATTACCACCGAACATTACTAATCGGGACAACATCGAATTTACTAATATGTGTGAAGTTTCCGAATATATCGTTGGTCCAAAAATCTTTAAGGATACCAAAAATATTCCCAGGATTATAGTTAATACCGAAGAGTATCATCAATATGTTCTATTAAAAACTTGTGGGTGAGTTTTTATTTTATTCTTTTTTACTATTTTATTTTAATTTGATTATTATTTAAGATCTAAAGATGGTGATTGTACAAAGACACCAATTCCTGGCCACGAAGTTCGATGTATTCCAGAAAAAATAAATATTAAGTTAATTTTTTTGGATGAAGGGCCAAGTTTTGGAGTTGGAAGCTTTGATATGTATGGGGGTTGTGCTTGTGCTTATAAATCAATTACACATAATAAATAACTTTATTTTCAATAAAACAATATTTAAAGTGTCGCCATCTCTTGATTCATTCTTAATACCTAATTTAATTAAATTTTCTAGATTTCCTAATAAGGTTGCTAAAATAATTGTTTCTCAAATACTAAATAGTCGTCGCCATTAACGCACGTAAAATTTGAATTTATTAATGTTTAAAATTAAATGAAGTGAATTTATGGTTTTTAACGGTGTAAAATGAAATTCGGTGCTCTTTTTTATCAACAACGTAAGTTTTTTTTAGTAATCAATATTAATCGAAATAGATTTCTATCAATTTTATTCTTATTTTTTAATCTAACGATTTTAACAAAAAAAAAATTCTAAATCATGTATTTATTAATAACTAATTGTTTTATTACAGTTTGATTTATTTAAAAATTCGTTTGTGTTTGTGTCGTGTTTAGTTGCTTAGCAACCAAAACTTGTCACTTTTTCTTTAATCAGTTGTCACTATGTTTTAATAATTGTATTGTATTGAAATGTGCAATTAATATCGTTTTTTAAAGATTAAGGAGATAGAATCGAAGAAAAAATTAATTCATCTCAGGTAAGTACACAAAAAGAACGATGGTGGAAAAGCACACTATGTAAATCTTAAAAAGACTGATATTGTTCTTTTCACCAAACAGTTTCCTGGGACACTTAACATCACTCCATTTCTGCATCAGTCCATTAACCTTTGCTCTAGAGGTAAAATATCTTGGATAAAGGATTGATTTGGAAATCACAGTACTTGGAAAACCAAAAAAACAACAATTGTACTCACCCAATGTCAAAGGGCATAATCCCCATATAGTCTTACGACACTGCAGGTTATGTAAGCATATGTTCTATATAAAGCTGGCAAACACATCCCTTTGTGAAGGGTGTGAAATGGAAGATCAGACGGTAAGGCATATTGTTTGTGACTGTCCCAACCTCAATTTTGGACATAAAGAACATACCCTCTGTTCTATATTAATGTTCATTAAAATCTTAGGCTGGTTTTCATATCCCTGAATGAACTGTACATTGTGGGGAAGTACAAAGGGCCCGCTGGGCCTAAGTGCTGTGAAAGAATTCATTCCCACATGCATAAAAGTAAACAAAAATAAAATTATTTTGATTAATAAATTTTATAATTTACCTTGTATTTCACTGTAAAGCAACAAAAATGACTTGATAGTTATTTGGGTTGCATATCTTATTGGGTTAAATATTAATATTTTTTTAATTTAATTAAATCCCTACAACTTTTCAACACGCTAAAATTAATATGAAATTAATAAAGCTCGAATTAAACGAAACTTTATGGCACGAATTCGCCTCAAATTTAAACGCAATAATGAACTCTAGCTTTTAGTTATTAGTCACGTTATTATGACGGAAATATCATTTCCTTTCACCGTAAACTTTATTAAAACGTTTTAATAAAACGATATTTTCCGAAATTATTTAAATTATAAATATTTATCCCTTTAAGTCATAAATCATAAAAGTAGTTATGCGAAAGATATGATAATTCAAAATTAGAGCGGAAGCGATTAAAAACTCTTTTATGAACGAATCGTGACTGATTTACCTAATTTGCAATGCAAATTATTCTGATTATGTAATTTATGATGATTTTGAATGCATTATGCTATTTTGGTCTAAAAAACTTATTTATTTACTTAATCAAAAGTGTATTTGGAACGAAGGGGTGCATAGTGGAAAACGCAGACTCAAACGTGCTGTAATAATTGATCATAAATCACTGGGAAATCTCATGGAGCCGAGCAATTAATGTCCTGACCCGAACACAATGTGAATAAACACGTGTGCACTCTCTATGTTACAACCAGATATTTCATATTTCAAATTTGTCATTTATATCACTCTATTTAAGTTAATTTATTTTTATTCAAAAATGTGTTAAATTTGTTTGATATTGAGTGATGCATGTTAATTTAGTACGACGTTTGTGTGTTTTGGATCCATCAATATTAAACCTTGAGGGTATTATACTCATACATGTATTCAAGATATCTGTCATAACGTGTATACATTTCCTGTATCAAATTAAACATCTTTTTTTGAGATTTTCGGTTAAGCTGTATAAACCTATTTTAGTATGCCCTATTAATTTCGAAATACCAGAGAGGTTTAGAGAAAAACGATTTCGCGAGAAGCTTCCCGGGCGCGTACTGAATGAAAGGGCATTTGTTTAAACGTTCCCCTTTCCGGATATTCCCTCGAAATCTTGGCGTTTAATTGTGTAGTGAAATTTATCTTCATCTTTACGAGAAAACGGTTTCATTTAATCTTTGTTGGTTTGGAGTACATCATTTTATTATTAAAAGTAAATTTTATGCTGTTTGTATTTCTTGCTGTACACGAAATTGCGAACTAAACAGAATTAAAAAAGGTTTTTGAAAACGTTTATTTTTAATATTTTAAAAGCGTCAATGCGAAAAAATCCTGTGAAAGGCAATTTTCTGGGTGTCTGGTTTTTCGATTTTATCACAGTTTAAGAATTTGTTTTCCATCAAATTTCACCTTTTTGTCACTGTGAAAATGTTTTAAATCTAGGGAGACGTTTAGATGTCTTTGGTTGTAATTAATAGCTTCAGGGGATATCTTGTAGACCTGAAATTTTATTACATTCGACGTCCAACTCTTATTGGTTCTAACATCCTCATAAAGTTTCAAGTTTCTCTCTAATTTATCTTTCAAGATTAAATTTTTTAATTAACCCTAACATTTTCACGGCACGTTTCGTTTAATCGTAATATCGCCAATTATTCTCTAAACAGTTTTGATTGAGGAGAGACTTTAGGATATGAAAATACGTAAATGGATTCGAATTTATGAAAGTTTTCTGACGTAATCTTCTATATTATAAACGAGTTCAAAGTTCTAAATATTTTTCTCGAATGTACAGGCGACGATTTATATGGTAATGGTGAAGTAATTTAGATCCTTAATGTGGGTTTCTAGAATTTAATTCCGGAAAATATTAGAAAATCAATAATAAAGACAAATTTGATAACAATTTTAATTTTTATGTTTTGGGCCGGTTGATCAATATAGATCTGCCAGATTACTATCCGGCCGGATAAACTTACAGGGAGGATATAGATATAGAATAGACACTTCATATACACAAGTCAACTACAAATTTGAAAATGGAATTTCCTTCATTCTATAGGAAGTAAAGATAAGTTAAAAACATTGATTTCAACATTTACAACATTTCTTATTTACAATTTTGATATATTTATTTTATCTCGGACTAAATTACAAGTTTTTAGAGCTAAAATGAATTATGATTTAATTCTAAACATTTTAAAAAGAATGACAGTTATCATTAAAAAAATAATTGTGAAAAAGAAATAAATATTTTGTGATTAAAAAAGTGGGATGAAATGGATTTATTTACAAATGGGCGCAATAAATAATTTCTAAATTTTAATTTACACATTTATTTTATAAACTGGATATTTTTATGTTTAAATTGAGAATTCTCCAGCCTTCATATTGATTTCAGAAGACAGCGTTTGTATTTCCCCATTTTTTATGTTGAAATTGTTTAACTACATTAACAGGATAGATATTGCTTGCTAATTAATATCTTTTTTTACAATATTTATTTTTCTCCTACAAATTTAGCATATTTTACAATATTTTTTAATAATATTAATATAGTTGGTTAATTTCTTTAAAATTCTTCGCAGTCTTCCATTTATTTATTTAATTCTTTTGATCTTTATCTTTACAAAATCGAGCCTTACCCTGTTTATAATCAACAAAAAAAGTTTTTCTTCAATCATTGACTAGATTAAGACATTGATTTAGGTACAATCTTTTTATTTTGGAATTGGTCCTTATTTAATTTTACGAAATTAACATTAAAAAATGGTAGTGGTCGTAGTAGAAGTACTATTTCCATCCCATTCATTCATCGGAATTGAAATTTGAGTGCTATATCCAACGGTACTCACTTTAGCAGGATAATAAACACAAGGAGCGGGACTTTTTCTATTACCACCACTACCACCAATACCATCCTTTTCGCTTCTACATCTTCGACTACCATTAAAAGACATCCCATTATGTCTAATCGTAGTACTACCATTTCTTATACTCGCGTTATTATGCCGATGGAGTCTTAAACTTTGTCTGTCTCCGTTCGAGATGAAGCTGTCGTCGTGATTTGCGCCATCCGCGGATTCATTAAATCGGCCGCAGATCCTATTCGAACAATATAAAACCAGAAATAACCGTTTAAATTTTTCGCCGAACGTCACGTAAATAATAAAATTAACGCTCGAATTAACGGTAACCAAAAAATTCGACGTTTTTATCATCCGCCCGAACAATACCTCATCAATGTCCAGATGAAAAACCTCGATTATATTAATCACCAACGGGAGAAGATTGCAAACGAAAAAAACGATTACCACGCAAAGTAACATTGTTGCTAAACCGATTTCGCGTTTTTGATTTCTTGATAAACGAGCTCGTTCCCTATTCGCTATTCTAACCTGTAAATTCAAAAACAATTCATTAAAATTATGTTGATAATTAAAAATGTATTAAGTTTAAAATTGTTGGATTTGAACAAATTTATTATAATTATAATTTGAATGTTACACTTTTATGTTTTAATGCGAATTAATCACGTTACAGGTCAATACATCGCACAAAAACTAAATTATAACGTTAATTTGCATAGATCCCATAGGCATATTTTACGCTTTACGAATTTGAATTAAATTACGTGTTGGTTGTAATGTAACTTTTTACGCTTTATGCATGGTATATGTATATCCGGAAGTAGAGTTATGTTTACAACTTTATTAAATTATCAATAAGAGTAGAACTGTACGTCTCTTAAGACAGTTAAGCCCGAATTTTCTCGAAATCTTCAAGAACCCACGTTTAAACCACTTGATTGAAATTAAAACGAACCTTATACCGATAAAATAATTTCGACCAGCCGTATAAGGTCATATTCAGAAGCAGGGATGATGGAACGAAGGGTGAGCCTCAACTTAAAAGAGTTAGAAAGAAGAAAGATCAGAGAGTGTACCAGCAACCTGAGAGATCTCGCTAAGTGCAATGATGTTACTTTATGGTGGGTTCCAGATCACAAAGACATTGAGAGCAATGAAAGAGCCGAATGTTTCTAGTTCCAGGTTTAGTTTTAGTTCTAGTGCTAGTGTTTATTCTAGTTTTAAGTGTTATTCAGCGTTAGACTGTTGTATAAATTTGAATTAAATTACACGTTGGTTGTAATATTCCTTCCTTTTACGCTTTATACATGGCATATATCCAGAGGCAAGTTTCATTTTCAACTTTAAGTTCCCACCCCCGAGCTAGCAAAATTAGACGTCTTCCTTTAAGATGCCCCGCTTTCCGTTAAACCCACTACTTATGTTTTAGTCTTATTTTACGCGGTTACATTCAACGTCTAACCCACACAAATTCTGGTTTCTGTAAATACCAGAGACGAATTTCGGGTTTACAGTTGTAATAAGATTAAATTATTCTAATCCAACAATTTCATCGATTTCCATGAGTCTTACCTGTATATAAATACAGATGTTCAAATAAGCTAACGCCAAAAACGGTATTAAATAAATAAAAATTAAATAACACCAATTAATATAAACCGATTTGTAAACGTTATTATTTCTAAATTCGGATGGTCTGATACAATAAACGGTCATATTGGCCTCTTCGTGAAAATCACTTCGAATTTGACTCTCCCATAATTTAGGTAAATTATATAAAATCGAAAAAATCACGATGCATATCACGTAAATCCTTGCTCGACCATAAGTACACAAAGATCTTGCTCTCAAAGGTTTACAAACGGCGATATATCGATCAAAAGAGACAGTTACGGTTAAATAAACTGAAGCTGTTTGTGCAACTGTTGCTATCGGGAATAAATACGGAGCAATATGTGGCATAACGACGAAAAAATAATTAAAAAGACATCCTGTATATGGATAAATTCCAACCAAGCCGAAAATTAGGATGCTCGTTATGATTAAAACGGTGTCGATACGTGCTAAGCCGATTAAAAGATAGTTTATGCTTGATCTCATCTGCGGACGCGAGAGAATGATCATCGAAATGATGTTGCCCAGGATGCCGAAGAAGCCGATTACGTTCAATAGGATACCGTTTACGATGAACCAATAGAAATCTGACGGTTCGTAATCTAAACAAGAAGTTCCATTATCATCGATAATTTCTAAAAGCGTTTCGTTATTATAATTCATCGTGGTCAATTTTAATTTGATTTATTTTTTTAGATTTATATTTTCTTCTTTTTCCCGGAATGCTCCCAGCTTAGGAATAATGTTTGTTGTTGGAATTTTTGGGTTGTTAGTTCCATTTTCTCGTTTCGCAATGAAAATCTCTGCAACAAACAAAGAAAATGATTAATTAGGTATGTATCTCGAATTAATTAAATTGTTCTTATTGGTTTGAGGAGATGTTGTGCAATTTGCTTGCGGTCGTGAAATTGTAAAGGGATTTGACTCGGTCAATTGGTTATTGATTGGATGGGTTATGTAAACAAGGTGTAATCTAGAGATTTCATAGACCAAATAAGAACAATTTGGTACAATTTAATTATTACATTTATAACTTAAAAATAGTTTTTTTTTATTTCTAATATTTTTCGTTTAAAGACATTTTTTTGTTTTGTTTTAGTAGATCCTTGTATCAGCAAAACGCAATTTCAGCTATGGGGGGTAACTCTATACACTTATATTATTAACGGGTTTAGAGCGTTTCGCGTCGCACCGCGGGTCACCAATTGTTCTGAATACGACCGTTGCGGTCGGAAAATACTTGCCCTCCAACCTCAACAATAACATTCAACCCCTATATACGGAGTTTTACGTCGAAAAATCGATGCTTTATTCTATATTTTTGTTGAACTATTCAGTTTAATAATAAAAATTTTAATATATTAGCCGTCTTAAGAGACGTGTGGCTAAACCCAAATGATTCTAGTTCTAGGTCTAGGTGTTAGTTCTAGTTTTACATTAGCACTGTTACTATGTAGAACTAACACTATACATAGAACTAGAATTTAGCCGTCTTTAGAGACGTGCGTCTATTGTTAGTTGCACATAGTAACTCTGCTAGTGTCAAACTTGAACTAATACTAGGTCTAGTGTTAATTGTACATTTAGGCCCACTTTTACCACCTCTTGATAAATTTAACCGATAGATAATTACCATGGTTACAACGGTTTTAAGCGCTCTCATTGGCTAAGAGCGCCAATTTATCAATCGGATAAATTTATCAAGAGGTGGTAAAAGTGGGCCTTAGTTCAATAAAAATATATAACAATCGAGCGCTGAATAACAAAACTAGAAAGTTACGAATTTAGCCGTGCGCTTACAGACTTTTTAGGCTTTTATTTACTTGTTTTTTATACACAACATTTCACAAACATCAATATTTATTAAAAGTGTTGTTGTTGCCTGTCAACAATATCGAATGTTTGTATTCATTTAAATGTTGTGATTTAAAACAGCTACAAAAGATGGCGCACAGTGGTCCGAGCGGCAAGAAAACCCGATCGAAAATATTATTTTGGTGTTAGCAATTAGCTAGCTTTATGAAACTTGGCATATGATTATAAGACCAAAAGGGTAATGTTGTGTCAAAATTTGAATTAAATTCGTCAACCGGAAGTAGTACTACGCAAGCAGTACTTTATTTAAATTCATACTCATTTTCTTTTCATATAAATTAGGACTTTAAAGGAGAATATTACTATAAAATTTTGTGCAGAACATTAGACGTATATTACTTCACATTTTTTTGTGTAATTACGTGATCGCAAATTCCTATCGAAATTGTTTTATAGAGGACCTATACCGGATGTCTCACGTAACTGGTTCGTCAGAACTTTTTTAGGTACCACTATTCGTAGCGGTTTGAAATTTTGACAACATGGGTTGTTCATTCGAAGCTTTCGATATAAAATACTTTCAAGATGGCCGCCACTTCCGGTCTACCGGATGTAGACCACAACTTCGTTATTTTAAATGGAATGCTATAGTTTTTAATGCACCTTTTAATTATATTCGACAAAATAAGTTGACTTTGATAAAAGTTATTGGTACCTACCATTTTTCGTTTTCGAGTTATTTTGTTTTTAAGTTTTTCTTTGGCAAATTACTTTATGCTCTTTAAAACCTTATATCTCAGCCAACGTTCATTCAAAAAAGCTCTAAATTGGCACGATTACTCTTGAGATGTTGTCAAACAGATTGTCATTTGTTGTATTAAAGTATCTTATACAGGGTGGTCAAAAATTGAATTATCGTTTCTCCATATTCAATGGTAAGAAAGTCGAAAATTTTAAATGGAACGCCCCATATTTTTTTACCCTATCAGAAATGGAATTTGATAAAAATGTGGCAAAATTAATTGGCAGAATTAGTTGGTTAGATAGCTCAATTTTACTTAGCTTTTACTAAAAATGTTTTAAGAACTATTCGAGAATAAACTCATCGCTCTTAATTTGAAGTGATATTGGAGACCATAATACGTAAGTTTGCAGCCTACTTATAGTAGAATTTTCCCATGATACTGAGATAGTCCACATACATTTCAAATTATTCGAGATAATATAAAATATTTTGTTATATTCACCAACATAACAAAATTTATCTCAATTTGTGTGAGTCTTCTTCATTTTCTAGATCTTGTTCCTCTATATTTACTTCTTCATCATTATTGTCTTCTTCTTCACTTTCTTCATCATCATCATCTTCTTCTTTACCTTCCTTTTCTTCTAGAGATTTGTCCAGTATAAGTAAATTTTTCATGTCTTCATTCATATTTTTATATCTTTCTGAACATTCTTTATAAAAGTTACTAATAAATGGATCGGAGCTCAGTAATAGTCTTTTAAATAAATCTTCATTTGTTTGAAGTCTACCACATTTTCTTGTGTGACACTCTCTAAATCTGCGTACTTGTTTGTTTTTTGCTTCTTGATAAATAAGATCCACAATTATGTGTTAAGTAATCTTTGACTGCCAATTTTTTGGTTAAGGCGCACGTTGGCGCAAGATTTCTTTCTTATGCTATGTACACCATACCTTCAGCAATAAAAAAATGTTAGCTACAATTGTTCGATTTTGTTCGCTCGCAAGATATTTAATTTAAAAGATTGAATGGTCAAAAAATATAAGTATTTATTGACGTCAATAGAAATGGTTGTAATTTTTTTCAACAAACATCTTTTGAAATTTGGAAAGTCGTAAAATGAAGACCTTTCTGTACTTTATAAGAAACCAACGACACAATATTTTCAAGTAGTGATATACCATCTTTTTTGTTTTCTAAAGTTGTGTCGTTTTCTAAAAAATTTCCTTATACAAAATAAGGTAATTGTAATAGCAATTTATTTCGCGCAGTAGCTATTATAAAACACCAAAGACTTCATAAACTTCACTAAGAGTCTATTAATAGTTAAAATATATGTAACATTTAAAAAAACAACACTATAACATTTTTTTTTAATTGATTTTCGATCGGATTTTGAGTGTTTTCGGACCACTGTGTGGCGTCAGTACGAAATTAGAAATTTAAGAGGGTATTTTCTTTGATTGATAATTAATTAAAAATTTTTTTTTTGATCAGCTCCATTTATATTAATACCTTATCTTTGTATTGTTATATTATCGTCAATATTACCTCATCTTGTAATGGTAGCAATAATAACTGAATTTACAAACTTGTAATCCCATTGTGAAAGCTGTTGTAATCCTGGAATATAACCAAAATGGATGAAACCTGCTAGTGGTTTCACCTGCTTGGAAAACAGGGAGATTTACGAGGATCGTTGCTAAAATATCGTGTTTCGTATAACTCGTCATCGCTTTTTGGCGGTAATAATCGCCGTATAACGTTAATTTATGATTTATTGAGGTCACCTTGTTAATAGGAATGCAAATACGGACAAATTCAGATTTGAAACCAAATTTTGATTAATTACTTAAATAATTTAATATCAAATGGTGCGGAGTCAACAAAAAATTTTTACCAAGGATAGAAAGTGAGGGTTGGAAAAGTTCTTATTTAAGAATTCGAGTCGCGTCGTTTGTACGAAGTCTCGATGTTGGTTCGGGGAGAATCTCGAGCGAAAAGCAATCTTTTCTTGCAAATTTCTCCGAGAAAAATCAGTGCGAGAAACAATTCGGCCAACGTCCAAGAAACGCCCCTAAGATATTCACCGTGTATGAACTTTATCTCATTTCCCAAGATTGAGTCTTTCGATTTTTCTCAATTTGGTCTCAATTTAACTTGGCTTTATATTAAAGGGTAATATGTGAGTTAGCTTAATAACTGGGATGTTGTTTAGCATATTCTATTTGGAATTCTGAGCAGATGAAATCGAGTTTTAAAGTTAAGTCCACCGTGAAATTTAATCTAAGAACTCTTAAAATTCTCTTGGGGTTCTCTAAATCCATCTTGAAAACTTTCGATCCAAGATTATTTATGATTTAAAAAAATCTTTTTGTTGTAAATATAATGTTTCAAAACGAAAAAGAAATGTTTATGGGTTTTATCGAGATAAATCCGTTAATTATTGGTTTTGGATTTGTGAGGATTTGATCCTACGAGAATTAATATCGGGCAATTTTCAGACTCGTAACTTTCATTTCGGCCGCTATAACGAACTTATGGGAGCTGGTCTCGTTTGGCCAATCAGATAAAACTCGATTTTGCTTTGACGAGAGAGAGACTGTCCACTCTCAGTACGGTTTCATTAATGAAACGAATTGGGTTGTTGAGATGGGTCAATTCTTTTGTTATATTCTTTTTAGCTTGACCAACAGAAATTTTGGTCGTAATTAACTTTACAAATGCGTCAAAAATCGAGATAAAAAGGAATTTTATGCTTTGAATTTTAAAACGCAACATTTAGAAAGAAATACTTTATTCAAAGCTTTAAATTTTTCGTTTCAACCTATTTATGCGGCAAACATCAATTTTAATTCTAAACGAACTGGTTTTGTTCGAACCGAAGACTGAAAACGGATTGATTCCTGTCCATCAATCGCAGATCGACGGCAGAGCGCATTTTTTCCTAGTTTTTACCACCCTTGAACCCGATTACTATTGATCCAACAAATTTTCTCGTTCAAACAAGTCTAATCACAACTATTATTAACTTTAAGAATCGATTTTTTTATCAATCTCAACTAAGGAAATCAAATCAATAAAAAAAACAGATCTTTCTTACCTTTTTCATGAATAAAAATATAAAACCCTTCTTTCGTTTTATCCTTTTCGGGTAAACCATTTCAAATTTATAGAGTATCTTTACGACTTGAGCGTTTTGGGGGAAAAAGGTAGAATAGATAAAAAGGATTCTTTGAAAT